TGCATACTTAGCGGCGCTCGAATTTCAGCTTGACAAGCGTAATTGAACTTCCTCCTCCTGTGTGCATGCGCTTGTGTATGGGAGCATTCAAGAAACTAATAGGCTAAATTAAGCGCGTTTAAACGCGACAAGGAATAAAAATGCGTTTTGCAATCAAAGTAAAAACGTCGAAAAAAAAGGGGTGGGGAAGAGTGTGCCGGAAGATGGACGGGTGAGGGCGAGGGGGATTGGGGATTTCAGAAATGTTTAACGGCGCACACAGACATCACAAAAGAAAAATATAAAAGGGGCGGGAGCTAGTGCTCCAAGTAGTGGGCGTGGTGCAGCCGCAAGGAACGAGCAAAAAATGACAGCAGCATCAGCTAAATGAGTTGAAGGACGAAACAGGCGAATGGGGGTGATATCAAAGTCCTGGCAAAATGGCGTCAGAAGGTTGAGGGCGGGGGGAATGGCGGTTTGTGGGGGTGGGCGGGGACGAGCACTTTCCGAGCACCCAACCATTTTCATTTTGCTTTCCTGTTCATACCCATTTGTCGCAGGGGGATGTGGGTATACTAGATTTGTGTAACTCTCAGAAAATACATTTTCGATGTTTGAGAAGTATAAATATAAAATATAAAATTAAGTTGCAAGTAAAAACTACCGATATTATCGATAGTCGCTTCTAAAGCTTTCAATAACCAATCAGTGGTTTTGCAGCATTACTATTTTTTACCTAAGGGTATTTAAATATATTAAGAAATATATAAAGAAATTATAATTATATAATCCCTAACAGGATAATAAATAAATAATCAAAACATCCTCATTGACGCATTGTTTATATGACATATACATTTTTGTAAGTCGGTTGTGAGTAATGGGTGTTAACGTAGTCGTTAACAATCGACAGTGGCATTAGTTCATGTTTTACTTTTTTTTTTGTCTTCGCATTTTTTAGCCCTGTTCTGCTCTCTGCTGTTCCTTGAACTTTTCCCTTTTTTCCGATTTTCTTGTTGCTGTTGTTGTCGGGCGCTTTTTCTGTTGCGGCAGCTATTTGAAAATTTTTAAAAGATGCTTTTAGCGGTAAATAATGAAAAGTTAAAAAGCCACATCAATGAGATACATTTTTCTTACTTGCTGACAAAGTGATGGCGAGGTGCTTTTTTCGACCCCATATGCCTGCTTTAAAAGTGTGTGTGTGTGTGGAAAAGAGTCCTGAATGTCCTGTTCGTAAGCCATCATCAGGGAAAACAACAGCAGAAATCATTCTTTGGGGAAGAGAGCTCTTCTTTCGTTTTTCGTTTCGCAAATATCGAAAGATGTCGACCCAGGCAACAACAACACTAACAGAAACAACAACATCAATAAATAAGGGAAAAACAAGCTAGAAAACTCTGGGGCTCTGTTGTTGTTATTGCTTTGGTTTTTGTTTTTGGGGTTTTTCCTTGGCTTTTTGCTGGCTTTGTTGGTTAAATGAAATGGAATAGATGGATAGAAGCCTTAATTGATGTTATGATGATCACCATCAACATATCCCCCTTTTCCCTCCCTCCTGTATTGCTGGTTTGCCATTGCAATCCCTGTGTTCAGTGATATGTTCTTTGTGGCCAACGCTGCGTATGAGTAACATGCGAGCAGAGCAAAGGCAAGCTTGCCTGCGGCCAGTGGGTGGCAATGGGTGGCTTTGGGTGGCCATGGATGGGTCTGGGTGGTGCGTGGTGGGTGGTGGTTGGAGGCTTTGGTGCTAGATGGATGGCTGGTGTGCAGTGGCTGTGGCCAACAGTTCGCCTGTGTGTGTGCGTGCAGATACAATTTGTAATGATACACAAATTAGTATCCTAAATGGATGCTTAATAGCCTGCTTCACAGCCTCGTTCCCCCACTCCTTGTGTCCTTATCTGCAGCTGTGTGTGTAACTTTGGGAAAGTGCTTGCCCACGTACACTCGCACACAGAGAACACTTAGTTGTGTTGGTACCGGGTACGGGTACCCTTTGACGTGATGCATTTAAATGCAACCTTAAAGTTGCGTTGTACCAAATGTAGTAAAAGCAACGAAAACTACGAAAATTCTATCGCAATCAACCACATGTAGTTATTTTCTTCCCAATAACGTATGCGTAGAAAAAATACAACCCCAAGCAAAGCTACCATTTACATATTTTAAATTTCAACTGAACAATTCCTTTTAAAGTAAACTGAGGAAGGAAGATACTTCGATATTTTTAATCAATTACGCGACCTTAAGCCAATTGGGAGCATATAATAAAATTGTTATACAATTAATCAAATGTTTAGTACCCCCTCTATGTTTCATAAAGATTCAGCATATTTTATTAGACTCTTTTTAAAGCTACTATCAGTTTTTGATTTTTTTATACGGGGTAAGCCAATTCCTTTAAAATTAATCAACTAACGGATTACTGGGGTCCTTAATTTTGGACAGTAAATAAATTGGTTGGAAATTGCAATAAATTAATACATTTTTGCACGAAATTACTTGATTATTTCTAAGTTTACATTAAGTACTAATTTAAACTTAATTTGTTTTCTTGATTTGTTTTAAATAATACTGAAAGCTAAGATTCTTCATTAAAAAGACAAAAATAAAGATTCAAAGACCAGTGACAAAGCCTCGGTAGCAGATTGTGAGCTTCGCATAGTTTTAAATTATTTCATGACAATAATATTTTATTAATATACCAATTGTCGAAAATTCCATATTTGTGGTATTATTTTGGGCATGTTCCTCTTCATTCAATTGCAGGTCTTGTTGCCATCATTTCTGTTCATTCTTTTCAGTTACCATTGCTATTATCTCAGTTCTCCCCAACAACTCCTCTCTATCCCGTCTTGGCCTCCCTTCCAGCTGGTATTTTCGTTCTGGCGCTTGCTCTTTAAAACACAAATCACTCGACTACAGCGAACTTGGCCAGATACATATGTGTATTGTACCCAGTTAGGCATTTTTTTCTTATTTTCGTTGTGCTCAAGATAAAGTTTTAATCATTTCGACCCAGGCTGAACAAAAAAATGTGTGTAGGGGGGAGGGAAGGAGTCAGCTCTGGCAGCGACAACAGATCCGAAGAGTGGCCCATTAGAACCTACAGCAGGCCGCCTTAAAGCGGAGCTCTTCCATTCCCACTCCCATTCCCATTCCGTCCCAATCGACGAAGGACGCCCCCGCTAAAAATGGCAACGAGGAGCTTAGTGCCACCAAAGGGAACCAAACGAAACGAAACGAAACGAAAGGAAGCGAAAGGAGCTCCGGAGCAGCAGACAGGCATTTGGGGACTTTCAGCTGAATGTATTGTTTTAAGGATATGCTGAGAAACAGGACGATACAGGACGAAGTCCTGGCGGTGCGCAACTGCAGGCGAGCTCAATTCGGAGCCGAAAGAAAGTGGCAAGAAAAGCGGCAACAGCGCCTCGCTGCCGTCGTCGCTGCTGCAGCGGCAGTCGTCGTCCTGGTCGTCCTGTGTCATCGACACATTTAACAAGGATTAATTCATTGCGCAGCAGCGGCAACAACAACAAAGACGGGGGTGGGGGGGCTCTTGGTAGGCAACAACTCCATTTTGTTGCCCGCTGATTGGTGGAATGTCCTTGTTCCTTAAGCCGCCGTGCGCTCGAGCGAGACAACTAGTGTTTGCAGGCCATACAGGACACCACCGCTGCTGCCGGCGTCGCAGTGTCCTGTTGCCGTCTCTGTCGCCGCCACTAGTGCCGTCTCCCTCTCCGTGTGCGGCTCGTCCTGCAGCGCAACTCCTGACCGGTTCCGGCGGCGCATTCGAGTCGAGTCGAGTCGCCAGCTGGAGCAGCCTCTCGGATGCCCGCTCAGCCAGGACCAGGAGTAGCCAGGAGTCCGACAAGTCCTCAGCTCGATCGCAGGATGAAGGATTTCTTCCTCTTAATCCCTCCCTCCCTCTATCACGCTTTCTCTTTCTCTCTGTCCCTCGGAAATTCCCGTTAAAAATGCCGCAGCTAAGGATCCCGGCCAGCAGTCCTGGCATCCATGTATCCTCACCAGGTCAACGGAATGCGACTCCTTATTCCGATTCTGATTCCGAATCCGATTCGGATTCGAATTCGGACTGGTCGCAGGACACCAGGACACCCACACACACCACTACAGCTGCGATTTTAGCAATGGCGACGGCACCAACTAACGAAATTAACCAAGCAAGTTAAAGCGAGACGGCAGGCTGTGACGCTTTGTGCGAGCGGGATGGCATATCTCTCTCGTGCCATCGCTCACACAGACGCACTCACACACACGCGCGCAGCCACTTTCTCTCTCTTTTTGGCAGACGAGACGAGCTTCATTATTTTTTGAAAATTATTAGTACGACTAACGATTCGTGGTCTCACGCACACACTGAGAGCCGCCACTAACCACCAATCGTTCGCGCGCAGCCCGCAAATGTCCCCGCAGCAGGACATGCAGCAGAGCAGCAGGGACATCCACAGCCACATCCACATCCACATCCACATGCACAGCCATATCCACCACCGCCAGGACACTAGCTAAGAGCCAAGAAGGAACAAGCCAGGGAGGAGCAGCGAAAGGACGAGCAGCGACGGCGACGGCGGCGTCTCTGTTGTCGAGCACATGATCCTTAATTTCGTTATAATTTTGTATGTTGCCTGAAATTGTATATCATTTTAAGTTTGATCGGCCGAGAATACGTATCGCCGTGCCAGCGTTAACCATCAGCAACAGCAACAACAACAGCGACAGCAGCAGCAACTGCAACAACCATAACAAAGGACACAAATAAAAAGGACGAGAACGGACGCACACATACAGCAAATACGAAATACGAAAGTACGAAAATACCAAAATACACGGACATATAGCACACGGATATCGTCGACTTCGTCTTGCTCTTGTTCTTGCTCCTCCTCAGGAGCAAAGGACGAAGGCACAGCAGGCGCCAGGCGCCAGGCCAGAAAAAACAAACAGCCAGGGATATAGTTGCTGCAGCGGCTCCTGGCACAACGGTCACCACGATCTCCATGGTTCGCGGTACAAGTCCGCGGTTCACGTGCTCGTCCACAGACATATACAGCATATAGAAATACATATATAATATATCCAGCCCATAACTCAGCGACAGTTCTGCACAGTTGATTTTGTTTTTTTTTGGATGTGTCGTGCCAAAGTTGTTCAACTAACCACATTTTTTTGCCAGTGCCCCCTTGAAAATAAAGAAAAGGCCGTCGGGCAGCCAAACGGGAGTAAAGTTATGTGCTAAACTGAAGTGCTAAAGTGAAATCGAAATCGAAATCGGAATCGAGGGACAGTGGCAGCACCAGGTTGAACACATCCCTTCAAAGCAAGCCAACGGGAAACCAGTGCGTTTTCAGGGCCTCCCAGCAGGCTGCTCCAATTCCAATTCCATTCAATCGAAACGGGAGCGCGTTCGCCGCGAGACAGCTTCCAGTTGGATTACTCAATCGACTTCTTCAAGACGTATATCGATACGCAGCGTTTCTACGCCGGCCACAAGTTGGATTTCAAACATCAGAGTTGTGCCGGCGGCCCTGGTTCCGGTGGTGGTGTCAGCGGTGGTGGTGGTGGCGGCGCCTCCGGAGGAGTCGTCGTCGGCGGCACCAACAGCATCAACAACAACAACAACAACAGCAACTCGGCAACACAGCAGCAGCAACAGCAGCAACAACAGCAGCAACAGCAGCAATCCGCCAGCAACGGCGGCACCTCCACCTCCGCGGCCTTGTCCCTTGCCCACCCGCACGCCCACAGCAGTCACGCCCACAGCGGCCACGCCCACAGCAGCCACGCCCACGCCCTAGCGGTAGCGCACGGCCATCACGGATTGCTGCCGTCGGTGCCGCAACAACAGCAGCAGCAGCAACAGCAACAGCAGCAGGCGCAACAGTTGCCGCCGGGCGTGGGAGTCGCCAGTCCGCTGCAGCAGCAGCAGAACAGCAACAGCAGCAGCAGCAGCAGCAACAACAGCAGCAGCAGCAACAGCAGCAGCAGCAGCAGCTGATCAACAACGGAGGCGTCTCCTCCGGAACGCCCACGCTGCTCATTGGCAACGGACCCAGCTCCTCGGGAGCGGGATCAGGATCGGTGTCCGCCGCAGCAGCGGCAGCAGCAGCAGCAGCGGCCGCCTCCTCCTCCTCCATCTCCACCATCTCCTCCATTCCCCACGTGGCGCCGCACAGCCTGGGCCTCAGTCCGCAGTCCAGCGCCGATTCGCAGCAGTTCAACATATTCCCGGCGATCTTCAGCCGGCAGCTGAACTTCTCGGCCGGCGGACAGGCGGGCAAGCTGAGTATGGACGAGCTGCGTCCGAACCTGGTCGGCGGACTGCTGGGGCTGCAGCAGGGCCTGCTGGAGGACCATGCCAGCATGCAGCACGGCGGCGTGGGGCAGGACACCAAGTTCATGTCCTTCCAGGATCAGCGGCTGATGGGCATTGGGGGATCGCACGAGAACCGGCTACTGAGCCTGGCCAGCTCCGTGCAGGACACACGCTCGCCGATCACCACGCTGGAGAAGTCGTCCTCGTCCTCGCTGAACCACCAGCGCAAGTGCAGCAGCACGCCGGAGGACTTCAGTGCCCTCTACTCGGGCCTGCCCACGCCGGGCATGGACTCCTCTTCGCACCACCACACGCCGGCGCACACGCCGCCCTCGCGCCTCTCCGATCACACCATCTCGGGTGAGTGTCCTGCTGGTGATTCCGGGGATCCTGGTGGGCCCCTAATCTGACCACAATAGCCCTGGCCATTAGCAGGAAATTATCCTTTGGCACCCGCATCAGCACCCCTTTTTTTTTTGCCTGCTGTCCTTTGTCCTTTGCTTTCTGCCTTTTCCTTTGTCACCCGCCGGTTTGTTGATGCTCGCTTGTAGCTTCCTATTACTCCGATGTCCCTTTGTTCCCGGCTTATCGCCAGTGTCCTGTGTCCTGCGTCCTGCGGCAACCACTTGCGGCCAATTGAAGCCAGTGATGATTACAGATTTGGCGACAGCTGGAGGCCCCAGTGCGTGCCAAATCCAAGCGATTTTCCATTGAACACAGCTCACTTAAATCTCAATGAAACTAATGAGCTGTACGGATATAGTCGTACATAAACCGAGAATATCTCAGAAAATGTTGACTGTTCAAGGATCGCATTAGGGTTTATCGATGTGCTCATTTTTTTGTACCATTTGCTCAAAAGAAAATCCCAGAATTTTGTCAGCTTTTCATCATTTTATCTCAGCTTAAAACCTGAGTCTACCAATGGATACAAATGTAGTTTATTCTAGAAAAGTATGCACTAAGGTTTAAGTTCAAATGCCGTCGCTTTTAGCATAGTAGACTTTTTTAATATCTATTTTTCAATAAGCTTCATTTTGGCCAATAAGGTACTGCATTCAGCATTGTTTTATTAAAGGATTTTTAAAGACCGCATAAAGAATATAATATTTTGGATCCGAGGTTCCGCAAACTTTAACTTGTGTGTAAATTCGTAATTAAGTTAAAAGATATACAATATTGGCATTTAAGAATAGCCAAAAACTGCGTATTTTTCCACATTGGTGATACTATTCTTATTTATACTTTTAATTTGATGTTTGTTTATTTTTAACAGCTCAGTTTAGAGAGAATTGTATTCCAAACAAAAAGCACAAATCGTTCGCATTGCAATCAATATACGTAGTTGTGGGTACTACAAATTTGAAACACGATAGGTCCAATTTCAAATGATTCACTTTTATATTAAACGATCACGTTCAACTATTATTATTATTATTACAACTTATACACCTAATACCTACGCGCAGAACAATTTACGAAGTAGTTTCGAAGGAATTATTTCTTATCTTTTACTCTTGGGAATAAATATGGTTTATATTTAAAACAAATAATACCTTTGCGACACTCGGCAAATGTCAGAAGGGGTTAAAATAAATATTCGATTAACCTCAACCTACATTGTAGAGCTTTTCTATTTGGTCTCCTCAAATCCAAGAATCCGCGGCTTAATTTATATGCCATACAATTTTGGAATAAACATTTTAGCCATTGAGGTATCGTTATAATAAATTTTAAAGCAGTATAGACTCGTAAAACGTAGATAGTAGTACCAAAAACCAGTGAGAAAATTGTTTGTAAAAAGTTAATTCTGTTTTTACTGACTTCATTACAAAATGCCGGCAATATATAAATATAACCCGAAAATCAAAGATATACCCATATCGGGCCATATTGGCATCGTAAACTTAAAATTGTGTTGCCTGCCCAAAAAAAGGGAGGATCACTGTTTTATTAAAACCTACAATTTATGTTTTCAGATATCTTTCGTTGATATGGGTACACATTTTCAGTTTAAAGTCCGAGCAGATCACAAAAATAAGACTAAGATAATTTCATGTCGTTATAAACATTGGTAGCAATGTTTTAGAGTGTGATACGTAACCGGTGGACTATATAAGCTTTCACATGTTTAATCGAACCATATTTGAATAACTGCTGCAGTCGAAAAATAGTTGGTTTGAACGGTTTTAGCAGATTTTAAACTGTAACCAAATAAGTCGACTAAATCGCATTGCTTGTATTGAAACTTAAGTTGTAGCTTTCATTTTTGATATGACTATCGCTTCCTTAATCAAATTTTGGCCATTATCCCTAACTAAATTTATAGTTTGACAGTAAACTTTGTATTTCTCCTTAATTCCCCTGACAATTCAAATTGAGAGACTTAAATAAACCTCTATTAGAAAGTGCTTGAAGAAATAAATTAGTTTTTAATACAGTTAAAATATTATAAATGGCAAACTTAACAATACATTGGTAGTCATTAGCCAATTGAGTAGATTAGTGTGACGCATTTTATATAAATATGATTTGAAAAATATAGAAATGTTAATTGTGTTTTCAGCGGGTGGAATGCCAAATCTTATGTTGTATCCTTTTGTTTACCCGGCTTGTTCAGATAAAATGTTTTTGATTTAATTTTGTCGTCAAGCAATTATTCAAAAACTTTTTGCAATATTAGTAAAACTAAAATAACATAACATAATTTGGCCTTGTTAAAGAATTTAGGAGTGTAGGTGCACCCAAAATAAAAGTAAAACCCATATCCTAGCGATAAAATACTTTTATTTATCAAGCTTTAATTTGTATTATTGCCAAGTTCTTTATTAGCAACATTAAGATTAAATAATTTAAAACAAAAATAGAAAGTAACTTCAAAAAGCCTATTTGATATATACAATATAAATATGTTACTATTTTATTATTTTATCAAAATACGACGAGGGTATTCATATTGACTCCAACAGGGTATAGTCCCCCATATCCTTCAAGAATCATATATTTATATTCAAATCTAAAGAAGTAATCCTATGGATCAGCTTCTATGGAATCTGGATGCATCTAGTCGTCCGATTTTGATTGAATTATAAACGTAATATCTGCCAAAGCTGATTTATATAAACTTTGTGGCATGAGTATTAGTTGTTTCCTATTTGGTTTATTTGAATATTCTTTTAAACGAGATTGCAAATAGTTCCGCTTGTGACGTTTAATATCAAAGTAGAAACATAATCTGCGGCGACTTAATATTTCCATGAGCAAATAAATATTTCACTATATCCAAATCACAGACCAGGAATATATTCTTGTACATCAAAGTGCGCTAGAAATATCTATTCGAACCCATAAACTTCTCTGCTATCAATTGGTTGATCACTTGGAAGGGTTCTCCTCGTGATATGGTCTGTTATTTACCCTGCTCGATAGCATTCCCACCCCTCTTTTTTTTCCGTGCAGCCGCACGCGTGCCGGATTGTTTGACCTGATTCGCTTATGCAACAGCCGCCAGGAGGCCCGAGCAGCTTGCTCCGCACAAAGCCACACCCAGCAAGGTCAATTGCATTAGACCATTAGACGGCGGGCGGTTTTCGGGGGACGGGCGAGGGGTCTTTACTTAACATAAATAACAGTATTCACTTTATTTTGTTTGAGTTAGCGTTTGCCTTTGCGATTCAATTAGTGCGACAGCATCCAACATTTTCTACATAGTTTGCATTTTGTTAACGAGCTAAGCGCGTCAATTAAGCGCCAAAAGCTGAGAGCCCGAATCCGAAATTCAAAATCCAAAAGTACCACATCCCAGAGTGGCCTACTTTGACCTTTGCCCGTTATTTGCCGCCTTTTGCGCTTTGGCGCTTTTTGCGGCACGCGTCAGGTAAGTGACATCCTGATAGGACTCTCGTCCTGGCCCACAGAACCCATGGCCACCAGGGCCAGGCTACCTCGATTAATGTGCCAGAAATTTGCATAAATTATCCCATATTGCATATTCATGCGACCGCCATCGTCGGCGACGTGCCGCTACAGTCTGTCCAAGTCCAAACTTTTCACCTTTTCACCATTTCGCCCCGGTCACGACAATGGCAATGGCTCTGGCAACGTCTTGTGGCCGCAGTGCGGTGACTGGAGTCCCGGCGTCCTCCTGTCCTCCTGTCCTCCAGTCCTCGTGTCCCCTGGTTTCCCCTCCATCATCCTGTTGTCCTGGCAATTATGCACCATTTTGCGGGGGCTTGCCACTCTGCGCTTAAACGCTTGACGCATATTAAGCATCGTTTTTTTTGGAGGGAGTCGACATCTGATAACTACTTTTAATACCATAACATTCACGAACGTGTGTTGTCTTTGCAGCGGAAGGTGCATTCAAGAAGCTCAAGCCGGAACCCAACAGCGGCCTGTCGACGGTTTCCGCCGGCATCACCTCGCCCGGAAGTGGATTATCATCGCTCAGTCAGCACGCCGGCCACACCCCAACCACAGCGTCCTGTCCGACGCCCGCCAGGCGGAGACATCGGACCACATTCACACAGGTCAGTTTCCAGGCGCCAAGCTCCAAACTTCAGGCTCCGGGCTCCTTTCCCACCACATTAACCCCGGGGGAGGGGAGGGGGGTTGGAGGTGCTGGCAAAATCTTAATTGGATTTCGTGAAGGTTACTCGTAATTAAAAACTTTGATGCCACAAGAGCACCGGAGCCAACAACAAAAGGGCAAACCAAGTGCTCCTTGTTGAAGCTTTTTAATCATGTCCAGGCTTAGATGGCTAGCAAAAATACGAATAGAGGTAGTGGCCAGTACTGTTGAGGATTAACAGGGAACAAAGTTCGGATTAAATAGTCTGAGTCCAAAGTCAAAAGCCATGCAATTCACATATTTCTCGATATACTGCAGTAGTTAACAATACAGTTTCTGTAAACTAAATTCAAAATCAAATACGAAAGCAAAGTCGATGGGTTATTTAAAAAATCAGATTTTAAAATTTATATTTCAAGCGAACTTTTATTAAGCATAATGTAATTATGATTTGTAAGAAACTTGTTTCCAATTAAAGTTCGTTGGGAATCCAATGTTTTAAATACGGTTTTTTTTATATTGCGACCTATAATCATTATATACCCTTGCATAGGATATACAATTTTAGTACAAAACTTTTCACGCAGTAAAGAATACATTTCTTTCTGTTTATAATACAACCAAACTATGTGGGATAGGCTAGTTATATACAATTATTTTTCAAGCCCAATAAAATATCCTTACTCGATATATAATGGTTTTGCTTTCAATGTCAAAATGTGTTTTGTAAAAAAACCTAAAATGTTAATTCGCGATAAATTAAACTTTGAGCCGACTTTGACAATCAAAAGTTTTTAAACTTAGCAATTTATAGAAAAATTAACCATACTTAGTTTACAAGTTGGTATGGCCATTAAGTATAACGACTACAATCTGAATAAAAATAATATGATATAAATATTTGTTTAAAATAGTAAAATACTGTGACCTTTTCTAAGTCACGAAGTCCACTAAATTGTATGAAAGGACCGGGAATAGTAATTTGTCGGAATGGCCTTAATGTTAATGGAAAATTGAAGCTTCACAAGCAAAAGTTATTTAAGATAGTAGCTAGTTTTCTAAACGAAATTAAAAGGGAAATTCACTAAAAAGCTGGTATATAATGAGGAGAAATAGGGAGAGCTGAGCGAAAAAAAAACCCCACACACCGAATTCGCCTAATTAAAATCCGCTTAATTTCAGGAACAATTAGCGGAACTGGAAGCAGCGTTCGCCAAATCCCATTATCCGGATATTTACTGCCGCGAGGAGCTGGCGCGAACAACAAAGCTGAACGAGGCGCGGATTCAAGTGAGTACTGCCATTTTTGCCAAAAATTTCCAGTTCCAGCCAACTCCGCGATGACCCACTCCCAATCCCATTCCCATTTCCACTCCCAATCCCGATACAATTCCAATTCCAATTCGAATCCCGGCTCGAACGTAGCCAATTACTGCAATTTCAACAGTTGTTCGTGCCAGAGTCACAATCCGAACGGAATCGATTGGGGATTGGTTGGCCCCGGCGGTCGATATATCCCGCTGATGACATGGTGGTGATCTTGGTCGTCGATTAGCATTAGCGTGCGATTATTCCGACTGACTGGCTCGCAGTGGTGTTGCTCTCAAGTGCTGCCGGTCCCATCCGAAAAGGTCCCAACCCAAACCGAAACCCAAACCCAAATCCCCTGGTCGAAATCACTGAGCTCTCGGTTCGATGGCTCTCCGCTGTTGCGCTTTCAAGTGCGCCGCGGTAATAATTAATTTATAGTTTTATCATGACTGCTAGACAAGTGAGTGCGGCGGGTGGTCGTGTTGGTTGGGTTGGGTTGGGTTGGACAGTGCAGGGGAGGACGAGGACGAGGAGGAGGAGGAGGACCAAAAAAGGGAGGATTGGCAGCTATAGTGCATCACATGCTCTCGCCCAAAACCAAAAACGCGGTGTCGAATTACACGGCAGTCGGGACGGGGATTTTCTGGCCCTTTAAGAAAGCTCTTTCAGCAAGTGCCAAAGATTCACTTAAAGTGACATTAGGAAATGCCATTTGAGATTTGATAGTAGCTATTAAAGATTTGAAAATAAATATTCAAAAAGCCAGTCGATGGTTTTTTATTATCAGAAACGGATAAGGTGCAAGGGAAAATTTGTATTAGTTCAAGCCAACATGCATTTTTATTAATAAATATTTCAAGACTTAATATTTGTACAAATGTACGATTAATACCTATCGCCATGCTAACTAAATAGTTAATACAGATACGAAATATTTCACAAAGCCTTTGCCAATGAACAATTTTTGGTTGTCTTTAGCCGCCTAATTTCGAATAGTTTTCCGTAACTTGATCAATAGAAAGCAGTACTAAATATAAAGATAAAAGATAAAATACTTTCGATAGTCAAAGTGTGTACAGCCTTGCAGCAATGACAAAAAGTGTTTAGTCTATATATTTGTAATATTTAAACAAAGGTGCCCTTGGAATATACTTTCACGATTGAGAAATTGTCAGGCTTATAGGTTTTAAATGGAATTAGAACAGAAGGACATGTTGATATCAACCGGTTATTATCGGGCTAATGCTTGCATTGCAAGCTTATGATCAAAATGATTACAAATTATTACATTTATTGCAAGGGTATAATTATGTATGTTCTGAGGAGTGCATCCTTTTCCCCCTGCCAATTTTTGGAACAACTGTTCTCGGTCAAATTAGACACTGCGAACCGGAGACCAGAAAGCCGAAGGCCTTGTCGGTCTATTATCGCCGCATAAACCATATTTTTGTGCAAATGTTCAAATATTTACTTTGCCAGCGAGTTGGCCGGTGCAACCCCCTTCCGGAGACCCCTCCTCCTCCCTCCTTCCATCCAGTTTCCCATTTCCAGCATTACCCCCTGGTAATCCGACGATTGCTCGTCGCAACTTGACTCTGGCACTCAGGCGCCCTGCATCGAAAACATCGAGAACTTCGTGTTGGTGTTGACAAATTTGTCGTGTATACATTTTACGGGAAAATTGACGCCCGTACTGGAGATGATGGTTTCGATGATGATGATGATGATGATGATGAGGTGGGCGTGGGGAACGGGGCGTTTCTGGGCACATCTGCTTGGAAAATTCATCAGCAAAGAAAATGTCTCATGTGCAAATTTTTAATGGACGCAGTGGGCTCACAGTAACATTAGCATTCCACTTGCGTGGCAAACTATTCAATATTTCTGTTTAAAAAAAGCGAGATTTGAATTGGTGACACTAGCGTATAACTAAAAACAATGTTCTTCTATAAGAATATCTAGCCTAACTTCTAACGCAAATCTTATACAAATATGCAGTCTTGAAACTGAAAAGTCATCCCATTTTAAATATAAGCTGGCTAAGATCCGTTCAGAAAGTTTCTTGATGTCTTTGCACTTAACTAAAACCTTTTAATTAAGAGATACGAACTTACCGATAAACTTATGAAGCCATTAAAATCAAATTTACAAATTTGTTGGACTCAATTTAGCAGAACTTTGTCGTTATCAATGAATAGTTACACTATGTTTGTCTTACAAAACTTATGAAATTTTCTTAAGTTTAATAATATAATTGGAAACTTAATACAATAGTTTAGACAAATGTTGTAAATTGTGAGAATAAGGTAATTATATTCCAAAACAGTTACTGCGTAAACCAGAACAAAAAAGTTATTGACTAATAAATGAGCTAAACGTTTTGAGTCGTTAATTAAATAAATAATAAACAACATTTTAGGCAAGGCAGAAGCGGCTAAAACTACGTCCTTAAAGAAATTTTAATTATCTTGAAGGCTAATTCTAAGAAAATCAAAAGTATGAGCTATGTCATGATGAAAATAATGTGAATAAATTGAGATATCAGCAGATAACATTTGATTGCTGAAAGATTATTTACGAAAGAACGTAGATCGGAAATCAAATTGATTTGCTGAGATTATAAATTCCTGACGCGTAAACAAAAAATCGTGAGAAATAAGTTGAAAGCTCGGCATTTGCTCTGCGATTATATTGATTATATCAATGTTTTTGTTTATTTGTTAGGACGGTACTTGCGAATAAGGCGCCAGTTGGGGGGACATTCAATTTTTTTTTGCGGCGCCACTTGTTATGAGAACTTTATAGTAAACATTTGGGGCAGACACCATTTGATCTGTGGGAATGCGATATGTTAGGCCTCGAAATGAGCTTCGTAGACAGGAAACACCTGAGCTGATGAGTTGAAAAGTGTGTGATAAGGAGGCCAGTTGGCAATTAGTAGCCTTTCGCATTTGTAGGTCATGGGTTGGATGGCCTGGCAAGGGAATCCACCTGCATTCCCACCCACGCCGAAAGTTCATCTAACTTATCCGCCCACACACTCACCGGCAAAACTCCGATGTGAATGGAACAAAGGCGAAACCGGGGACAAAAAAAAAAGGCATCGAGACAAAAACTCTAAGCGCTGTGAAGTGAAAAAACCAAAACCGAGCAAAAACAAACGTTGGCAGCGGCTAAATTTGATTAAATGCTGAAAGTAAATTCAATTTGAATACGTTTAATTTTCATATTTCCGCCGTGGCCGAGTGGCAATGTGTGTGTGCGACCATGGTTATTTGTATTTATAATTCGCTTTCATATCATTAAAGTTTAGGCTGTTTAGAGTAGGCTACCAGCTTTATTCCATATTACAAACTTAAAGGCGGATGAATTTGGCATTGAGATTGGGACACCCACACTACTTTTCAGAGGAGGCTAGCGAAAATGTTGGCTAAAATCGAATTTCCCTTCGATTTTGTTTGTTCTTGTTTGGCCCCATGGATACGTACTATATGTACGTACGTATGAGAGTGTGCCATCAAATGTATCCTTAATTGAGTTTCCCCGCCCACCCACCTACACACGCACACACATTCAGCTGGAAATTGAACGACAGATAGACAGAGCGCTATCGAATCATTCAGACAACGCATTTTCATTTTCCACCCTCGAAGTGGAGCTGAACCTGGAGCTGGATCCTGCCCAGCCATACATACACACATATATGGCTGATGGTTAAGAGCATTATTTTGCAGTGTGTGTGTGTGTGGGTGTGCGGGGGTGTCCTTGCTGGCATTTTTATGCTGGCAGCCAACCAAACGAAACCGAACGAGCCATAAAGTGGGCGCTGAAAACAACCCCCGAAAGCCAGAACTTTTCGTTTAAAGGCGCACTCCTCCCATCCCGAACCCGAACTCGAACCAGAACCAGAACCCCCCCCATTCCAAGCCCCTTCCCAGCCCCAATCCCTGTCCAACCACCCACTCTGGAGAACCCCACAGATATATGTACGTGTACATAGTCATGGACAAAGATAATAATAATGATAAAATAAATAAGAAAATGAAAGGAGAAAAATTGAAAGACGAGGGGTCTCGAGTCTGGGTGCCGTGCCGCCATTACAGCTGCAACAACACCCTCATCGCCTTGCCCACCACCATCCTTCGGGCCATCGCCTGCTCCATTTTCCTCTGCCCCTGCTCTGCCCCTGCCCCCGCCCTGCCTTTCCATTCCCGAGGAACTCAAAGCAAGCTGAGCAGCTTTCCAAAATGTCGGAAATTTCTACACACCCCCCACACCACCGTCTTCGTTTCGTCCTGGCTCGTTGTCTAGTGCAGAGCGCTGCTTTCATCTTGGCAATTTCTTTTCGCCATCGTGGAAAAAGGGACGACACTGGGGCAGGGGTAGGGTCTTGGGCCATCATGGAGCTCCATCATCAGGACCGAGGACTGTCTTTAATAATATCTAAACAGAGCAGGCAACCCACACTCCCAGTCACTTAGAGAGCCAGGGAGACCAGACCCTCGCAGCAAACAGCGTCGTCAACTTATTTTCAATTTCAATTTAGTAGATTTTTTCACTCATAAGACGTTGCCATCGTCCGGAGCCAGAGGCGAAGACGGAGAAGGATAGAGGATAGATGGGTCCTTAGACGGGGACAAGAACTGGGGACTGGGACTGGCAGTGGGACAGACGACAGGAAGGGCTGTATGGATGGGGATGGGGAGGGGATTCCATTTAGCTTTGCCTTCTTTTTTCTTCATTAAGCGTCCCTTTCCGAACTGCGAGCTGGGAAACTTAAAGAGCCCGTAAACTCATGCCATCCGCTTTCCTTTGCAGGTCTGGTTTCAGAACCGCCGTGCCAAGTACCGCAAGCAGGAGAAGCAGCTGCAGAAGGCGCTGGCACCGTCTGTGATCCCATCCTGCAACGGGATGATGCGGAACATCCAGGGCTACAGCGTCTCGCGCGGCTACCAACCGTATCCGCATCACAACACCATGAACCGCTATCCCCAGGTAAGATAACATAGTCCCGATTTTCCCCATGATCTCCCATTTACACAGAGTTTTTCCCCGCTGCAGGACCTGTTCCAAATGGGCGCCTCCTCGTATCCGGGCATGACGCAACCATTCTCCATGGCGCACAGCACGAACATGGGCTCCGTTGGAGTGCGTCAGGACTCGATGGGTAAGTTTGGGATTGGGATTTGGACATAATTCACTGTTCACCGGGGTGTTGGTCACTTACCTTCTGCTGGTGACTTTTCGCCAAGGCCCAGAACTCTTTCACATTCGCGGAACCCACACTTTCACTCGCACTCTCACTGATAACTCTATCTGATCATCCTCGCACTGCCACGGCTCGACATGGAATGTCGGAGCGGTCTGGAGATCAGACCCTCGGCGATCGTGGCCAGAGCTCCCGATTCCCGAGCTGCGCCGAATGGCCGACACGAGCTTCCTCAGGTTGTATACCTTATGGGTATGGTTCGTTTCCCCCCGATCCATGCTCCCTGGTCCCCGAATCTCTGGTCCGTAAGTAAATTTCCGCTCCAAGCGTCGACTCGTTGGCTGAAATCCGATGTTGTTTATCGGTCGTCAGGCCAGGCGCCATATTGGGTTACTAAGCGGGAAGGGCCGAGTGATTCTCGTAATCAGGCGTAAACAAATTGAGAGGGTGGGCCTTTTAGAGGTGACCTGACGGCTAAGGCGAAGATGCGGCAGTGAAATGAATTTCCGGCCAAGTCCTGTGGGAGGCAGTCCTCACAATCAGTAGTCATGTGTGTCCAGGTGGCCAGCAAGTGGGGCGGAGCTTCCGCAGACGGGAAATGCAAGGTGTCTTGAAGAATTGCGCTGTCGTAATTGCCTAAATGAAATCTTCTACTCTTCTTTTTTTTTCCTTGCAGGAATGTCGCCGGAGGACGAGTGGTACAACAAGAGTTTGTCCGCCCTGCGGATGAACTCTTCGCATCATCCCAACCTGTCAGCCCCAATGCTGCAATACCAGACATAATCAAAAACCTTTGACGACTTCTTTTAAAAGATCGCACCTTAACCGCCTTGAAAGTGGGCCGTTGATGTGCGCTGTTTTAAGGGAGAGTGCGTCAATCGTTATCCTGTAACAACATGCAAGCTTCTCTATCTATATCTATGCATATATCGCTGTATATATGTACATAGTATATATACGAGTGTGTGTCAGTCAGTCATTAGTCTCCAGCCCCAGGATGCGGGATGTTTATCATCGCCACTGATTCGGATCGCTCCGAGATCGATATCAAAATCGTTCATTGTCGCTTTCAGCTGTGGGCGGGATTTACTCATAAGACTTGTTGATATTATTATGTGTTTTTTTTCTCCTTTTTTTTTTTGGACAAACAAGATCCAAATCGAATAAGAGGGGCAGAAGGTTGAGGGCCAGGGAGTCAGAGGTAAACAAATACAAGTGGAAGATATTGTAATAGGCAACTAGTCATAGTAACTAAGCAAATTGTGTATTGAGATTTTATCGTGGCATTATAAAAAGTAAAATAAAAGCACAAATCGTGCATATATATAAATCTAAATAAATACATATATACTAAAGTATATACTAGCGATAGCATAAGTCAGGTTGCTTAGCCCCCAGAACACCTCCCCCAACGGAGCGCAGTCTGATCCGATCAGATCTACTCCTAGCTCCTAGCTCCTAGCTCCTAGATCTCCGTGCTCCATGCAACTCTTTGGTTGCTTTCACCGACTTTTCATTGCCTGCTCACTACTCATTAAATATAGCTTACTCAAACATACGACGTACATATAGCTCCTCCACCCATCTGACCGTTCATAAACTCGAAGTGCACAGAAAACCAGAGCAAGCATCCGCAGGCCAAACCCAAACGACTACAACTACAAAACTTTCTAACTAATTCAAGGTGTGTCGAACTAATTATAAGATGATTTTTTTTAGCTAAGCAATGCATTAACGAGTTATATTTAATAATAATACTAAACAAAACAAAACAAAAAACAAAACAAACGGAAACCAATAAAATACATCACCTATATATATTTAAATACGAAAAAAACAACAAGCCAAACGAAAACTACAAGACGCATGTTTAACAAATTATGCCAGACACAGCAAGAATGGAAATAATAAAAATATTAAAAACAAATTCTACGAACATTTTATTATTTAGTTAACCAAGCGCAACATTTACAACATGCTGAGAAATAAAAAGGGATTGAGTATGGTAAGTGAAAACCAAAATTTATCTAATATTTTCGAAATCTCAAAATATATAGACGTCCAAACTGTATAAAAGTATAAGTTATTTTCTTTAATAGACTAAATAAATTATATACCGAAGTAAGTATCATGGATGGGTTGGTTATATTTCCAATACATATCTCTACCATTCTAAATGTGGCACGAAGCTTAGCAATTATTTACCCCTTATAGTTCTTATGTTGTTAGTTTGAGCCTAATGTTCTTAAGGGCTTAATGGGTTTCACGGGGCAAAAGAAGAACTTTTGCAATGAGTTTACTTTATTACCTTAATAATAATATTTATTTGATCAAACGATTTTTATTAATAATAATTCGCTTAAATAAACAAATCTGTTCATAAATAGATATTATCATCTTAAAAATGTGTACACAATTTTAAGAAAATATTAGCTTTACTTTTTGGTTTTCCATCTACCAGCATCCGTCTAAATGAATGGAATAGAGCAACCTCTGAAGTCTGTATCTGAAACACTATTAATCCGATTGATTTAACATTTTTAGGGCATTCTTTAAAACAAACTTCAAAAAATGTATTTTGTTTTTTGCGTAGCCCAAAGGTTTTTTATAGGTACGAAAAAGTTCAATCTTCCAGGAGGCGTTGGATGAAATGCCAAAATTTTGATTGTCAATAATTGATGTGAACAAATTTTTAGTTAGGACAAAACTGCTGCCAATCGAGGAGTCAAGCAAACACTTAATTTAAGTCCAGACAATTCAGTTCTGTCGGAGCTCGAGGATGTTCTTCAACCGCCTGAGGAGTATTTCCTGGCTGGGCGGCGGCGCCAAGGAGAACCGCTGCGACGAGCTGCTGCCCAAGGAGCCGGTGGTGCTCAATGTCTACGACCTCTTTCAAATCAACGACTACACGATGGTCCTGGGCGTGGGCTTCTTCCACTCGGGGGTCCAGATTTACGGCAGGGAGTACGGGTTCGGCGGCCACGAGTTCCCCATGTCCGGCATCTTCGAGATCGAGCCCTGCAACGGAGAGGCCGAGCTGGGCGAGAGCATTCGGTTCCGGGAGAGCATCCTGTTGGGCTACACCCACTTCAGCCGCCCGGACGTGGAGCGCATCGTCGACCAGCTGGGGGCCCAGTTCCCCGGCAACAGCTACCACCTGACCAGCAGGAACTGCAACCACTTCTCCAACAGCCTGGTGCAAATCGTCTGCGGCAGGAAGATCCCGGGCTGGGTAAATCGACTTGCCCACTTGGTCAACTGCGTGCCGTTCCTCGAGCGCTGTATGACTCCCAGACCGTCGGAGTATCGGCACCATTACCATCATTATCAATTCCAGCAGTATTAAGATACTACATTTACTAGCAGCATTATATTTATTACTATTATATTTTTTTATATGCTCTGGAAGAAGATCCAATGATCAAGAACCAATGGTTTTGAATTATGGGATCTTTATCAAAACAAAAATTCTTGAAATCGGGAAAAATTTGACTTGACTTTATGATTTTCAGAGGGAGAAGACAGGAGAGGCAAAACAAAAGGAGTACAATTTGAGGACATGTAAATTAAGGATATGGGTGACAAATGCTTTAATCCAAGGCATAAGATAATATAACCACTTGTTGAAAAAGGAAATATAAGAGTACTATTACTCCAGCCAATTGGATTTTAATTTTGTAATTGCTTAAAAATAACCATAATACTATTGGATCATAAAAGCGATGTGGCCAAAAAAAATACTGTCAAATCAATGTGAAGGATATAAGGGTATCAAGACTTTTCTTATCAGATTTGGACTTTTTAAATATGTATTATTTAAAGTATACTGAGAGAGAGACCCCTGAAAAAGAAACACTTAACAAAAACGGTGGTAAGAAACCCCCGGCTAAACGAAAACAAATGATGTGTGAATTATATTTATATTTATTGTTAACAACTCATTAGACACCGGCTTTTCCAAGCTCAATCCGAGTTGTGCAAACTTCTTGTTCAGACCACTTTCAATAAGAACAGGGCAATCGAGTTCCATGGGCCAGTAGATACTTAAGATCCTAGGATTTAGTAAGATAGACGTAACCTGACAGAATTTTCGTAGTATTACATATTTAATTGGTTTTCTTAAACGAATAGCGCTGCTTGTATACATTTGTTGCCAAGTGTTTTTAGTTACATTATAATTAGCCTAACAGAAACTCGTTGCTGAATATGGGTGTGGAGTGGATCCAGCGTTTCCATTGCGTTCCTCCAACTTTTCCTGTGATAGCGGCGATCATATTTTCGACGACTTTGCCTACAAGCCTAGCCGAAGTACTTTATTTTAAATGCTAAATTATTTCACGAAAAAAAAAGACATTTAAGTTAATAATTTACACGTGTATAAATCGATTGTGTTAAAGTTATCATAATATTACATACATATTATGCACTAACGCTGCTTTTTCTACCGCTGTGTGTACTACTCATTAGTTTTGTGTGGTGTACGTGGCCGCGACCCCGGCATAGGAAAGTATCTTACCCGTTAACCCATTAAAAATCATCTCTGACCTATACAACTTTTTGTGAAAGATGCAAATATCTTTCATATCCTTTCTTTGCATTTACCAAGCTTCATAGTCAAAGATTACGCGCATGTGTTGAAGTATTTATGCATGTAGGATCCTCGATTTACAGCCGTGCAACATGTCAAACCGATTTAGTGTTACCCAAAATACAAACAAACTAATTTCTACAAGCCTAGATTAAGCCGTGATGCTTTTTTATAGTAAATGCGTCCCAAATTTTATAGACAAATAAAAAAAAAAGGAATCCGGCCAGCAGCCGTATGGCAGGCTGCACAGCTCTTGGACGTGTTTTCTCAGCTTCTCGCGAACACATCCTGGCCGCCGCCCAACATCAGGCTATGTTATGTACCGGTATATATTTATGCGTGTATATATATCGAGAGTGAACACATCCCCCGGCGCCGCTGGGGTCTCCTCACTTTCCCAGGAACTCTACGCCGCCGCTCAGTGCGACTTTCTTGGCTGGTGGCTGCTCGGCAATGGTCTGTGGAGAAGGAAAGGATCAAGAAGGCCATAAGGATAGAGCTTAGAATGAGTAATAATGAGCAACACCCACCAATACGGTGCTACTATCCCGCTTGCTTGTGGGATTGGCAGCCGTGCTGGAAGCCGCAACGACGACCCCGCTCGAGGGATTGGACTTTAGCTCTTCGCTGCTGGCTTGAGATTTGGGTGCGGGCGCAGAACTTGCGCTGGACAGTAACGACGAGCCGGTGGCTCCGGCCGATCCAGTGGTGACCACGTCACTGCTCGAGTTCGTGGCTGTGTCGGACTCATCGGTAATGGTGATTGTAGCACTGGTGGGCTTGTTGCTGGCGGTGCCAGCTGCAACGGTGCCGGTGGCTGGGCTGGAGCTCACGGTGGATGCCACGGCGGGCGTGGCATCTGCTGCTTCGCCAGCACCACTCTTTAGTGCACCCGCCGTCCCCAGCTCTGGCTTCTTGGCGTCCTCCTTCTTCGGCGGCGATTCCTGGTTCGGGTCGACGCCGTTGTTGCTGGTTTCGGTGGACTGCTTCCTGACTGCCGTCGCAGTCGTCGCCGATGCCGAATCGACCGCACCGGGTCCCGATATAGTCGCTGATGCCGCTGCTGGTGTTGCTGCCGCTGCATCGACGACTGGCTCACTACTCGGGTCCTCCGGGCCAGACTCCTCCGATTTTCCGGCTTCATACTCCTTTACGATCTGGTCAAGATTGTATCGTCGCCGATTGTTCACGTAGAAGGTTCGCACATGCGCCTCCGTCTTGGTGGTCACCAGCTTGGCAATCATCTGCGACCCAAAAAAAAAAACATTAGTTCATATTCTTTGCTACTAAAAGAAGGGAACATTTACAGGAAAGTTTTTTCCGTATTCGCGGAGCGCCAGCAGAGCCACTTGGATCTCGTCCGGCAACCAGCGGGCGGAAATGCGTGGCTGGGCAGTTTCGGTGTTGGCCGCCGCCGGTTTGGACACCACGTCCTCGACGTTGATGGAGTCGCACTCCTTGTCTAGCTGCTCCATCATCTGCCTATTCTTCTGTATCTGAAATGGGTCAGGGTGCAGGGGGGCATTCAATTGAAAATTGTCAGTGGGTCCAAGTCGTACAATGGGGTCTGATGTGTGGGTGTGAGTGAGTGAGTGTAATGGGTGATATCGTGCAGGGAATGAGTTCTGTGATCTGTGATGCCTTTGCTCGCCAGCATTGAACTATCGTGATTTTGGGTGGGCTAAGCTAATTGTTTTTCCTTTGTTAGTGTTTTTGAAAAAAAAAATGTTGACATTTCGAAAGGTTATGGTCTTTAATTCAATGTAGCAATGGTTTATCTGAATGGGCCTCGGAAAATGCAGTTAAAATAAACCGTAACAATAAAATGTTAAATACCAAATATTCCCAAATTTATTTATAAACATGTGCATGCCGAAGAGTTTTACGATTTGCGTTTGCGAAAGGTCTTTTACTTAAACATTTTTAAAACTATGATAAACCGATAAAACACTCGTATAAATCGTTATTCGTATAAAGTTAACCCAATTTTAGCCACATTTATGATTATGTTTTGCTTTTAAGGACAGTAAATGTTTTTATGGCAATTTGGTGACCGAAAAAACTTTATACTTTTGAGTAGTGACAAAGTAATGTTTTGATTCGTGTGACAACAGGCATTGTCATTTGAAGTATTAAACATCACACTGAAAGGCGATTTTGAGATTTCGAAATATGTGACTCTGTTACTGCTAGCTAAAACCCTAACATTTCAATGAGATATTGGCACCTAGAAGACTTTTAAGCTCCCGGGATAAGAAAGCAACTCCCCAAACCACTGCTAAGGCACCACTTGTCGCATAAAGGTAAGGGATTCCGGCCCTGTCACGTGTCTTACTTCGGCCATGAGGGCTGTTATCTTCCGATCCCGTTCCGCCAAGTAGATGCTGGGATTCTTGCAGCTTGCGAGGGCCGTTAAATCATCATGATTGATGTACATGCCCTTGGGCGGTTTGCGTTTGGAGCGATCGGCGTTCGCGGCGCAGTTATGGGTGGATCGTCGGGGAGCATTGCCCTCCGGCCCGGAGATGGGTCGCGGGTTGCCCGTGCGCCTGCCGACCGCCGGATGCGAGCGGGTTTTTGTGTGCGGGTGTGTGAATGGGGACGGGGCGGAACGGAATGACAAAAGTCAAGTGAATGCAACGTTTTTGTTTTTCGGGATTGGAAGAGAAGAGTCGAGAGAAAGGGGGGAAAAGAGAGATAGAAAACTTGGCATTAGCTTGGTGTTTTGAAGATGTTCCGGCGACTAGTAGTAGTAGTACTTATATATGGCATCATATATCTACCTCCAGTGGGTGTGACAACTCTTGCACATGCGCCCCAGCGGCGAGTCGTGCAGCACGTGGCACACCACATTGCAAATCTTGCAAAAACCGCCCACAACCACGCGTCGCACCTGGCTGGGATCGCCACCGATCTCGCCATTGTTGCTGCCATTGGTGGCACCATCGGCGGAGAGGCCAAATCCTAGCACTTCGTCACCCTGGGCATTTGCCGCGAAGATGCACAACTGCTCGGCGTCCAAATCGTTGTTGCTGGTGTTGCTGCTGTTGCTCCCGCCGCCTTGGTTGTTCTCATCCCCGTTGTTGTTGTTGTTGTTGCCGTTGTTACCACTGCTACTATGGTTGTTGCTCCCGCTGTTGTTGTTGCTGTTGCTGTGATTGTTGTTGTTGTTGATGGTGTTGGCAGTGGTGTTTGCGGGAGTGGTGGTAGTGGTGGTGTTGGTAGAGGTCGTTGTGGCGTCGGTTATAGTTGTGGTGCTATTGTTGCTATTCCCCTTCTGCCAAGCCAGGATTTCATGATACGCAAATGGATTCGAGTTTGGCGGTTGCAGTTACAATTGCAGTTGCACAAACGAGATCATAACGAATTCGTTTAAATTTTTGTGAATGAGCACCGACCAACGTATATGATTTATTCGATTCAATTCGGTTGAGGTTATTGCATTTTGTTCGGGTTTGATTATTTGTTATTGGTTTCGTTTTGGACAGTTTCAGGTCGGGTTATTTGTTTAATGGTGTGTTTTGATTGTTGGATTGGATTTTTGTACAGTAAATGCAAAGAGAAGAGAAAAAACGTATTTGGTTGTTGCTTTAGTTCAGTTGGTAACATTTAACAATTACAAGATTGTATTTGGGTTGTTTGTTGTTGCTCTCCTGGTTGCTTTCTTGTCAACTGAATTTTAAAACGATGTACGTTACGGTCTTGCCACTCTCTCAACCCAACACCCAAACCCAAACCCAAGTCCCAAAACCCAAAACCCCATCCCTGCCCAACCAATCTCGATCCATTCCGAAATGCCAATTAAAAAAAAATTGTTTGGATGTGTAACCAAGTTCCAAGTGCCCTAAGTACTTAATAGTAACACAAAGATTCCATCCTAGACTAAATAAATTAGGATTAGGCTGCACAAATACGACTAAATTCGAGAACGAAAGACGGCCGAAGATTAGTTGATCTAGTAGTTTAGTTCGAGTAGGGAGAACGGCGATCAAAGAGATCAGAGATCTGATAAAGAGGTGCAAGCACAATGCTGACGGAATAGAGGAAACTTATGCCATACATATGTTTATAATGATAGATATAGAGACGTTTTGCGTGAGGGAGTAGGTATTTGTGTGGGTTCGTGTTTTGGATGAGGATGCGGGGCAATAGAAGGATCAGATAATGTGCGCGATTGTGTGGACCTGTGTATGTGATGGCGTATGGATTGGGGAATTGTCGAACAAAACTCAGATGAAGGCGAAGAAGCGAAACGAATCTCTAATGAATAAGAAACACATATAAATTGTTGGTTTTTGGTTTAATCTTTTCGCAAACAAGATATGCATTTATTAGGATAAGCATTAGGTTTGGTGATCGATCATGATTATCGTCAGCGGTTGGGTGAGTAAAGTAAAGAAACTAATTTCTTTTCTCTTTTTCACTCTATACAAATATGTATAATTCTACATAATTTAGGTTTTGCATTGTTTACTTTAATATTTAAATCAATCTCTTTATATAAATTACTATTTTACGTATAATAATTTACCATGCTATTTATAATTATTTAAAAAAAATATATTAAGTTGTATATACTATTTATATAGTTGTAAAGTATATGAACAAAGAACAAATCGTTTTGTTGCTTTGCCTTAGTCTAGTGTCAACCTGATCTGCTGATTTAGCGCGGTAAAAAATCTTCTTAAGCAAATCAATCAAATCAGGTTAACTTCGCGGAATACATAATCTCAAGTGTGTGTGGTGCAATCTCTGTGTACGAACGAAAATGTATCATTAATGTGTTTAAGTCTTATAGATGCTGGTCAATTATTGTTTTTGGTATTCGATTTTGTGTGGGTACTGATTTAGAATTTATGAGATGTATGCAGGCACGGCGATTATCTGAAAAATAACGAACCAGACTTTGAAACGACATACATCGCTGGCTGAAAATGGAGAGGATCCCTAGTGTACAGTCCAAACTACAAACTTTGTGGCAAGTCAGAGGAAGGGATACACAATTGTGTGGGGCCTGCGATCTTAGTCTATTATCTCCGAAATATATACTGCTACCCCGGCGTTTTTGAAGCGTGTTGGTTTATAAAGCGGACGGCTACTGATTACTATTTACACAGCTAATTTCAAAAGTTTTGAATGGAAATGGGAGGACCATCAAAATAAGGCTGGCAACTGTACGGCTTTTCAGTCCTAGTTTACGCTTACTCAATATTCCCGCGCCTGGATACACTTAAAAATTAGAAGTCAATGAAAATATGTACATTTTGAAATATTCTTGGAAGGTTGACAATTAGAGACATTTACTTAAGACACAATAAAAACTTTTTCTAGTTGTCTTCGCTTAAATTTACATCTGTATCCTAGAACTGCCTTAACGAACTAGTCTTTTAGCAGTCAACCATTTCTTTGCGATGCGATTCTTGAGCTGAAAACTGCCTGGCAAACATAATCGTACTCTACTTAGTCGGTGCCTGGAGCCGCCGGTGGACCTACGAGGAGAGGCAAAAGGAGCCGTCTCTTTTTGGATGTGGTTCGTGTTTTCGAAGTGATTGTGTGTTGATGATAGAAGTGTTTTATGTATGTATGCGTAGGTGTGTGAGTGTGTGTGTGTGGGAGAGCGGGAAAGGAGCTATTGGCTTTTCGCTTAGCAAGTTCTAACTGATAATTACCTTGTCATCGTTATCAGACTCCTCATTGCTGCCCACCTCGCTGCCGTTTTCAGAGCCATCCTTGACCACCGCCTTGATGGTCTTCTCCTGCCGATCCATGGCGCTGCTGCGGTGGCGCGTCTTCTTCCACGAGTAGTAATACTTTACCAAACTGGCGATTGATTTGTCTGGCAGCTGTGGAAAGAGTCGGAGTTAGTTGGTGCGCAGAAGGGACCAGGGTCCGGGTGTCTCACTCACCATCTGGCGTATGCGGTGGAAGCTCTTCCCGTGAAACTGGAAGGCCTGCTCGAACAGCACCTTGTCCTCGATGGTCCACTCGTCAGGGAAGGGTGTGAAGTTGGCCAGGTCCATCACGGCCCGCTCCAGGTCGTGTTTGTGCCAGAAGAGCATGCCCAAGGCCTGCTCGCCATTGTAACCGTACTTCTCCTTGGCCACCGAGATGTACTCCTCCACTGCAATGACACAAGAGGGGTGTAAGTAATCCGCTAGTGTCAAAAGGACTGAACCTGAGGAAAGGGAAACTTACGTTTCAGATCCGGGATCTCCTTAGTGGGTGACCAGACCAGGAGGGCGCGTTCGTTCATCTGTTCCGGGCGTCGCTCCACCTCCGGCACGAGTGGCGGGCATACCGCCTGGTAGTCCCGTCCCACGCGAATTTTCTCTGTGGGAATGCCATTAAATTAAAAGATTCTTGATGCGATTGCAAAGGTAATCCTGGGACTCACCTTCGTACTCGGACTGTTTGGCCTTGCTCTTGCCGTTCCGCTTGGTGGCTGCAAAGAGGGGTAGAAATGTAAGTGGGCTGTTGGCATCCCCTCGTCAGTGCTGGGCACTTACAATTGTCGTCGTCAGAGCTCTCCGGCGTGCCCGCACCTGGCACTGCTGTGGTAGTCTTCTCGCTGGCGTTCCCAGAGTTGCCGGAGTTGCCGCCTCCACTGCCCACTAGGCTGGTGCTGTTGGCCACGCCGCCTGTGGTGTGCGTGTTGGGACTGGGACCGCGAGACCGACGCCCGTTCCGCACCACGTCTGTGGTGTTGCGCTCAGCCAACACCATCTTGTCCCGGATGAGCTGGGCGCGTTTGTTTTGCTTCTCCAGGGTGCTAGCTGTAGCCAAACGGTTGCGAACACGAGCACTGCCGAGCTAAAAGGAGTAATGCAGAGTGGTGGCGTTAGTTCCGATTGCTCTGGATTTCCAATCTCCGGCCGAAAAACCCAGCAAATAGAAACTCTTCAGTGCGTTTAGCGAGAGTTTGCGCCTGGCGAGTGTCACTTTGCCGTAGCGACCGCAGCCGTGCGCTGTCAAACAGATACACATACACATACGAGTACAGATATGCGCGTGTAAGTGCGACGCGTGTGTAGGTGTGTAGGTGAGGGCCAAGCCAGCTGAGATTGGGAATGGACTTGGGATAGGATCAGGATTCGAACGCGATAGGGACCTCCACTGGAATCGGGGGAAGGATGCTCACCTGGTACTCTGGTGCCCCAGAAGCACACAACCGAAAACGCTGCCACACGGAGTTCACCACTGGGCTGCTTTCGCCCGCTTACGTAGTTTCGCCTGCCGGGCACGGGAAATTGGTAAGCAAACGGCGGGCAACGGGTTTTTCGTTGGATATATTTGCCCAAAACTCTATCCACGGACCGCAGCGAAGGGCAAATACACGGGGATGTTGCGCACAGGTAACTGAAACCCAAACTGAAACGCGAAAAAAAACTAGCTCGCGTACCGATTTCTGGTCGTCCGTGTACAGCGCACTTTGTCGCCGACGACCGCAGTTCAGCTTTGTCTGTCGGTTGATCCGATTTTTCTATGTGTGCCTCGCGTCTCGGCGGCGGTCCTTTCAATTATCGCGTTTAGCTTAGCCCTTCAGTTCGAGATCAAAAACACTCCGCTTGTCCCTATTAAATGCACAACGGAAGTAGTTTTACGAAAAGATACTGCTGAAAATCGAGCGAATGCTCAAAGTTAATTTAAACTGTAGTGTAGCAGCCACGGTTGCAAGGGATACATTTAAACTATCGATTGTGGCGCTTCGATACATCGATTACAGGACGCCAGTGATGCCAGCCCGTAGGCTGTACTGAAATCCGGCCTATCAACTATCGATAACAGTAGTTATGAGCTAATTCTAGAGCAGTTTTCACACATTCGTGTCTGTTGTGAGAGCAGCCGGCTAATGTGAACATCCAGATATAATCGACTGCAAATTGAGTAGCCATTTGCCATTTCACCCCCAAAAATGCGCCGGCAAGGTGGCAATCCTGCTGCCCCCGCCGCCTATCGACCGATAAACCGCAGATTCGCCAGTTTTCCGCAAGGTGGCGACTACGGCGGGCGCAGACTAAAAAGACAGACTTTTTTCTATATACGCCAGGAACAAGTGCAAAAAACCGAGGCAACGCAATGGCTGCTAGATTCATACAGAAAATTGTAAGACCCGTGTAGACTTAAGCGCCTTAAACCCACCTCCCCCGCGCCGCGGCATCCCTTCTCGCCCACGTCCAAAACCAATTCCGCAGGACAGCAATTGATTACGTGCTGGCTGAAAAGTACTGGCCAACTACAACTAACATTGCGATTTTGTTTCTCGTTCGAACACGGTTATTTGCAACACCCTACTCTACCCTGCTCCACCGTTAACCAATCTACCAATCCACCGACAACAACACATTACGCAAAACACTTGCAGCTTAATCAACTGGGTTTGATTGCTGCGCGTGATGCTCCGTCGGCGACTGCGACGCCAGCAGCGGCTGTCCAGGTTGGTTCCCCCTTGTCAGCTGAGGAGACTCATCCGGATGGTGGTTACCGGGTGAAAGAGTAACCTCCGTCGCCAGGACATCAGCTGTCCGTCCGGCGAAAACGAGGACAGAACAGCACAGGCACACCGCAGCATTCCCTTTACATAACACTCTCTCTCTCGCTTCCTCGTTGCGTGGCCGTTATCGATAAACGCTGGTGATGGGAGGGGTGCAACGGAACATTCGCAGAAAAAGGCAGTTACCGAGATTGTGTTCAGATTTCTGGCCTTATCAACGCCGTGGGAATAATTTATGCACTCTAACCTCAACAATGCAAGATGTTTGGCGCGGGGGGTGGGGCTGCAGCGACCGCTGAGATTGTTGTTTTGGCATGGCAACTTATGTAACCCTTCTAGATGCTGCCTATCTATGTGGGCCTGTTAGTTTTTGTTTCATCCAGAGTGAGGACTCACAACAAACTTAACCTACTGACATCGCTCTCTCTTTCAACTGCTTACAGGTCAACGCGGCTCCCGCCGCCAGCCGGTCCTACTCCTCCGGAACCCAGAAGGTCACCCTGATCCCCGGCGATGGCATCGGACCCGAGATCTCCGCGGCCGTTCAGAAGATTTTCACCGCTGCCAACGTTCCCATCGAGTGGGAGGCCGTGGACGTGACCCCCGTCCGGGTAAGTGTCGTAACCTCGGGAATCCCGGGAGGGCGCCAGCGCCAGTTCAAATCGAATCCACCTAAATCGAGCGCCCTCGGTTTCCATGTGAATGGTCTTTTGGCAACAGGTGGCAACTGTGGGTGTTTAGGGCGCAAAATTTGAAATGCCATCATCTTGTTATTCACCATTTAAAAATAAGAAATCAATTATACTCTTGCAGAGGGTATTATAATTTGGTCATAAGTTTTTACCGCAGTGAAGGAGACATTTCCGACCCTTAATAGTATATTCTTGATAAGTAAGTAGGCGTATGTAGGCAAGTTGATATAGAAATGTCCATTTGATTCTATGCCGTTTGAAAAATTACTCCAAGGGCTAAACTAAAAAGTTTGGCTATTGGTCTTTTTATGTGTGGACGCAGATTAAGTTGAAAGCGGCTGTAGTAGTATTGTTCCGTGTTTTTGTCAATATTATGTTTATATCCCATTTACGGACCAATACCTTGGGTTTTATCAAAATCGGATGACGAAATCTAAAAGAGCAGTAAGAAAGTTAGCGTTTCGAAAAAATAGAGGTCTGATGGGCGTTGCTTTAAAAGGCACAATCTTTTTTGGTTTTTTATACCCTTGCAGAGGGTATTATAATTTTGGTCAAAAGTGTGCAACGCAGTGAAGGAGACATCTCCGACCCTATAAAGTATATATATTCTTGATCAGGATCACCTCCTGAGTTGATATAGCCATGTCCGTCTGTCCGTCTGTCCGTCTGTCCGTCTGTCCGTCTGTCTGTCCGTCTGTCTGTTTCTACGCGAACTAGTCTCTCAGTTTTAAAGATATCGAATTGAAACTTTGCACACACCCTTCTTTCCTTTGCACGCAGTATATAAGTCGGAACGGCCGGGATCGGCCGACTATATCCTATAGCTGCCATATAACTGATTGATCGGAAATGCCATAACTCTGCTGTTTGTTTAGTTAGGAAGTTGGGACTCTCTATGGGTATTATATTTGGCCAATCAATCCGACATACCAAATTTCATAAGGATCGGCCGACTATATCCTATAGCTGCTATATAACTGATTGATCGGAAATGCGATAACTTTGGTGTTTGTAAAGTTGGAAAGTTGGGATTTTCTATGGGTTTTATATTTGGCCAATTAATCCGACCTACCAAATTTCATAAGGATCGGCCGACTATATCTTATAGCTGCCATATAACTGATTGATCGAAAATGCCATAACTTTGGTGTTTGTTAAGTTAGGAAGTTGGGATTTTCTATGGGTTTTATTTTTGCCCAATCAATCCGACATATTAAATTTCATAAGGATCGGCCGACTATATTCTATAGCTGCCATATACATATGTAACTGAATGATTGGAAATGCCATAACTTTGGTGTTTTTAAAGTTAGGAAGTTGGGATTTTTTATGAGTATTAAGAATGCATCATATGAATAATTTTGGAGAATATAATTTACAGAGTATTCTGCAAGGGTATATCAACTTCGGCTCCGCCCGAAGTTAGCTTTCCTTTCTTGTTTACAAACCATTTTGTTGAAAATGTATAATCCTAGGCACGTTGTACTTATAATACAAATAAACTTCTTTGGTTACTTTTCAAACTTTAACGTGAAAAAAAAACAAAATCCATTTTGGTGCTTGTGTCATTTATTTTTTAAATCAAACGTTAATCAAACTTGTGCCGTCTGCCGTTCCGTGAACGTCTGCCTTTCCGTGAACGTGTGGCGTCCCCTAAACTTTTTTGGATTCTGTTCTTCCATTCCTCCGGTACATGGGTTACTTCGTATTCATTACCACCCAAAGCAATTCTAGGTACGCCTTCCACAGGGGTGGGGTCAAAATGAGATAAGAGGTCCGGTGGCGGCGTATTGCTTTCTCCCAAAAGATTTCCCGGGAACAGCAGGATTACGATCCCAAATGTCAGAACTGACGGCCCGTGCATCTTGAGTGACAGACTATATAATTCTGTTATTGGAATGTTGAGAGGCATGCTTTTGTCATTGCAAAGCTACAAAATGCTGTTATCAATGTAGAAGATGAAATTTCAAAAGAGAGAACATAAAAAAACAGTCGATAGAGAGCGTTTATAGTATAAAAAGGCAGGGTTCAGATTTCACATTCACCTAATTGTTGTATTTGGTATATTATTTTAACTAAACTATCTATAGGCACAGTAGTGTGAACATTAAAAAAAAAGAATGCATCACTAATAAAAATGCTTTAAGCTATTTTAGTAAATTACGCCTTGATAAGTGTAGAGTTTATTTTGGTCTCGTTGTTCGTCTTGGTCCTACATTTTGCGCCCTTGTAATCCAAGTGTTAGGTATTTTGTCGGAGTTGGGAGCCAAGGCTTTCCTGGTTACGTATGGATCCGCAGTGGAGGTACTTAATTCCTCCGGATTCGTGGTGGATTCTCCCAAAAACAGCAGGAATACTATCCCAATAAACAGGAATTTCGAAACGAGCATATTGAGCGAAAAAAACGTACTAAACGATTGCTTGCTTATAGATAGTATTTTAAAGCGGGATAAGAGTAGACAAAGCTACAAAATACTCTTATAAATGTATAAATATAATAGTATTATCTCTGTGCGAAGATTATATATATATATTACAGTGCGAAGAATATAAAAAAGCAAGACGCCTTAAAATAGTATTATAGTTATATGTTATATACCCTCACAGAGGGTATTATAATTTCAGTCAAAAGTTTGCAACGCAGTAAAGCCGACCCTATAAAGTATTTATATTCTTGATCAGCATCACCAGGAGAGTCGATCTAGACATGTCCGACCCTATAAAGTATATATATTCTTGATCAGGATCACCTCCTGAGTTGATATAAGCATGTCCGTCGGTCTGTTTCTACGCAAACTAGTCTCTCAGTTTTAAAGCTATCGAATTGAAACTTCTTTCCTTTGCACGCAGTATATAAGTCGGAACGGCCGGGATCGGCCGACTTTATCCTATAGCTGCCATATAACTGATTGATCGGAAATGCCATAACTTTGGTGTTTGTAAAGTTAGGAAGTTGGGATTTTTTATGAGTATTAAGAATGCATCAAATTAATAATTTTGGAGAATATAATTTACAGAGTATTCTGCAAGGGTATATCAACTTCGGCTCCGCCCGAAGTTAGCTTTCCTTTCTTGTTTTTTATTGTTTTCGCTGGTGATAAGGTTTATGTTAAATTTAATGTATAAGGAAAACAATTGATAAAGAGGGTGGAGTCCAAAATTTGACAGCAATTACAAATTACACAATTCACTTTCTTTTTATAACATTTCCTTAAATCAACTTATTTAAAAAAAAACATATCTAAAATGTCCGAGCAAACCAATTTCAACTTAATGTAGGTTTTTCCGTAATACAAATCATTTATTTTTTATTGTTATTTTATGTAGAACAAATCTAGACATAAGATTAAATCGTTATCAGCGTTTGCTGCACGTTATATACATATATGTATGTATGGTATTGCCAATCGACGCGACAGGACCTGATGAACAAAACATACACAATAAACTTACCAAAGTTAGTTTCCTTTTTTTCGAAAGCTACACACTATCACACTTTGTTTATACATTTTTAGATAAATATGGTCATTCCCGATCAGGGACTTCGTTTTCAAAATATTCAAAGTTTAGGAAAAAGTTTTTGAATATGAAAAGACATAAAAATATAAAAGACACCAAGCATAATAAACCTAATAATTAACTTAACTTGCCCAATATATATTGCTTAAAGATCGTACATTTTCCATACCACACCCGCCTGATTAAAATTCCCTACTTATTGTACCTCTCTCTCCCATTCGTTTTGTACGAAAACAGGGTCCCGACGGAAAGTTTGGCATCCCCCAGGCCGCCATCGACTCGGTGAACACGAACAAGATCGGCCTCAAGGGTCCTCTGATGACGCCCGTGGGCAAGGGACATCGCTCGCTGAACTTGGCCCTGCGCAAGGAGTTCAACCTGTACGCCAACGTGCGTCCCTGCCGTAGCCTCGAGGGCTACAAGACGCTGTACGACGACGTCGACGTGGTCACCATCCGCGAGAACACGGAGGGCGAGTACTCTGGCATCGAGCACGAGATCGTCGATGGCGTCGTCCAGAGCATCAAGTTGATCACCGAGGAGGCCTCCAAGCGCGTGGCCGAGTACGCCTTCCAGTACGCGAAGAACAACAACCGCAAGAAGGTTACCGTGGTGCACAAGGCCAACATTATGTAAGTTGGCCACTCCTCATTACATCTCTCCTGTAAATTGAATTCACGTTCTTGCCCGCTCACAGGCGCATGTCCGACGGTCTCTTCCTGCGCTGTGTCCGCGACATGGCCCAGAAGTACCCGGAAATTCAGTTCGAGGAAAAGTATCTGGACACGGTGTGCCTGAACATGGTGCAGAACCCCGGCAAATACGACGTGCTGGTCATGCCCAATCTGTACGGTGACATTCTGTCCGACATGTGTGCCGGTCTGGTGGGCGGCCTTGGTCTGACGCCCTCCGGCAACATGGGCCTGAACGGTGCCCTGTTCGAGTCCGTGCACGGAACCGCACCCGACATTGCCGGCAAGGACCTGGCCAATCCCACTGCCCTGCTGCTGTCGGCGGTGATGATGCTGCGCCACATGGAGCTCAACACGTACGCCGATAAAATCGAGCGGGCCGCCTTCGAAACCATCAAGGAGAGCAAGTACCTCACCGGCGATCTCGGCGGCCGCGCCAAGTGCTCCGAGTTCACAAACGAGATCTGCGCCAAGCTGTAGACGACCTCGCGGATAACCCGCAACTAGCTGTGGCAAGTAGCGCCGACAACAACAACCGATAAGAAGAGAGCAGAGAAAACCGCCAAGAATATTGTGCAGAGGGAAGATGATGCAGTATGAACAGCAGCAATTAAACACTCGCCCCAAACCAAAAAATATATAGCAGCAAAACAACCACAACAGCAACAACACTCACTAAACTTTGCCGAAAGTTTCTTACGTTTAACCTTTTAAAATTTTGCCAAATTTCCCCCCGCCCCCGAAAACAACAAAAAACTTATAAAGAGAACACTACCTAAAGTATTTATATGTTCGAATACCTAGGTATATTATTTAATTTGCTTAGGACAAACTTGCAAGTGTTAAGATTCGTTAAATTGCCAATTTTACTTGCGGTAGTAGAGTATTTTTGTCGCCATCCAGCCAAAACCTTGAGTTATTATTGTTTATATAATTCGTATGCAAAAAGATAATCTTAATTATTTATTGATTATTAATTTTCTAATTTGTTTAGTCTTTTGAGTTAAGTGAGCTCCTTATGCCGACCCCACTTACGAAAAGCAACAATTTTGTCAAATTCGAGGCAAAACGTGTGAAATAGAAGCCAGACTAGTTAAAAGTTGAGTGTAAACGGTTACAATAATTTTATTCTAAACAGAACACAAAGAAAACTTATTCAAACCAGAGAGAAATACACAAATGCTATGAAATTAAAAGCAATTGTTATTAATAATTAAGCGGATTGTAATGCAAAATCATCATGCAATTGTTAAAACTCAATAAAGGAAACCAAACTTAATACCGAACCCGAATTTTACTTTCCTGGGCTCTCAAGCTGGAAATTATACTTTTTAGATTTGTTTAAAAATTTTAATGTGTGGATTTTGAAGGTTTGAAATATTTGTAATAAAATAAACCGTGGTTTTTATTTATTTTCTTTGGATCCGAAATAGTTTAAATTCTAATCATATTCGTCACTCGTAATGTACAAATTAAACATTTTTTGGTATCCTAAAATCATAAGTAAAAACGAGTTTTCCAATTTATAAACTTCCTGAATTGCTCCAAACTTTAACGTAACTGAAATCTAGTTAGCTTGTAAGTCTTCTCGACCATTCCCAATTAATGAGTTTTAGTGTTTGGATTATTCTTTTAGAAATAAAAATAATTTGAGAGGTAACTTAGACAAATATTGCAAACTGAATGATGTCCTGTTTTATTCCACACTTATGTTTTAAATTTGGATAACTGGAGTTTGTAAATTTGATTACTAAGAAAATAAAATTGTACCCTGATGTTTATAAATTAATTTTTTGAATAGAAAAAGCTTTTCTGCTATGTCTCCTGCCGCAGTAAAAAAAACACTTTTTTAGCAAGTGTTGCCTTTATTTATTTAAATAGTACCCCGAGCTGGGCAGTTCTTTCTGCCCTTAATTCCGGACACACTTTACACAACTTGTTAGCTTAGAGACTGACATATCTTACACACATTGGTATAGTCATTAAATATAAATGTGCTTCCTGTTCACATGAGTGTACACCTAAGTCCTATGTGCAGTGTTGCACGTTCTGTTATATGTCGTAAGTGTTTGCTTTGGTGCCGGGCTCGTTGGCTTTTTGATCAGCTTTGTCTGGCTGTTTCTGTTCTGTTCTGTAGTTTGCACTACTTATTCGTAACTATCCATTAGTTGTTAAATCTCTTACGTTCTAATGTGATTCGCTTCCCTATCGTACATTTGCAATGTAAGGGGTAGGTGAAGTCCATGAATCAAACTAAAGTGCTAGTCAATTAGGCAACTAAATATCTGCATTGGCATTCATTGGCGCCATGTCATCGTCTAATTTCGGTTCAATTTAACTAGCAAGAGGTACAGATTCTAGCACTCTCTTCCGCGCACAAAATAAAATGCATGAACTGCATTTTGTAGGCCTAACAAAAAGGTCGCACTTGGACTGTGCTCCGTCTACTGGAAGTGAGCGAACTGCAGCATGTCGACGACCGGGGCCGTCAGTCGCGATGCGATGGCCGGATTGGTGACGGTGATGGGCAGCTCCAGCGAGGTGGGCACGCCGCTGCCGTTCGTCACGCCAATGACGGCCAGGCTGTCCTCCAAGTTGCCCTCGATCAGCGGCGACACGCGGCGCAGCTGCATACCGCTTGGATTTTCCAGCGTGGACATGATGGGCGTCTGGTCGAGCAGCGCGTTCGTCTCGTTGGTGCGGGCCGTAATTGGAGGCGTAAGGTGGACGGTCTGTGGGGCCAAGGGGTGCGAGATGAACACGACACTGCCGGGCTCGTCGTCGCCGACATGCAGAAGGCTAGCACCGGTGCGGGTGTCGATGTGGAGCAGGCCAACGCCAGCGTTGGCTGCGTTCACGAAGTCGGCGTCGTCCACCACCTGGCTACCAGCCAGCGCCTGGGAGAGCAGATCCGTGGCGGGCCCAGTCATGGCCGAAGGCGCATCCGTCTCCTCATCATCCAACGTCATATCTTCCACGTTGACCAGCTGCAGGTCGCGCTCCTGCAGGTAAACCTGCGCAGCCTGTAAGATGTCCCGAGCGTGAAGGACGGCCCTTATGCCCCCAGAGACGCCGGAGCCACTCGATCCCGCCTCGGTGACATTCAGCTCGATGCACGAGTCCGGCTGCTCGGCAATGCTAAATAGCACCGACGGATCCAGCTCCAAGCGGTGCCCATTCACGTTCAGCTGCAGCACATTGGCCTGCAGCTGTTCCTCGTGCAGGGAGAGTTCCTCCTCCTCGTTGACGTAGCTTCCGGCAGCCATGGCGCCTCCTTCGGCCACCTGGCTGAGTGGCGTCATAATACCCAACGTGTCCACAGGCTCGCCGTCGTTCTCTGCCTCGCTTAGCAGGAGCTGCGGCGACAAATGGCGCCCGACCTGGTCCTGGTTAAGGTCCGCCTCTGCCCCCGTCTCCGCCTCAGTCTCCGTTTCCGATGGCTCCACTACCTGGGCTACTGCCTCTCCGCCCAGAAAGTCAATGTCCGCAAAGACGGCGGACAGCGGATGGCCGTCTGCCAAGCGCGGTGGCTCAAGTAATGCCTCCCGCGGCACCGGCACCAGGTGGTTCTTTTCGTTGTCCAGATAAAGCGCCACGTTGTTCAGCGGCGTGAAGTTGTTGTTATTCAGAGAACACAGCATGAACGTGTGGCTGTAGCCCGGGATCGGTCGAGTCATCACCGCGCAGATGCGTCCAGCGCACAGCTGAGGCGGCTGAAAAGAGCAATGATTGGAAATGGTGTCAAATAGGTATGATTTGGAAATAAAATTCCTAAACTTAACATATAGTTTACAACCAAAAAGCAGATTTTAGTTTAAGCAATAAAAGAAAAACGTATCCCTAAAGTAAAAAACGTGCATATCTAAATATTGTATTTACTGATATTTAGAAAAACAAAGTTTAAAAATCCATAAAAAGAAAATTGCACTCCTATGAATTCTCAAACAACAGTTTGTTATAATTGAATGGGAATTGTACATATTCGAAAGTAGTAAAGCAAATATTTTGACTCGTACTTTACAGTAAGGGAAACAATATGGAGCTAATAATTGGCCCATCCCCTCTTTGTTATTTATATGTGTTCATATGAGCATTGAATATATTAAGTGGTAGTTGAAACATTAATATCCATCTATTAAAAATGTCGCCCTGACACAGGAGAAAAGTAGAAAATGGTTTTAAAAACGAAGCTACATTGGTTTTAAACAAAGGAAACATATATGTATATATAAAACTCATCCTCAATGGCTTTCTTGATAAACTTACGTTCTCGGTGCTCTCTTGACCATCCTTGGTCTCGCAGGACGATTCCTCGGCCACGTCGCTGCGGGATCCGCTCTCCACATGGTCGCTAGCAGCGTTCCTTGAGCGGCGACGCTGCCTTCGTTGGCCGGAGGTCTGCAGCACTGTGGCTGGCGGAGTGACGGCTGTGGGTGGCGTTGTTGGGTAGTAGCGCAGACGCTGCTGCTCGCGCAGATCCACTAGCTGCTGGTGCGCCTTGGCCACGTCGGCATCGCTCAGAGTCGGAGCGTAGCTGAAATGCCTGGGCTTATTCATGCCGGAAGAGAACGAGCTCGTGACCATTGGATTGACCTGCGGATGGCTGGCGGAACGGCGCGAGGACGGCGACAACCTAACTGGCAGCACCAACTCAAGGGCTGCCAGGTGCTCGTCCACGGGTGACTCGGTCTGCATTTGGTCCATCTGGAGCTCCTCGTCCTCTGCTGATTCATCCTCCACAGTTGGCAGCTGTGGCTGCTCTTCATTGGAACTGACCACTTTCTCCCCCTGGCCCTGCTCCTGCTGATCCTCCCCGGATGTCGATGGGGGCAACTCTGGCTCTAGAGCGTCTTCCTCTTCAGGGGATGGCATAGGTCGGCTCCAGCGAGCGCGGGCCAGACGACACTTCTCCGCACTCCGCCCGCTGACAAGATCGGCCTCGTACTGGCGCAGCAACTCCTGCTCGCGCTTCTTGAGGAGCACCTCACGGGCCTGCGGCAAGAAGCGAACCGCCTCAGGCGAGTGACGGACCGGGGACCAGGCGGCCAAGTCAATATCTTTGGTGGGCCCAGGCTTTGGGTCCTTCTTCTGACTTTCTTCCTCCGCCTGCTCCTCCTCCTCCTCCGCCTGCTCTTCCTCCTCCGTGTGCTCCTCCTCCTCCGTGTGCTCCTCCTCCACCGCCTGCTCCTCGTCCACCTGCTCCTCCTCCGCCTGCTCCTCCTCCTCCGCCTGCTCCTCCTCCTCTGCCTGTTCCTCCTCCTCTTCTGCCTGCTCCTCCTCCTCCTCCGTCTGCTCCTCCGCATGCTCCTGTTCCGCCGCCTGCTCTACTGCTTGACCATCATCAAGCATATGCTCTTCGTTACGGGTCTCGGCCTTCGCCTCCGCCACCCCCTCCTCATCTTGATCATCATTCGTTGCCTGCTGATCCATCGCATCCTGAGACTGTTCATCCTCCTCATCATGGGCCCGCGAGTTCGCCTGCCGACTGCCATTGCTGTCCGATGAGTGCAGGCTGCCGAAGGTTTCGTACAAATTGGGTAGCCGAATGTCCTCCAAAATGAGCACACCTCCTCGCTGCACCGGCTGAGTGGCGTCCACGATGGCGGCGTGTATCAGACCGGCACCCGAGGCGGAACGCTGCAGCTCGCGAGCCTCCTCCGCCGAGATTACCGCAATGTTCGAGGCAATGGAGCAGCTGTTGCTAGAGCTGGGCTCCGGGGATAGCGTTCCTATGCCGTGCGAGTCCGAGCTAGAGCTGGCGCTGGACGTATGATTACTACTGCTGCTGGTGTTACTGTTGCTGTTGCTGGTACTGTTGCTGTTACTGCCGCTGCTGCTGCTGTTGTTGCTCAGCTCCTCGAGGACGGGCGAGGGTCGTGGCTGACGTACCTTCGGCTTCGGCTTCGAGCGACGCGGCGGGCGACGGGATGTTTCAGTCTTCGATTTGGTGCGGCGCTTGCAACTGCTACGGCTGCTACTTTCCATTACGCATTCGCTGCTAGTTGCATTGCTGTTGTTGGCGCTATTCCGCCTGCTCTTTTCCCCGTTGAAGAGCTTCGGGCTGGCACAGTTGGTCTCCTGGAGAGTGGTATCCATGTCCATCCTAGGAGCGGTCACTTCCTCGTCGTCGCTGGGTTGCACGGAAACCATCGAGGAGGCCGGCAAATCCTCGTCCTGGTGTCCTGCTACTGTGGACTTGTTTCGTGACTTGAAGATGCGTTTTTGACGCTCCTTGATAGGTAGGCTCATGTGATCTCCTGCCTCGCCCTCAGCCCCTGTTTCGGGCGCTGCTTCGGGCACTGCTTCGGTCACTGCTTCTGGCACTGCTTCGGGCACTGCTTCGGGCACTGCTTCTGGTACTGCTTCGGGTACTGTCTCTTCAGGCTCCACAGGATCGACGTGCGCCAACATCTCGTCCTGCTCCACAACTGACTGAGGCACTTGCTCCGACTCCTCCTCCGTCTCGGAGGTCGAGAATATCGGCCCCTTGACATCTTCGAAGCCATAGAAAAGTTCGTCGTAAGAGACGTTGTCCTGGAGTGCCTGTGCAGGTGCAGGCTCTTCCGTTTCTGGCTCTTCGCTAGCAGATTCTTCCTCTTGACCTTTGCCGTTAAGGTCGGGGCGATTGGTGTTGGTACGGCGCCTATAGCTTAGTCCATTCTGGCCGTCCTGCTGCTGCTGTTGCTGCAGATCGTCATCCTCCTCAAAGTCAAAGCAAGACGGGATGTTGCTGGCCGTCTTGGCCGTCATTTTGGGCTTTTCATTAGCACTACCATTGGGTTGCGTATGAGCACCCTTGCCGCGCTGCCTCGGCTCGTCCTCCACGAAGACGACGCTCTCGTTAGAGCTGGCGTCGCTGTCCTGGATGACAATCGGCTCGTCAGCCTCCAGCTGGCTATCTACGTCGAATTCCTGCAGAACCACGTCGCGCCGATCCTTCTTTGGTATGTTGCGTATGCGCTTCTTGGCGGCAACGCCGTCAGTCTTCTCCTGCTCTTCCTCCTCCGCTTCCAGCTCTGGTGCTGGTGCTTTAGCTGGTGGATTTTCCACGACCTTGCTAATGTTATTAACTGGTTGTGGCTGCTGCGGCTGCTGTGGCTCCTCCAGCGACTCGTCCATTTCGTCGTCGCACCACTCGGCCAGCAGACTTTGCTGCAGTTGCAAGGAGGCGGCAATGCTATTCTGCGGACACGGGAGATTCACATTGGGTTGGGTAAGGTCAGCTACTGGAACCGGCTCTGGCGATGGACTGGATGGCAGATTAGGCTGCGCAACTACTTCTTCCTCCCTGTTCTTTGCAATCGGACGCGCCGGTGGTGGAGGCGAGAGGAGCGCCAGCGAAAGATCCGGATCAACAGCGATCGGTGCCCTAATCCTAGAGAGCGTTCGCGTTCGCTTTCGCCGTCCTGCGCTGCGAGGTGATTTCTCGACGGTGGTGGGCGCTGTTGTCAGCGTTTTCCGTAAGGGGTTGCCCCGCCTGGATGTCGTGATCTGTTCGCTAGTCGCGGCAGCCAGGGTGCACCGTCTACCTCGACCACGGCGCGAAATCGTCGGCGTAGGCGGTGGGAGGAGCTCCGGCGATTCGCCTCTCTGTCGCCGACTCATAGAACGCGTTAGGCGGCGCTGTTTAGCCGGTGGTAACTCTGGGGCGGGCATGGTGGCTCGCAGTTGATTGGAGCGATGGCTGCGCGGGTCTCGCGGATTCACCATGCTGCGTCGCGGGCTCTTCGCTTTGGGCTCCTGCGGTGACAATGATAAGCTGTTCCGGTCACTGTGGCTGCGGGCGGAGTCGGAGGTCGAGGAGCTGGCGTCGCTGGGGTGAACCACGCGCTCAATGCTCTCCATCGTTAGCTTGGCGATGTTGGCCACCTTCAGCTGCTCCTCGTCTGTTAGCGAGGCGTCCACAACGATGGACACGTGGCGCGAGTGGCAGCGCACCGAGTTCCTGTGGAAGTGCGTGCTGTCCCGACTCCTGCGGCCCGCCAGCTGCCGCAGATCGAGCATGTTGGTGGTGTGGGCTCGCCGAGCTGCACGCGTCTTTCTGACGGGCGAGGAGCAGTTCACGGTGCTGTTGCTGCTGAAGCTGCTGCTGGACTCCAAGTGAGCACGGCGGTGGATGAGCAGCACGCTCATGCTGTTGGTCCGAAAAGTGCACATGTTGCACTCGTAGCTGGCCTCGGTAAAGCCACGATCGCGAGGGGCGGGCGTGGCGCTGCCCCCAATGTCCATGATACGAATCGTGGGCTCCTGCTGTCGGAATACGGCATTATCAATGGCTTGAAGCGATGCCGAGCTACTTACTCGACCCGCTGGCGAAGGCACGGCACTGCTTAGCGCACTGCTGTTGTGCAGACTGCTGCTGCTGCTGCTCGAGAGGAGCGCCTTGATGAGGCTATCCGGCCGGGAGGCGGGTCCGCCGCTGTTGCCCTCCAACACGGACGATGATGAGGCGTGCAGTCCGGGCAGCTGGTGCCGGTGGTAGCGCGACTCGGCGATCGCCACATCGTCACTGAACTTGTCGCCCATGTGCATTCCATCGGCTTTTTCTGCAATGGAAATGGATTGCATTGATCAACCTGACTTGGGTATGTAACGTGTATTTGCGACTAACTTTAACTGATACACCCATGCTAAAAAATGATTGTATTTTGTTGGTAGAATATTCTTATGTTTTTGTGTGTCTTATGTGTGTTCGCCACAAAAATCACTTGAAGAGGGAACTATAAACATACTGGCTGTCATGAGATTACCAGTAAAGAAAGCTATTAAAATAATTAAAACAAATTAAATGCGGTTGACAAAATGGCCCAAGAGTAACGGTTGAAAATTCAACTAACTACTATCTAAACTTTACAAATAAATACCAATTTTCCTTAATATCTCTGATGTTATTGGTTCATATGCTTATCTATCTTGCTGCCTGTACTTACTGGTGCCGCGTTTGATGAACTCCTCCTTGTGAGCGCATTGAAAGGGGTAAATCAGTTTTGGTGATTTCACTTGCTCGCTGTGAATAATTAAATGTCGGTAAATTAAAAAATGCTATTATCGATTTAAATATAAAACCTTACAAGGTTTTTTCGTTGAAAAAAGCCACAACTGCGAACGGTGGACGGATGGAGTTGATGAACCGAAAGTCCTGCGACAAGGTCACCTCGCCGGGCCACCAGATCTCTGTGTTGTGTATTTTTACCCAGACCACGTCGCCATCACTGTAATGCGACTGCTCCGGCTCGTCGTTCCGAAAGCGTGGCATTATGAAGACTTTAAAGGCGTCCTGGATCTTCGATGTCTCTTGGATGGTTGTTCGTAGTCACTACCGTGACCCCTCTTCCGTGGAGCTTCTGCTGGGACGCTCGGTGAAAAAAGAGTCCTAGCAGACGTGGACAAGGACACACCCCAATACATTTCCCGGCAGCTGAAAGCCAATTGGAAAAGAAATTAATAATTTATTGAACAAAATTTGGCGCCAACTAGAATCTAATTAAAATAAAACCGTACTTATTTACCTTCGTCAACGATGCATCTTTAAAACTCAGTCCTATTGCTTTTCCGTTTATTAATACAAAACAAATTTAAAACAATCTATCGCTAATTGCAATCAGTAGACTGCAAACTATTCAAAACAAGAGAGAACGCCTTAGTCGAGTGCCTCGACCATTGAATACCCGTTACTCAGCTAAACAACTTAATATAAATATGCATTCTTGTGTTTTTTTTTGTTTTTTTTTTAACAAAATGTGAATTATAGTGACCACAGGAAAAAAGGACAAAAAGCTCAAATTATCAATTTGAATTCGGCGATCTCTTAGTGCTGGCAGCTTTACAGCACGAGCATCAGCACCAGCTCTGCTTTAGCGCAGGCAGCTTTTGTCCTGCACCAGCAGCTGTGTTTATGTTTATGTTTTTGAGACATTAAACATACATACTTATATTGGCTAAACACATACATTCTTAAATATCATTATGTATATTAAAGTCTAAATGTTTGCTTAACCCGAGTAACGGGTATAGCGAATAGCTTTCTTTGAAAGGAGTTATCTTTGCCGGGCAATTGCAACTGTGTACAATGTAAATACATACATATGTATATGCTTACATACATACACACGTACGCCGTTGTTTGACTCAGACCTCCAATTTGGCTAACTAGATTTGATTTGCATAGTTCTTGGGATATAGTTCGGTATTGACAAATGAAAACCATCGCAATTTCCTTTAATAGAAATCCTTATCGAGAATTAACGTTGACCCTGTTGAGCACCTTGGCCAGCTGTTCCAAAGTCATCCGTTAGATGGCGCCATGAAAGACGGAAATGTAGGCGCTAGCCAGGCTTAAGCGTTTAATGGGTTTTTGGGCGTTAGAGTGGGCGTGGCAAACTTTTATTAGGCCAATCGATATTTATTGACGAAACAAATACATATCAATTAAAATTTTCATAATATCATCAAAACTGTGGCCACAGCTTGTGGCTTGTGGGCGTCAGAGGGGGCGTGGCACCATTTTGAAACAAACTTGCGCTGCGTAGGAACTCCTAAAATCTACATACATGCAAAATGCCAATCTTCTAGCTTTTATAGTTTCCGAGATCTCAGCGTTCATACGGACAGACAGACGGATAGACGGACATGGCTAGATCGACTCGGCTAGTGATCCTGAACAAGAATATATATACTTTATAGGGTCGGAAACGCTTCCCTCTACCTGTTACATACTTTTGCACGAATACAATATACCCTTTTACTCTACGAGTAACGGGTATAAATATTGCAAGCCATGATAAAAATGCAATGTTTAATTTAAAAAATCTTTTGATTTTGAATTCCTACAAGTAGGATTATGTACTCAAATCGGTTTTTGTATAAACAAGAAAACGAATATGAGTAAGGGCCGATTTCTCATTGTCATGTTATGTTTTTACATTAATTTCTTAATATCATGTTTGGATACAATGACGGGTTGCACGGTCAGGGCAAACGAAAATGACGATGAAAAATTCGCCCATTTTCCTTTTTTGTGATTTGAATTCCTTAACAATTTGACTTTGTTGACTTTCTGTGACTGATTAAAAACTAGAACCGTAACGTGATATCGAGGAATCGGTCCCAGCACAACAAATTTCTCTAAATCGCTTAGATAATTGGTAAGTCGTCCAATTTAAAAGCAAAAGACGCTTTTCTAAAATTTTTTGTTTCATATGTATGGATCCATGGTGCGAGGCTTCTGATGCATCGTGTTCAACCAGCTTTAGAAATCTAAGAGTAATTGTATTTCTATATAGTAAGGAATAATAAATACCTTCGTATTACTTTCGTTCATTTTAAAAAAAGAACGAAAATGAAACAATTTGTTTTTGTCTATGTTATTTTAATAAATCGTTATTTATTTATTGTTGATTAAGTATTTATTGTATTTATGTAATTACCATGTTTTATCTACTCATACATTCACGGGCAAACAGATGGGCTATATAAGTGTATTGGGTAAGTGGTTTCAGTAAACAGAGTTGACATATGGAATCTGTGAGTTCATCCTCTTGTTTTGAAACAGAAGTTGCGTAAAACTGGTATAAAAAATAGACAACGATGCGGATAAAAACACATTTGGGTATACAGTGATAGCATTATTTTCCTGGTTATCACACCCAATTAAGCGAATTTTCTTCCTTTGCGGAAGAAAAGGTTTAATATGTAAATCTAGGTATTAAGTCTGTATATTGTTTTTTGTTTTTTTTTTTATCAATATAGATGTTCTAGAAAAATTTTAAAATATTTAATTGTTCATTAAAGTACATAATAAAACAGCACAATGGATCAATCACAATTTCATGCGCAGTCCGAAAGAACTCGCTGGCCTCCGATTGCAACATTAAGTAGGAGCGCCGCCACATCCTTTGGGCAGGGGCATCAGTCAGTGTCACTCTGGCATGCCCATGTCCGTGTCTATGTCCGTATCCGTTGGGCTGTTCGGTAGGCGATAGGGGAAGAATTAGTGCGGGATTTGGGGTTGGGATTTGTGGACTCGTGTCTTGGAGGTTGGGGGCAGCCGATCCAGCAGCCGTGATTAGATTGTCTTGGATTTCGAAGGAGGATGTGGATGGGCGGGGTACAGGCGACGCCGTCATTGGTGCGCCTGCATATCGACGCGCCCGCCATTGCCGTTCGTGGCCGTCGCCACATCGTCGCCCACAATGAGCACCTTGCCGACGCCATCGGGTGCCACCAGCTCGCCGCTGAGGCCATCGAGTCCCGGCTGGCTGACGTCGCCAGGGATTTTTGGCTTGGGACGGTGCGTGTCCACCGCGTCAATGGGCAACTTAATGTGCTCCACCTTGCAGCCGTAGGCCACCGGCGTCAGCTTGATGACCGTGTGCAGGGGCACGTACAGGTAGGGCAGCTCGTCGGCGGACTTGTCCAGGAAGTAGGCAAAGAGACAGCGCAGCACCGCCTGATGCGACACGACGAGCACGTTGCCCTGCCGCTCCAGCTCCATGATGACCGGCTCCAGTCTGGCCACCAGGTCCTCGTAGCTCTCGCCGCGTGGATAGCGGTAGGCGAACTTGTTCACGTCGCGCGCCTTAAACTCCTCGGGGAAGCGCTCCTTGATCTGCTCGTATGTCATTTCCTCGCAGTGGCCAGCATCGATCTCGTTCAGGGCCTTCCACCGCTCTTGCGGTGCCTTAACATCGGCCACCGTCTGAATGGCGCGCTTCATCCACGACGTCCACACCCGCAGACCGTCGATCTGCTGGTGGGCGATGAACGTGGACAGGGCGTTGGCGTACTGGTGCCCGCGGGCGCTCAGGTTCGAGTCGCCGCCGATCAGGCCGCTCAGGTTGTACTCGCTCTCGCCGTGGCGCGTTAGGTAGATGGTCCGCGGCGTAATGTGAATGTTCATTAGGTAGTACACAATACGGGACTCCACGTGACCCTCGTTGTTGTAGACGACCACCTTCTTGCCGGCATTGTACACCTTCATGAAGCTAAGATGGGCCTCGGTGACCTCGTCGATGGGCTGGTAGCGCTCCTCGTAGTGCTCGATGCGCTGTAGGAAATCCCGGACCACCAGCTCCGTGTTCATATTGAGGTAATCTGGCGAGCTGACCTTGACCTCCAGGATGTTCTGCTCAATGATCTGCGGATCGTCACAGATGGACTCCACGAAGAACAGCCGGAAGCCATGCTGCTTCACCACAATGTCGTGGATCAGTTGGCGACGGTCGCGCGTCGAGTTGGTGGCATCGAACACGGCGATGCTGCCCTGGCCGCTCAGCAGCCACTCGCATGAGTCGTGCAGCGCCTGGTTGGCACACCGGTTGCGGATGGCCATCGCCTCCTCGTTGTCGGCGCGAAAGAACTCGTGCGACTTGTACGCGGTGGTTGCATGGCGCCTATATTCGCCCAGATTGAATACGCGAGTCGCGATCCCGATCCAATTAAGGTAGCGCGCCAGCTTCTTCGAAATAAAGGTCTTGCCGCGAGCCGGCAGACCCACCATGGCGATCACATGGGGCGTGGTGCAGTCGGCAATGGTCCGTTCGCCGCGGATGGGGAACGGCTTGGTCATCACCGTCTCCGAGGTGGGCGGCAGCAGCTTGCGCAGCTCCTCGGACATCACCGACGGGCACACGTGCAGCTCGTTCTCAATGGCCAGATCGGCGGTCTTCTTCAGCTGATTCAGCGAGGTGGTGCGCACCCGCAGTGACGGCGAGGTGTTGTACGGCATGTCCATGATGCTGGTGGCGGTCACGGAGCGGGCTAGCTGCTTGGCAACGGCGGAGGCGGCTGCAGAGGCTGATGAGGATGAGGATGTGGACGAGGCGGAGGAGGAACTGGAGTACGCACAGTTACAGCAGGTGCACAGGTCGTCTGTGTAGGACGGGTTGGAGCGGATTAGACGAGGGTGGAGCAGGGCGGGTGTCCGTTTATTGATAGAGGGCAGGGGCAATGGCAATGTTCCTACTTGGTCCTCGTCGTCGTCGATCTGGTTGTGATTTTGGTCGTTCAAACTACTACTGCCTGCTGAAAGTGTCTTCCGATTAGAGTTTGTTTTCGTCAGTTCTGGATGTGGTGCTCCTTCTTCTTCTATTTCCTCAGGTTTTTGGGGCTGAGCAGATGTTGTTGCTGTAGCTGTTGCTGTAGCTGTAGCTGTTGCTGCTGCTGATGCTGTAGCTGTTGTTGCTGCCGCTGCTGATGATGCTGTTTGTTGTTGTTGTTGTTGTGGCGTGGCAAGACATGAAATTAGTCGATTATTTTAAACATAAATGTGCTGTTGTACTGGGTTTAATCGCCGTATGAGATGATTATGGAGATGCAGACGATGAATATGTCGCTGATGGGAATTGCAATCCAACAATATATTAATCAGATAAATATCGTGTATTTGTGTGCTGGGGAGGGACAGGAAGGGGGTTAGAGCCAAGCCAAGGCCAAGAAGATATCGAGAATTACCTACGAAATAACGACAATCATCTTTGTCCGGGCAAATATATATGTGGGTAGATACAAATATGTGTTGTATATGTATGCGAACTGGGGGATGGCTAATATTTGACTTCTTTGCACTTGACGATCGAACGACAAATGAAAGTGAAACTGAGACTGAGACTAAAACAGAGGCAAAAACTCACACAAAACGTGCGTGCTGCGTGGGCGAAATAAAAGAGAGCAGAGAGCAAATGGAGAGCGGAATTAGCACAAATAATAAACGAAAACGAAGCACACTAAAAACAAAACGAAACGGAACGAAACTAGAAAAAACAGCTGTCGAATCGAACCGACTACTCCTCACACTCGGTGTTATCGATAGTTTGCTGATGACCTGGTGGTGCGGTTCGATAGCAGCAGGGCTGTCAGCTCAGCTGAATATAGCGGCATTACCTGGAATTGTCAATTTCCAGGTTATTCAGTATTTGCGATCTGATGATCTGCAATAAAAACGGGGGAACAGAAAACAGAGCAAAACAAAAGTCTCTTGAACACGACACACACACACATACAGGGAATTCAAATGCTCATTAGCGAGTGGAATATTTATGGGTCCCCTTGCCGTATCGAGTATTTCTATATGGATCCACTGCTGAATATTGCCCCAAGCTATCATCTATACTAAGCCCCAAATACTAGGGCCATGGGGCCGGAACTTTCAAGCTAAAGCAATTCGATTACTAAGGGATAACCGATGGAAATTTACCACGCACCAGTAAAATGATAAAGACCGGTCACAAATTACAAGCGCCGTCGTCACCGCCTTTATCGCATTACCAAAAAACCAAACAATCCAAGTCTAGAAACCCCACAAAAACACAGTGTATGGGGATGGAAAGCAAAACAAAGAGGATGTCTACTTATATCGCTCAGCAATCTCACGGTCGGCAGTCTTTGAACACTTTCGAGAAGATTGCGAAGTATATTTGTCATAAACATTTATACAGCTATGGACAGAAAAATAACAATGACTTTTTAAAGTTTAATATTTTGAAAAACGACAATCCTGAGTTTAGCCTGTTACCAAGGCTGATTTTAAAACATTTAGGAAGTGAAGAAATAATAAGACACCACAATTATCAATAATTTAAGCTGTCATAAAAAAACAAAGGAGAGCCATTGAATTTTCCTTGATTAATGTAAAAAACAATCAATCGACAAAGGATTACTAAACAAAAATAAATAAATAATTCAAATGCCTTAATGTTCTCCTCAAATCGTAATATTTTTTATAATGTTCTGATTTTAAAATTTTTTTTTGGTTTACCTTTCTGATTACATTAAAAGTATACATCTGATCCCAAAAAATTTAACCATATGTTTACAATATGTTAAATTCTATTTTTTACTCAGCTTCAGTTTTTGCGGTGGGAAAAGCATTTGTCTACTTTTGCATGGCTACATTCCACATTTGTTTTCACACCTCACCGTTTTTTTTTGTTCTTGACCAATGACTGAAAAGTGGAGCTCGTGGTTCAATGTTTGATAGCGCGGAATTGGCCAAGACCAATGCCACACCAATAAATAAACGAGTTCGACCGAAACCCCACTGGCAATGGATATTAGCATGGTATACCTATACCACTGGATTGTGGGTGCGAGCGGGACAGATCCAAGAAGGAACTAGCCGTGTTGATTATCGTTTATGGTGAGCAATAATTAGTAAGTCTATGAGTGCGGTAGTTGCGTTCCAGGCGATGGTGGAAACTTTTACCTGGATCACCAAGCGACGGAGGAAACCTGAAGCCGTCGAGGAGGCGGTCGGATCGGACGCACAGCGACCACGGAACAGAGCGAAAAAGGTGTAGCAGACACTGCGCTGAACGTTCGAACACTGAAAAACTAGTGCCGATTTCTGAGAACACCGAGCGTCGGCGGGCAGAGCCAAACGTCGTCGACGCCGGCGTTAATGTAACGGCGGCGACGACTTGGTTTCAATTTAGTAAAAAGAAGTGAGGCCGATCATTTGCCTAACTGCGCACCTACAGTCAAACTTCTCAATCTCGACATTTTAATCCTAAGTCACGGCAGTTATTGTCAGAGCTTATTAAATAACGAACTATATTAAAAAAGTTAGAAAAAATGTATTTTAAAAGCCAATAAATCAGGACAATCTTTAAAAAAAAGTGTTTGTCTTTGCCAATGCTAATTCAGAAGATATCAACACTGTATTCTTTATTAAGTAAATCAAAATCGATTTTGTTTTGTGGTGTGAGTTATGGAAGTTTTACTGTACCTGAGAATTAACAGAGAGAATGCGCTGCTGCAGTACAGCAAAAATGACAACCGTTAAATTATTTGTGCACAGTTTTTGCGGTTCCTGGCGGAATTGTCATTGCCGGGCTTGAATTCAAAGTTCACCTCATAAGTGTTACCACTTAACTCGAACCTCACGTGTTTACCCACAAGGCTTCCAAGTGCAATTGCGCGGTATAGAGCAAACCCGGTAGACTCCCGGTCCTCCGATTGGGTAGATGTTCCGATCGCTTAGACGTGCGTCATTAGCTTATGGAGGCAATCGATCGGACTACACCAAACCCATTGGAGAGCTAGCTACTTCCTAAACTGGTCCATACGGACCGTCCAAGGTCGAGAGCGGCATAAACAAACACGGCTGGGTTAAATGATCACGCATTTGGGACGTGCATCGCTAGGTGCAAGTCAATCGGGAATCGGGGATAGGTGATCTGCCATTTGCCATCTGCACTGCACTCTCTTATCAGCGCTGAGGAAACCAAATCTGAAAATCTGTTCCCGTTTTAAATTCTGATGCATTCTGTCGGAATCCCTATCTGTCTACGCTAATATTTAAAAACTCAACCCACAATTTTAAGGAAACATTTAAAGATTTTCTTTCCAATATATTAATTTTTTAAGGTGTTCAAATTTGAAACCCTAATCTTTTTGCAAATGTTGAATTATTTTGTTATAACTGTGAAAAAAAAGTTGCATTGCATAAATTTTATTATTAGCAATAAAGACTAACTATGGCGAACCGAAATTTATAAATATGGGAATAAAGCTGCTACTTTAAAATGTAATTTCCTTTTTTTTTTTGGCAATGTATGCTTTTTAAAAATAGTTTTCTAACAAGTGGCTATTGTTTCTTCTTAGCTATTTCGAGTCTATTTAAATGCTTAAACTAAGAAGTAGTTTGCTTAGCAACAGATAACGTCTTTATTGACTGGCCAGGGTGATGATAAACAAAATATATGTATATTATAGCGCCAGATATCCTTTCTTTTCCATTATAATAAAGTTAAAATAAGTTTAGTTTAATTTGAATTTGTGTCAAACAAATTAATTTTTTTAAATAGATTAGATTTAGGACCCTCCCCTTATCGAAGTCGTCAGGAAGTAATCAATAACTTACTCGAGCGGGAGAAATCCTTTTATTTACAGATAAGTTTGTTCAAAAAGAATGAAGTATGCGAAGTGCTGTTAAAGTTAAGAGCCGATTAATCTATTTCATTTATGTATTTTTAAACACATCTAATCTTAATCGGAATTAGTTGCAATCTACTTTACTGCACCTACAAACTTTCTATTTGTTGAGACAAAATGCCTTAAACAAAAAAGTTCAAAAAATGTATAGAAAAAGACAAAAACTATGTTTTCAATAAAATTAATTTAATATTAAATATATTTGAAAATAGCGAGAATAGAAAATTCTTATTAAGCTGTTGTTTTATCTCTATAGAGCTTGTCTTTTGTATCTTATAAATTTGAGTAAAAGATGTTTTCAGATCCCTAGTCTGCCACATAAGTACAATCAAGTTCATCGTCACAGGCTTGACTCATCGGTATGATCGACGACGTAATTGAGCGCTGCAGAAATTGGCTAATTCGACCATGCGGTCGCATGTGGTACAATCTCATGCGGACTTTCTGATAATTTCCCAGCTGTCGCACTATCAGAATTACCGAAAATAATACCAATAACAACATTGTTTGCCGCGGCTACAACAGCAACCAGTGTAATTATCGTTGTGACATGAAAGTCCGGCCGGACAGAAACTGATAAGACAATGGCACATTGCAAAAAAAAGAAAGAAACCAACAAAAGCTGCAAAGGCAGAGACTTATTAAAATAGAAGAGCACAGAGTCCATCGGCAAGCAAATAATGGCAATGTTATTGGCGATTATTGCCGCCTTATCACTTTTCACTATCGCAGCCATAGATCACAGTCAGTATCCAAACAGCAGAGCCAATAAACACCCCTCAACTGTTTATTGTTACTTCAGGTGATAATATATGATGCATGGCATCTGTTCATGTGAGGTGCGAGTGATGATGCTGCGTGGGTGGATGCTAAATTTGGTGCGCCAAACGGGAACTGCAAAACTTTCCACCTCACTGACATTCGCTTGTATTGGGGCAAAAAGAAATCACTGTTGCTACTCAATTTCTAGCAGTGCGTCATATTGAGTCACTCCAGTACCTTTTATGGAACAATTTTTTTTATATGTGGCATCGAAGTTTTTGTGAGGTTTTTCGAAATGTTTTGTATGTATGCTACCCGCAAAAAATGAATCAAATTATCACTCGTTATAGTGAGCCAAACAGGGAATACCCTATTATGAGCAACAAAAAAATGTATTAAATTTTTAATATTTAATGTTTTTAGAAAGCACTGTATTCTCCAAAATCAACTCACTTTTTATTACCCCATAACTTTCAGTGTATTTGATTTCCGAATAAGTGTTCAAATTTTTTAAACAAACAGTTTCTTGATATGAACTTTAGATCACAAACTCAGACTTTTTGTTAAGCGGCATATTAATCAGCTCAGTTGCAGAATGTGATGATTATGTGAAATTTGTTTGTGAAAGAATTATTATATTTAAGTAAACGGCGGATTGCAAACAGACACACAGTAAGATTGAATCTGCTGTTGATAAGAAATTTGTATATTTTAATGAATTGCAAAAACGTTCTATGCACTGCATAAACAAAGTATAAAAAAGGTTAACGTAGGTTTGTCTTTCAAACCCCTTATTTAAAAAAAAAATGTACATTAATTGCTAGGCGGAAATGTTTTCAACATAGCTTTAATGTTCCATCATGAGTGACTCATGGATTCGGGATTTCAATCTGTTCAGTCAGCAAGCAGTGCATCGCAAATTGAAACTTGTTGACAAGCTTTTAAACTTGATCGCGAAAGGGCAAAAATGGGTGCCACCCCTAAATGCCCTATCAGACCACCTGACCAGGGGGCGGAGCGGCGACGTCCCAGCCCCACACGTTCTAATTGCGACTTGCGAATCGCTTCCATGACACTCGTGACCACCTCACTTTCGTTTGCATCGCTTGGTGAGGGGGACAACCAAGCAACCGCAGTTAACATCTTTGGTAAGTTTTTATAAACACCCTTAAAATCTTTTTTGTTTCAAAGTTTTGGCACCCCGTCAGTTATATCAAAGGTTGAGCAGTTAATAATATACTCCAAAGCTCATCGCCTAACTATAGTTCTTAGATTTTTATCAAACTACATCGTTAGGCCGTTGTAACGAACCATATTGATATGGAATCGTATAAATCGGCATTAATATGTAAAAATAGTTATTGATACTAAATGCATAAAATAGTTATTACAAAGGAAATGTAAATAAAACAAAATTGGGAACCTCTATATTAATTCAGAGTCCTTTTCATTTTAGTCTTTTAATACTCGAAGTCCCTCGACACTCGAAGTGTAGTCCTTCGAAATAATTTTAGTTTTATCAGTTTTGTTTAATCGCACCTAATAAATACAATGCAAAAGCCTTTAGGTTTGAAAAAAGGATTCAATGTGGAGTTAGGAATATGTATTTATTATAACAATTTCTTGATTTCCTGCATACGTGAACAGAATAGACACTTGTTTATTCGAAACACACTGATGTGTAGGGTAGACTTTTCATCGTCGGAGGTGCAGATAAGCCATCAACTTTCGGTTTCAATGCCATGTGCTGCGCTGGGCTCAAAAGGGCTTAAGCTTTAAGCACCCAAGCTTTTGCTCAACGCCGTACCAGCTATACGCGGGAGCTATAGCTGGAAATCGCATATTCGAATTTACAGAAGTGCCACAGTACTTGTCGTACAAGCGTGACCCGTAACTAGAAGCTGAGGTGGCATAAAGATCGGCAAGCAACTGGAACCGTAGACGGCTTCAGACGTAAGCAGTCCCGATTTACAAAGTGCTATCCGCTGGGCCCAAAACAAACGGAATTATAAATAACGGACCCTCAAGGCCACGCAAGGGGGGTAAATGGGGTGGTTTGTGCAAAATGGCGGGCGGGCGTACGTCCGGGTAGTCAGGTGATACGGATACCAATGAAAATATTACCAAATCTTTCGGTTCTGCCCTTCCCCTGCGTTGTGCTTTAAGCTATTTTTCCGGTTCCCAAAGGAAAATTATAGAAAATGAAGGCGGACACTGCACACTTAAAGCAAAACTAGAAATCTAGCAGCAGTCGCAACAACAATGCGCCAAAGGCGGAAAGAAAATTCACAAAATTACCAAAATAGCAAGCAGAATATTTGTTGGGGCATTTGAAAATGAAAACAAAGCGTTCAGAAACTTGATGGGATGGGATGGGAGGCGATGCGATGCGATGTTGAGTCGATGACGATATGACGGATAGGAGCGACGAATAAACAAAAGACGTAAATGGCAATGCTGTGTAATCCACTCGAAACAAGTGCGAAAAGAGAGTGGCGGATTATTAAAAGAAGAGGTGGGGGGAAGAACCTTAACCCACGTTTCTCATAACTGTGTTAATAAGCCAACGCAAGTCATTAAACCACATAACTGCTGGTCTAGCACTTACACGGAGCCCAGACAACCAAGAAGTCAGCACAAATGGGTGAAATGGAGGGCAGGGGCAGGGGCAGAACTGCGGATCTGCACTATACGTACACAGGGGGGCCGAATCCGGATCCATAGCCGGGTTGCTGAGGGTCTGGGTCGGGCTCAGGGGGTTGAAGCCGGCGTAGCGCGGCGAAGTCGCCGTCGACTGAGCCATCGCCCCGGAATGCAAGCAGTGGTGCGCACAAATAGCAAGCAGTGCACGCCTGATCTCCTGGAAAACTCGATTTCAGGCGATACTCGACAGAATCACGCGATTTGTAAAAGTACAAAAGAAAACAAAAAAAAAATCACAGAACGTTTGGTAGAACGCTAATTTCTTGGTACGCAAAAAAGAAAACAACGAATTTTTATTTTGATTTGATTTGACTCGGAGCACGGCACAAACAACACCACAAGAAACGAAAGTACAAAGCGATTTCGCCGAAACGCCTTTCAGTTCAGTTCCGCACACGTCGCTTGACAAAATCGAAATGAGCAAAAAGCAAAAGGCGGAGCGAGTCAAGTGCGGAGCCCCCAGACTTGCGAAAACGGCACGCGAGCGATCGCCGAGCGAAGAGCAACAAGCAAAAAGCGGGTACCGATGCGACCGATGTCGCCGTTTGTTGGCGGTAATCACAATCGGAATCCGAATCCGAATCGTTTGTCTATGCAGGTATTACGAAAGGCAGCGGTAAAAGCGCAACAGCTGCGGCCAAAACAACAGCACCCGAAAATCACGTAGAGTTTGTTACTAGGATCGAAAAGATAATTATTTCGAGATTCACTTTTAATCCGTCCATACAAAATAAGTTTAACGAAAACCGGTCGCCCAGATAAAAACGTTGCCTACTTTAAGGCGTGGGCACTTTGGCACTTTTGCTAAAATAATTATAAATTTGTTTCGGTCAAAAAACCTATGTACATATATGCAACATGTACATATACTTACAAAAATGTGCATATAAATACGTAAATACGTTCAAAAATCAGTATACACACAAGTTATGAAATTGAGGCCTTTGAAGCTATCCAATAAGAATCAGTTAAGTGTTTGAAAAAAATTTATTTTTATGTAACAATTTTGCTCAAACTTAAAAACCATTCTAAAAGTGTGGACATATGTATATGAAACTTACTTTAAAATCGTCGTATTTTAAATATAAAGTGATTCTTAAATCTTGAAAAATTATTATTTTTAAATTTATTTGCAAATAAAAACACCTCAACGGCATATGCAACTTGCTTGATAAATATCACAATTTGTAATATTATTTGTAATCTTTATTTGCGTGTCATTACACGATAACATTTTATTGTTTTTCCGTCCCTCTCACACTCAAGAAACTCTTGATGATAATTTCTAATAGAGATGGGCGCGTGTCAAACTTTTGCAGCAACAAACGTAACTAAAAATTTATTGATATAAATGCAGTATTTCCTTAAAGACCTCTTTAAGGCTTTAAAAAATCTAAAACAACATAAGTGTTAATTCATTTTTTCGAATCAAAAACTTCTGTATGCCAAGGTATCCCCATCTCTCTTGATTTAACCTAATATTTTTACGAAATCAGCTAGAAACTGTAAAATTTGTATACGATTAAAAAAATATATTTAAGTCCTTTCGATTTTTTCCATTGTAAAATTAATATTAATATAAGAGCCTTCATGATAATTAAGTCCCGTTCTGATACAATTATAAAGCAAAAATTTAACAAAAGTTATTTTCATAAACTGGTTGGAATCTGCAGAGGACAATTCAATAGGAAACCGATAGCTTCAAAGTATCGCAAAAAGCATGGACGATAACAGAATAGCAGAAACATCTGAACGAACAAGGTGCGCAAAACAAGGGCCGAAAAAGCTCCCCCGGCAGCAGCAACGCTGCGCGGCAGAATGCAACACTGTAAAAGCTGCGCAGCAGAGCAATGGCGGCCTCTTTGGTAGTGTGCGACTGCCTGTGCATGTGTGTGTATGTGCCACCGGCCAGTTCCGTGTGCGAGAGAAAGAGCGAGAAAGCTGGCAAAACCACAAAGAGAATCTTTCACCAAAAAAAAATCACAAAACAATAGCGTAAAATGCTCCTTCATTCAAAAACACAGAAATCAATAACATTACACAGAAACCACATAGTTTACCTTTTTTTAAATTAAAAACCAACACGCTGCGATTACCGACTTGGCACAAGAGAAACCGATAACAATAAATGCAGCCGATGAATACAGAAGGTGGAGTGGAGCATAACTAAAAACAAAAATAAAGAGCGCACACTAGAGCGCGACTCATTGGTATTAGTATTAGTATGTCTGTCTGCGCATGTGCCTGGGTTTTTGCGGTGTACGTCCGTGGATGAATGTGTCATGAAAAGCACTGAAAGCAGGAATAAAAATGCAACTCACCTTCGCTTCAAAGCGATATGTCCTGGTGCCTTTGCTACGTACACTGTTTTTTTTTAAGGGGGGGCAGTAAAGTCAATCGACTTGATTAATGGCGGGCTCTTGTCTGTATCTTACACTTTTTACGCACGTTTCACTTGCACTACACTTCCCGATAACTTGGACCTATGCGAATGGCCTTTACTGTGCTGTTAGCAGCTAACAGCACTGTAAGCTTCGACGTCAGCGATACACACAAGTGTGTGTGTGTGTACTTACATAAATACACATGCAGCGAATCGCGGAACTTAGCTTAGTATTTTTATTTCAATTCGCATTTGCTGAAACTTACCGCTATGCCAGTGCAGCGACTGGAAGCCATCGCTGCTGCTGCTGCCGCTGGTACAATGTTGTTGTTGCAGTTCTATTTCTCTTTCTCCGTCCACTGTCCCGCTCGCACTCAACAACAAAACGCAGCGCGCTCCTCACACACAGGCAAACAGGCCCCCTCTGTTGTGATATTACTGATTTAAACACACACACATGAGCACGGGCGAGCGAAACGAGAAAACGTATCCGATTATTATATATATGTACATGTATATCTAAATATACTTTTGATTTTTATGAGCGCGCTCAGCTACAATTGCATTGGCACTGGCACTAGCACCAACACAAACGCACGGGACGGGGGATGCACTTCGTCGGGAGTCTCCTCTCCTCCCCTTTTCATCATCCCCTCGCGAACGCAATTCCAAGTGGAAAGCGAAAACGAAACGAAACGAAAACGGAAAAGGCAGAAAACCGAAAGAACAGGCGGAGTGGAGCAAACGAAACGTTTAATTGGTGCAGTTTCGCGGAACTTTGCCAAAACAAAAGCTCAAAAAATCGGAGCACAAACGCACGGCTTTGCTTTGCTTTGCCAACGGACGATCGAAATTGATCGGATTATATGTAACAACAAACACAATAAAAAAAAATACCCGCAGCGAATTAGAAGTTGCAGACAAATTGTAGAGCTGGAACAGAAATCGATGACTATTCGATACTATCGATGTTTCCACGCATCGATGTTTTCTTTGCACTCATCGATAATTTTTGTTTGAAAAGAATCGAAACTAAAAACTAGTAACCATCACTGAATGAAAACTTTTTTTATCAAATAATTTAAAAGCTTCAGAATATTTTAAGCAAGCTAGGGTGTAAACCATCTAACCGAAGTAATATTACAAATTTGTGCTGCCAAAGAACAAATAATAATTTAATTTTTATGATAGGCTTTCTTGAGGAGCTAGCTACAACCATGACCTTAAAAATGTATGGTCTGATTCGAGTCCCACTTCTTCTATTTTTTCACATTTTAAATGTGTCTGATTCTATATACATAGGCACATATTTTTAAATGGCCTTATACACCGATATGTAGGTAACAGCACACTGGGCTGTTTGCTGAGAAATTTAAATTGAAATCAAAAATGCCAAAGTCAAAGCTCGAATACCAACGAACTACTAATCCATTGACATGAAAACGAGCGTTACTTCAATCTGCCAAAAAAAGATATATTTGGTTTTAAAGAAGTACATCGAAAATGAAAAGATCGCTCTTTTAAAACTGACGAAATATATATAAGTATCAGTATTTTTATGCTCTTATATACTCTTATACACATTGATTTTCACATTTTTTTTCATTACCAAATTTTTCTTATTGGAACCCCTGTGTAAAATAATGTATGTTGGGCATAGTGTAAAAATAAATGTCAGTGGAATAGGGCTATTACGCATATCAGAAATTATATAATTTTAAATTTTAAATAATTTGAAAATATTTAAAATCCGTGTTTCACTTTCAATGATATTTCGTATTTTTAGAGGGTCGGCCGAAAGTCTACGAGGTCATGGCCGAATTTTCCTGTGGCCTAAGTTGGCTACTGTTGTCTACAATGTAAAATTTGGTAGCTGAAGTTTTATTATAGATATTTTTTAGTTTTAACACATATTTTTGCCCAGCTTAATTTAAAAACAAACCGTCCACTCTACAACAACAAATTTCAAAAATATGTCAATAGGTTAATAATGGCCGAGGTCACCATAACAACATGAACGGATGTTGATCAGCATATGATCACTGATCATGATGCTATAATCCTACCATCATGATCAGCAAAAAAGGATAATAGAAATATCGATACAAATGAAAATAAGAAGAACATAAGCAAAGGCAACCGAAACAAAACACATAAATTGACAGAATTGGTTTAATAGTTTAGGTGGTGTACTAAAAATATTCGTTCCAAAATGTATTTTTAACAAAACTAATAGCTGTTTAAAAAACATTTTATTGGGCGCTATGTACGATTACTTTTGAGATAGTCAAATTTATCATGAGTGTTCAGCATAACACGGTCATTATGATATCGAACCAGTCATTCATCCAAATTTAGAACCAGTTCGCACTCGCAGAACAGATGGCACGTCACTAGTTGTCCATTTGTTGTTATTGCAAGCGCCGAAGCGTCCAAATTGGATTCGCAAAATCATGGTTTGAACTCATCAATTGGCCAAGATACTGATCCGGAGACTAATCCTCCGCCTTTCTGTCCTTAGAGTGCCCTGTTCAACTTCCAGAGCCTGCTCTCGGTCATCCTGCTGTTGATCTGCACCTGTGCCTACCTGCGCTCCCTCTTCCCCAGCATCATAGACCGGAACAAGACCGGGTAAGTGCCCTTGCGAAGCCCCTACAAGGTGTCCTGACGCTCCACTTACTCCTCTCTCTGAATGCAGGTTTCTGGGCACCTTCTGGAAGCTGGCGAGGATCGGGGAGCGCAAGTCGCCGTGGGTCGGAGCCGCCTGCCTGATCATGGCATTTACCGTTCTCTTCTGGAGCTGAGTGCATGCTGCACATATTCATACCATATCCATATCCTGGGGCTGAGTTTCACCCCAGATATTCCACACTGTTGAGGATTGTAAATACACGCTGCGTTCTGCAGCACTGGTCAGACCTTTTGTGCTTTCACAACACTCCCAGTTTTCTGTGCTCATTTGGTGGTTAATAATAATGTCCGGCGGAGACCGGGAGCAGCTGCGTCGCTTTGTGGCCGCTAGCAGGAGGCGTCTGCATGACCTTCTGGAGCGCCTGCACTGGAGCGAGCAGGGGGTGCTCGGGGCAAGTCACAGCTGTCGGGAGCTCGAACCTGGACTAAACGTGTCCTTTGTGTTTCCGCAGGAACACCAGCCAACCGACGACGGGCACGCGGCTGAGATTTCAGGGGACCTGCCGCCCTCCTGCTGCACCAACTCCGCCTTTAGCGTCAAACTCGACGAGACGGCTGTACAGCAGATTATTGGAAAAGACACAGTCCACCCGTGTGCCGGCTCCTGCTTCGATGATCTGCAGGCGGGCCTCAGCGCAAGCCACAGACTCCTGATATACGAGCACGTGCTGCAGCACACCGAGAGGCACCCAGAGTTTGAAGACAACGCCGCCTTCGCCGAGCTGGTGGGCGAAACCAGACGGGAGCGAAAGAAGCAGCGTCGCCACCGCAAGAGCAAGCCCACGCTGAACGAGGAGCTGCACCAGTTGGTCGATCTGCAGATGCAGGCGCTGCAGCGGCAGAGGCAAAAGGAGCTCGCCCACAAGGAGCAGCACCGGCAGCACAAGGAAAGGCACCGGGAACACACAGAACAGCGCCACCAGGAACACAAGGAGTGGAACAGGGATCCAGACCGCAGCCGGAAGAGAAGTCGGAGTAGGAGTCGCAGCCCAAATAGGCAACGCCATGGACACAGGCGTCGGGAAGAGCGAGAGCCCCGCAGTCAGCACTACAGCACACATCGGTCCCATACCTCTCGTCACTAGAGCAGCTTTTAAAACAGCTCGCGGTCCAGGGAGCAGGGCCGCATCTGAAGGAAGAGTGCCATTGGAATGGGAAACATTGAAGCCAGTGTCTTGGTCATTAGATTTCATCCTAGTCCAGCCGACTGTTTATTTGGGTATTCAGATAATGAACAAAGCAAAAAAAAAATTGAATAGTTGTCTATGATCCTGGCCAGCTCTCGAATGAGCCTACTTGGTGGAGACGCGCGTGCGCTTGTTCCAGGAAAAGTTGACGCCGTAGTTCTTGACGCGCTCCTTCTTGGGCTTTGCGCTACCGTCGACGTACCAGCGCCAGCCGTTGCGCTCGCAGTAGGTGATGGCCTCCTCTGGGGACCCAAACTGCACGTTCATGTTGGACAGTGGGTCGCCGCTGCAAGCAGTCAGTGGTCAGTGTTGAGCCCGTGTCGGTGGACAGTAGCTACTCACCTGGAGGCCCAGCCCATGAGAGGGTTCTCCCAGCGATCGCGGTTATCGAACTCGATCTGCCAGGTGTTGATGTTGTCCGTGCCACTCTGCATGGCGTTCTTGGGCGGAATATGGATGCGTACGCGTCGCTCCTTCAGGTGCTCCTCGGGCACGCCGGAAATCGGTCCGAGATTGACGGCCGTGGGCACGGTGATCTTGCTGCTGAGTTTGTTGCGCTGATCCAGCTCCTCCTGGCGGGCCAGGGCGGTTTTGGGGTCCAGTGGACCGCTGTCCAGCGAGGAAGCAGATGCCCAGCGGGCGGCGGCCAGTTTGTTGGCCTGGTACCTGCCGAAGGTCGGGAAATGGGTAAGCGTATGCATTGGGTGGACGACGCACCTTCGCCCGCAGGCGCCACTTACAGCTGCAGAGAGGCGGTGCTTCTGCACATCACTAGGCGGAGGGCCGACATTTCGCTAGGCGGACTGTATTGGTCACAATATCGGCTTCCAAATACGAATTACGTAAAATTTGGAACACAAGCGCTTCGCAGTAGAGAAAACAGCTGTTTGTCGGTGTGACCAAAACTATTTTTTGTTTTGATTCAAATCGACATCAGACCATGTCACCAAGGCTTGGGTTGGAGTCTTTGCTAAAGCTAACTTGGGTAACATTTTGTACCTTGCCTAGGTACATATACTTTTTGAGACTATCGAGATAGGGAAGGACCTAACCGGCCAGAACTGAGGGAAAGCTAAATGCTAAGCCGATAGTGCCATCATTGGCACAACAGCTTAAACTCACAAAAAAAACCAAAATTTTCAGCGACCAAGGACGAGTTGCGAGGAGCCAGAGCCAGCAGATCCCACAGCAGCAACATGGGTGTTCCGAAGTTCTTTCGCTATATCAGCGAGCGTTATCCGTGCCTCAGCGAGTTGGCGCGGGAGCACAGCGTAAGTGAAGCGGGGGCGAATGCCACTGCCATGTGAAGCGCCAACAACCTTTGTTTGCATTTGCAGATCCCCGAGTTCGACAACCTGTACCTGGACATGAACGGCATCATTCACAACTGCTCGCATCCCGACGACAACAACATCCACTTCCACCTGGAGGAGCACCAGATATTCCAGGACATCTTCAACTACGTGGACAAGCTGTTCTACCTGATCAAGCCGCAGCGACTCTTCTTCCTGGCTGTCGACGGGGTGGCTCCGCGCGCCAAGATGAACCAGCAGCGCAGCCGGCGTTTCCGGTCCGCCCGCGAAGCGGAGCAGCTGGAGGCCAAGGCGGCGCAGCGAGGCGAGCGGCGGGAGCACGAGCGCTTCGACAGCAACTGCATCACGCCGGGCACCGAGTTCATGGTACGGCTGCAGGAGGGTCTGCGCGCCTTCCTTAAGACGAAGATCTCCACGGATCCGCTGTGGCAGCGGTGCAGCGTGATCCTCAGTGGCCAGGAGACGCCCGGCGAGGGCGAGCATAAGATCATGGACTACATACGCTACATGAAGGCGCAGCCGGACTTCGATCCCAACACGCGACACTGCCTGTACGGACTGGACGCCGACCTGATCATCCTGGGACTGTGCACCCACGAACTACACTTCGTGGTGCTGCGCGAGGAGGTCAAGTTCGGGCGGAACGTGAAGCGGGCCTCCGTGGAGGAGACGCGCTTCTTCCTGCTGCACTTGGGCCTGCTGCGGGAGTACTTGGAGCTGGAGTTCGACGCCCTGAGCACCCCCGAGCAAAGGCTGGACGTGGCCCAGCTCATTGACGACTGGGTGCTGATGGGCTTCATGGTCGGCAACGACTTCATACCCCATCTGCCGTGCCTCCACATCTCCTCCAACGCGCTGCCCTTGCTCTACCGCACATACATCAGCATTTACCCGTCCCTCGGCGGCAACATCAACGAAAATGGCAAGCTCAACCTGCGTCGCTTGCAGATCTTCCTGTCGGCCCTTACCGAGGTGGAGCTCGATCAGTTCAAGGAGCATGCCGATGACCTCAAGTACATGAACGCCAAGACGGAGGCATTTGACATCGATGTCGCCGAGATCACCGCCAACGAGAGCTACGATTCGGACCTAGGTGCCCTTATCGATCAAAGCATGAAGGTAGGAGCAGTTGAACAGCTCACAAACCCCGGATTTCACTCATTGGAAACCCCTTTTCACCCGCAGCTTTACGAGAACGACAGCGAGGAGGACTGGAGCGACGAGGCGGCGGGTCTGATGAGCGAGTTTCAGAACTACAAGCGCAACTTTTACCGCAACAAGTTCAAAAGTGAGGCGCCGGGCCAACTGATCGAGGAGCTGGGCCACCACTACGTGAACGCGGTGCAGTGGGTCCTCGACTACTACTACCGTGGCGTCCAGTCCTGGGACTGGTACTACCCCTTCCACTATGCGCCGTTCATCAGTGACCTCAAGAATATCGAGCGGGTCCAGATTAACTTCCAGATGGGGACGCCTTTTCTACCATTCCAGCAGGTGAGTTGGGTTTTTAAGACATTCTTAGTGATCAGATCTCCGTTTCATTTATATACTCTTTTTGGTAAGTTGTTAGTTCAGATTATTTAAAATTTTAGACAAGGGAAATGCTCTCCTTAAAATTTGGTTTGCCTCTTACTCAATTAAAAGTAACGTTTAAAAATCTCTCCGGTTTCAAATAACACAATATAAAATAAACAATAGTGAGACTAGGTTTTTTTCGAGTTTTGGAAAACTCAAATATTGGCTGTTCTACGAAGGAATTTTCAAAATCGAAAAGATTGAGGGAGTTCATGATTTACAAATTTCAGCCAAAGACTAGTAACTTCGACCGATTTTTGTTAATAACTTTTGCTATAAGAAATGGACAGTTAGGAAGTTGTAATTGAAATTATATATATTATATTGATGCTATAATTGACAGTATTACATTTTTGTGGTACAGACTCTATTCCTATCTCGCTCTAAATCAGTAAAAGGTGACTAAGATTTTTTTTTTTTAAATATGACTGCAAGATCACTACATTTAAAGAAGTAGAAAGTCGTCATAGAGATATAAAAAACATTTATTTTCGTTAGGCTTAAGCTGAGATAAGGAAACCACTTAAATGTTATCCAGAGAACAGTGAATAAATCAAATGAATAATTACCGCGAATTCCTGTAGATAAGAGATATATTTTCAAACCCTGTCTCTCTGTCTCCACGCAGCTTTTAGCGGTGCTGCCGGCGGCCAGTTGCAAGCTGCTGCCAGCCGCCTACCACGACCTCATGCTGCTGCCGAGCAGCCCGCTGGCCGAGTTCTATCCGCTGGAGTTCGAGAGCGACCTCAACGGCAAGAAGCACGACTGGGAGGCGGTGGTGCTGATACCCTTCATCGACGAACGGCGGCTGCTCAGCGCGATGGTTCCGTGTGAGGCGCAGCTCACGGCCTCGGAGCGGAAACGGAACCGCCACGGGCCGATGTACCTGTACAACCACACTCCAGACTCGCAGGGACCGATGACCGCGCAACCGCCTCTGCGGGCACTGCCGAGCCTCTACTGCACGGAGGTGGCCAAGTGGTCACGAGACATCGCTCTTAATCTGCCGCACAGCGTGTGCGTGGAGCTGCCCAATGCGGCGCGGCACGTCTTCTTCCCGGGCTTCCCCACTATGCAGCACCTGCCCTTCGACGTGAGTTGCACTTGGAGCACATTGTTCCCATGCCAGGAGTAAAATCTCGCGCTTTTTCAGTTTGAGCTACGGCATGACCGCGTCAAGGTCTTCGAACAGGTGAGCCGCAACCAGAACATGGTACTGATGCCGCGCAAACGACCACTGGAGGACACCCTGGACGCGGTGGCCGGGCAATATCTGGAGCAGGTGGTGCACATCGGTTGGCCGCATCTCATCAAGGCGAAGGTGGTGCGCGTGGCCACACGAGAACAGCGGGTCGACGAGGAGGGAATCTCGCAAAACGACTCGCGTCGCTTCGATTCGGAGTGCAAGTCGCTGCAGGAACAGTTGAGTGTGAAGCCGCTCCCGGCGCCTGGCGCCCAATTCCTAATGCTCCTCCATCTCTCTCCCCTGCTAGCTTCACCACGCGCATGGGAATCAAGTTTGCCAACTACGACGTACTCGTTTACGTGCGCACGTTCGCCGGCAGCTCGATAGAGTTCGGCTCCAAAGGGGCACTGATGATGCGGGACGCGTGGAGCAGCGCTGTCACCAGCTATCCCGCCCAGGGTGTGCTGGCCGAACTGACCGTAAAGGAGAACATACGCAAGCAGTTTCGCAAGGTGGAGGAGTTCTTCCCCGTCGGCAGCTCGATCTTCTTTATCGGCTACCCGTATTTCGGCAGCGCGGGAACTGTGCTGGACCCATTGCTGGCCTACAGCCACGGCCGTATACAGGGTAGGGTCGCATCGCCTTGTCACGGCCTGGACACCCTCTTATCGATCTCTTCCCGCTATCTTTCCAGTCAACATCCGCGTCCGCCCGGAACCGGACGTGAAGGCGGCACGCGCGTTCCAAGAAGAGCGTGACAAGGACCTGTTGAACACCTACGATGTCTGCCATATCTTGAACATCAATGGGCGGGCGCTGGGCCGGCTCACCGGCACCGTGTGGGTGGTCCTCGGACCCCGACGGAAGAAGATGGAGAACGTGGCCAAGCACAACATTGGCCTGCAGCTCAAGTTTCCGCGCCAAAACGAGGAGCGAGCGGGCTACTGTTGCCGCAATGGCAACCACTGGTTCTACTCCAGCATGGCCCTGGAGCTAATGCGGAATTATTGCGAGCGTTTCCCAGATGTGGTGGACTTTTTTGGCGTCAGCAGCGATCGGGGCGAGTACGTGTTCGAGGAGGATGTGTTCCCGGACTCAGTTGGTCAGCACAAAGTTGAGGACCTGGCAAACTGGGTGCGCCAGCAGCCGCACATGAAGGTGGAGCGCATCTCGTGCGGCTCCAAGACAGTCTGCCGCGAAACTGTGGAGCTTTTGATGGACGCCGTCGACGACTTGCGCTTACTGCCCGAGAAGGACGTTAAGCTGCAGGTGAAGCCGCACCTGCTCATCAAGCCCAATGTCACGCTGCCAGAAGCATACCGGTCGCGTCGGCCGGTGCGACTCTTCGACCGCGTCATTATCGTCCGCACCATTTACATGGTACCAGTGGGCATCAAGGGCACTGTGATTGGCATTCACCCCGTCACCGATCCCAACCCGGTCCGATTGGAATGCGTGCATGCCGTCGACACCTTCTGTGAGGTGCTGTTCGACAAGCCCGTGCCAAACTGCAACGATATTCACGGCATCGCTCAGGATCGAGTTTACAAGGTGCCGGAAAACGCTATGGTGGTCATCTTCACGAGTGGTGAGTACTCACTCGGAATTTACAAAGAGCTATTTGGAAAAGGTTCCTTTCCAAAGAATATTTTTTAGGTTCATTTCATGTTCGAGTATTTACATGATCTCAATAAAGTCATAGATGGCGGGTATCGAAATAGCAAACTAGTTTTGATTAAATAATTTGACTTCGAAACCCGAGCTCAGATACTCATTTAGTTTTCGAATAATGGAAAAAAATTCTTTTTTAGACCAAGGACAGAAGGACAAAAGCGCGCAGTCGGCGCAGGCACCGCAGCAGAGCAGGACGCAGGCCGAAAACGACCGCATGAACATTCGAGAGCCCCAACAGGCGAGCACCAGTCGCTACGTGACCGCAGCAGGGACGGACTGGCTCCCGATCACGATGAAGACCCAGATAGCCGAGGACTTCGTCAAGACGCGTGGCGATTCTAGGACCAAATCGGATCGCTTCAAGCCGGTACAGCCGCAGCCGATACCGGAACAGACTGACAACTGGCGGCAGCGAACCAGTGCTCCACCGCCCAAGCCCGCGCCAGACAATTGGCGACAGAACCCCTCGCGGCAGCAAGGCGGTAGTTCGTCCGTTGCTCCGTCTAAAACTGCACCGACTGCTGCGCCGGCCACGTCCAAAGCTCCAGCAACAGCGAATCCGCAGGCTCAGACCCTGGCGCTCATGTCGTTGCTGGGCTTAAAGAAAGACCAGGACGCTCCGCAACCTCCACCCCAACTGCCGCAAGCTCCAGTTCCCGGCCAAATGCCTGTGACTTCTTCCAGCGGAGATATGATTTTCGCACAGAATGCTGCTACCCAGTTTTCTTTACAGAATCTTCCCAAGCCACCGCTTTTCTGGCAGCAGGAGGCCCAGAAGGAACAGCAGGCCCAGAAGGAACAGCAGGCCCAGAAGCTACAGCAGGCCCGCAAGCAACAGCAGGCTCAGGCACTGGAGCAAGCGCAGGAAACCACACGCATTAAGAGTGCTGAGTGGTACAGAAGTGCATCGACGGAAGCGGAGGCGGACCAGCAACCCATAGCTGCCCCCCAAATGAGAAAGCAACTTCCTCAGTACCAGCAACCGCCTCTGTTCCTGCAACAGCAACAGCAGATGCATGTGCAGCTCTCGAACGTGGCTAACTCCGGCTACAACAACGGAAATCAGTCGCGTCCCAACAACAACACAGCTGCGCAAAGTGCCTTTAACAACAACGTGCGCATGCAACAGCAGCAGCAGCAACTATACCAGCAGTATCAGCAACAATATCAACCGCCAGTCCAACAGCTGAAGGAGATTAACAATGTGGCACCTCGTTACTCGTCCATACAAGATTTTGTACCTATTCAGGCGTATCGTCCTAAGAAAACGAAGCGTGTCGGTCGCCAGGATCCAGAAGCGGTAAGCGAAAGTTTTTAAGCCAGGCCAGTTGTTGTTTCAAGAATCTTTGTTTCCCTTTTCTGGTGCAGAAATCGTTGGAGGACTCCATTGACACCAACTCTCGATCTAGTCAGTCGGATAAATCGATGAATGATCAGACTGTTGAGCTGATGCAAACGCTCAATATTCAGGTGAGCAATAACGCATGTCGAAACGTAAGATCCCGAAATAATGTATTTCCGGTACAAGCAGCCATCTACATCACAGTCCGAACGTGCTTCCGCACCAGCAGCCGGCACGGATGAAGCCGTACCATCATCTTCAACCCAGGTGAGAATGCATTCCGTAATGAAATTAAAAGCTAACTTCGTTAAGGGTGTCAAGGGTGCATAACTCTTGTAGATGTAAAACAGTTTGATTAATCGCTGTCTACTCATTTCGTTCGAGGAAGGGATTTGAGGAAAATTCCGAATAGTTTATAAAATCTGAGATGGTTCAATGGTCGAGTGTTCCGACTATAAGATTCTCTGTACTTATTGTCCTGTTTCATGCATGAGCATAATTTTTTTAGGCCTATAAAATACTGTAGCTTAAAAATACTTACATTTACTCTTAAACTTTGCTCTTTTGCAGGCGAACAAGCCAAGGAAACAGCGAACTCCCCGAATTGGCGCCAAGTTTGATTTGGATTATATTATGCATTGAGAAAATAATACAATACAGACGTTGCTCCGAATGAATTGATCTATTCTAAACCCCAAATACATGAAATTCGACGATTACGTAGACTTAATTTTAAAACCCACCTAGATATATTCGCTAAGAATGATTTAGACGTAACCTTATTTTTTTCTTTTCCTAGTCTGAATCCTGAAATGAGACTGACTCATCCTTTTATTTTCTTGTAATAAACTCTATTTTTTCCCTTATACTCTTTATGCATTTAATTCATTAATATTTTTTTTATTACAAAAGATCCTGAGTCCAAAGGTCTAAATATGAACACCCTTTTATATTATTTTATTTCTGGATTTTAAAGTAAGCGTCGTGTACATCAATGTTTTAAAAGGAACTGGTTCTATAAGGGGTGTTGGATCGGGTTTTAAATAAAGCTGGTCATAATTATTAGAATTACATTTATCAGTGGAATATGGGTATATTGTTCCACTTATAAAAATATAGGATATTAGCAAGCCATCGCGGCTATTCGTCAAGATGTGTAACATTATTGCACAAATATCGCTTAGACTGTTTTTTGAGCCGTTACAAATTCTCTTTTTGTGCAAAAAACCTCCAAAGTTCTGGGGAATTCTCTGTCATTTTCATCTCGTGCCCCATATATAGACCTTATCTTTGCTCTTTCTTAAGAAAGCTTTTGTTTTTTATAACAAATCGATACATTTGAAAATTTCTGTTAATTTTTATAAAAATAAAAAAAGAAAGGAAGCCAAATTCCGCTTGACGATTTTTTTTGCAGTTATAATCAAAATTGATTTTTATATCGTTCCTATAAAAACTTAAAAGGTCCCAAAATTATATGCAAATTTATATTTAATAGTTATGTTGCTGCATAATTTGATTTTGATAAAGCTTAAAGTCTTCTAAAAATTTATTTTTGGCTTGATTGTGCCATCATATAGTCGTCCGATTTTGATCGTAATCAAAATGTACTCATGAAATCGTATAAAAGTGACGACTTCTCATTAATACGCAACTATATTAAAAAAACGAAGTTATGCAATTGGCTTTATGATGAACCGGGCGGATTCATACTCATACAGAAAACTGGCATTCTTATATCGACTCGTCTGGCGATGCTGATCGAGAATATAAATAGGGTCACAGACGCCTCCTTGCCTGCATTGCCAAATTCTCACTAAAATTATATTCGTTTCTGCAATGGCTTTAATGAAATTTTTGTGTCTAAAATGATTCAATATTAATTGTATGTAGGTATATTCCTTTGTCCTTCGCACCTGGGACTTGTGATCTATCCTCCACAATGACTTTAATAATTCTAGTTTAAACGGAATACAAAATATATTGATTGTTGCAGAAAACTTAGTATTGTCGTACAAAATATATAAATATTTTTCATTGATTGTATTGAACTGCGGCACAATTACGTTACTCAATCAGTGCAAATTACATTGCGAGTCAAAAATATTGACTACAAACAGCTAGGAGACCAAGCACATCGGTACTTAACATATCCGCTGGAGCTTTAACGCACTAATTTTGATCATTAGAATTTCAAGAACATGTGCTTCAGTTAGTTGTAGTGAAAAATTGCTATCTAGAATTATAAGACTTGTCTTTCCTTACGATTTAAGGTTTTGATTTGCGTATAATTAATTACGACTTTATATGTACATACAATGCATTCGTTAAAAATAATAAAAAATAAAATGTTATTAAAAAAAGCCAGCCAGTGTTGTCAACATAGGTTCCATTTGATTCAATTTTAAAAATCCTAAGACAGTGCCAACTTGCGTAATTATATATAAATTCACGAAGCTGGAATAGACATGCGACTTCCACATATCTCTTTCGCTCGCGGATGATTCTACATCGACTTGTCTTTTGCCGAAACAATTATTTAATGGTGTGTGGATCTGCTTTGTGGATGGATGCTGGGATGAGTTGAGCCAGTGGGTACCACACAAAAAGGCACACCAACCGCTCAGCCAACCGCTACAGATCAGATCCGATCAGATAAACTCAGCTTTGCTCAGATCAGCGCAGCCTCTTCTTCATAGCTTTTCGTTTTGTTGTTGTTAATAGTGAATTTTATTGTGGATGCCGTTCTTTATAGAGCTAAGCTTATTCCTGTTCATATTGTTTGTTGTTAGTTAGGTTCTCGCTTCTCGTTATTGTTGCCGCAGATCTGTTGTTGCTGTTATTGTTTTTGCGGTTGTGGGTATTATGTAGCAGTCTTGTTTGGTCCTAAGACGCTGCCGCTGCCGTGGCCAAAACCGACACCGGTTCACTAGAATCAACATGAATCAATTGCTGCTGTTCCTCCTCGGCGCGCAGCTTCGCGGCCTCCTTTTCCTGCAACTGAGCCTCGAGCTCCTCGACATTGCGAAAGATGCGGGCGAACTGGAAGCGTTCATGGCACGCCTGCTGGTAAAGAGCGGTCTCTGCCTCGCATTCCCCGAACACATCGCCGTCCCGCAACGCTGTGTAGATTTTGGTGGCCTCCTGTAAATCAAAAATTAAATTGTAAGATTAAAAACGGACTGGCAATTAAGTCGGCAGCCAGAGCTGACAGGTGCTTACCTCTAGCCGGATCTTAGTCAGGTTGAAGCTGGTGACCAGCTTGATGGCGGCGGCCTTTTTACTATTGTCCAGCTCGTACAGACTGCGGGCGCCCTCGTATAAATGCAGTATGGAAGCGTTGTGTTTGGCAATGAACTCGTCGTTGAGCTGCTGGGGCGTCTTGCTGCCTATCAGTTCTTTGGTAGCCTTGTCCAGCACCTGCTGTACGTGCTCATTGAACGGCTGCTGCTTGGCGGTGATAGCTAACGACTTCATAAAGCGAATAATGCAGCTGTGGACTTCGGGGTGCGCGGGATTCACTGCGCGAGCGCGTACGATGGACTGCAGCATAAGAAGCAGCTTGTTCTTGCGGTAGTAAACCTCGAAGGCTAGCAGGTGCGTCTCGATGCGCTCCTTGGCCAGCTGTTGCAGCGGCCTAAGGAAGTCGATGGCTTTCTCTAGCGGATCGTCCGTGCGCTCCAGTTTCTCGGCCACCAGCTCGTCCAATTGCGGAGCATCGGGGTCGGTCTCCTGGTTCGCCTGCTGCTTCGACTTCTGGTGCTGCTCACGCTTCACCTGCGCCTGTGCGGCCTGCGCACTCTCCAGCTCAGCTTTCTTCTTGGCCTTGCGCTGTTTGCTGCGCAGCTTCTTCAGTTCCGAAGGAGGCAGGTTCTCTGTGGCGAAAAGAGTTGTATTAAGGAAGGTGAACGAGTAATTAAAGATGTACAGTCCGCATACCAATGTCGATCTCCTCAATGGTTGTCTCCGACTTGAGCGGCTTGTCGTACAGACGAATGTACACCTCGATAGCGCACTTGGCCGCCTTAAAGTAGAAAGGATGCTGGCGTAGCACGTCCTCCAGTCGGAGCAGACCAACGTAGGCGCGCAGCGTCATTTTACGCATGCAGTAGGTGTGAAAATCAAACTGGTCCTCAACAATCTCGGCGAAGTGGCGCTCTACCTCGTGGCACTTCTTCAGTGACTCGCCCCAGCGACCCATGCGCTGATAGGCTAGGGCACATTCCGTTTGGAACCACATGCACTGCATCTCGTTCAAGTTGTCCATGGCGGAGACGCCCTCGCGGGTGAACTTCGCGCAGATCTCCTCTGCCTCCTGAACCATGTTACCCCGCAGCATGTACTTAGCGCACTTCGAATTGATGTAACTAAGAAAGAGAAAATAGTTGGTTATACTTAGTAAGCCCCTTCAAAATCTTCGCCAAAGTTGAGCTCACCGATCCGCCGTATCCATACTCTGCGCTTCTTCCAGCCAGACGTACGCCTCCACGGGATCGCCGGCATGCTTAAAGATGCGACCCTTGGTAATGAGCAACTCGATCAGAGTCGGCGTATGATCGATTGCTACGTTGATGTACTCCAGGGCACGGTCTGTGTCACGCATGTAGTCGTAGTGCTGCGCAAGAAACAGTGCCGTCCACACCAGCGCTGAGGCCGGCTCGACGGGAACACCAGCATCAGCGTCTTCCCGCGAGAAGTGGCCGGAGCGAGTAAGATTTTCGAAATACTGCAGCGTCAGCTCCTCGATGGTGGCCGCCTTCTCCGGAATCTGGTGCAGAGTACGCACGTTGACAAAGAGCGGCGGGATGCCCTTACGCAGACCGCGGCGCAGGTACTCGTCGGCCACGATGCGGAACTCTGCGCCGAGGGCGATGTTCAGAGGCAGGCGGCGGGGACAAAGGGCGCGCGGATACTGCTCCTGGAATACACGATAGATCGACACCACTGCGCTGGACTCGGTGACCTGGCGGGCAGCTATGTACTGCTCGTAGTAGAGCACGTTCTCGGGATTGCGGCGGATCAGGGACTCGAAAATGGGCACCGCCTTCTCTTGCTGCTGCAGCTTGATGTACAGGTCTCCAATGGTCTCGCGTACGGCCAGCTTGTCAACGATCTGGGCCTGGTACTTGGTCAGGTGGTCCACGGCCTGCTGCAGACGCTTCGACTCGATGAGTATCTGGTTCTGGTAGAGGAGCAGCTCCGAGTGGCGGTAGTCGTGCGCCTCCTGCCCGTGGAGCGGAACCATGAAAATATAAAGAGATATTGTTGGATTATACGAATGGGTCGGCGGGGAGCCAGCTACATACAATAGAGGTTTGCGACTGGCTGAACGTCTCCAGGATGCTGTTGGCCATGTCATAGTCCCGAAGCAGATGGTAGCTCATGGCGAACCCGATCCAGGAGGCGTGCTGCGAGGGTCGCAGCGTGAACAGGTGGTGGCGCGTCTCCTTGTAGCCCTCCAAGTCGCGCATCTGGATCTGCAGCAGCGACAAGTCCTTGAGGATCTGCAGGTTATCCTTCTCCCACTTGAGCGCGTTGCGGTAGCACTTGATGGCCTCGTCGTACTTCTTGTCGCTGCGCTGGAGCAGTCCGTAGACGTGCCAGCAGACGTGGGACCGCAGGTCGTTGCGCAGCCCTAGGCGGACGTACTTGTAGGCCTCCTCGCGACGTCCCAGCCCGTTCAGGGTGAGTCCCTTCATGGCCAGCGTCTCGCCGTGCTCCGTGTACTTGGGGTTCGAGAGGATCTGCTTGGCCAGCTTAAGGCCATTTTTGTACTGCTTCAGTTCGTAGCATTTCTGGTTGGGGAGACAAAGGATTAGGGCGGCATTAGTCACGGGTTCCTACACATCCCGCCCAGTGTCACATTTTGAGGTTATGCTACCATCGGGCGGCCCACAGTCGAAGGTGGCGAAGCACGGCCCGGCGTCTGGAGGTGCCCCACATCCCGGCCAGCGGCGTAGATGCAACCGTTCTGCTCGGCTGCTGCTGCCACGGCCGGCCAAAAATAGGCACTCCACTCCACTTTGCCGAAAAAGCACATGGATGCCGAAGCCGGCAGTGGTGGCCGCGGAGGCGGAGGGTAGGGGTGTTGGTATAGGGGCTAAAAGGGGGCAGTAAAATGAGCGCCCGGCGCTTACAAGTAGCTTGCGGAAGAGCGCACCCTCCTTGGGCGGCAGGGGATCGCTGGAAGGCATATCTGCAAGGCTGCGGCTGCTCCTCTTCCTCTTCTCGTCGTCGGCTCTTGTTCTTCCTCAGCTGCTGACTGGGTATCGCCTGGATCGCAGTGAATTGCTCCGTACTGCGGGATCTGCGGAGACGGATGCTTCGGCTGCTCTGGGAGCTGGATTCAGTTGGTTGAGTAGACACACCGCACAAGGCGAAAACAGCGAACTGCGGGCACGAGCAAATTTCTAACTTGACGTGAGACAGTCACACGCACACCAGGAACCACAACTATACACATGCACGCACTCGCGCACGCACACCGGCACACGGTGCCGCGTTTCGCAGCGAACGGCTGCGCCTCTGTAGCAGCAACGCGAATGACAGTAAACGCGGTCGATTTGAATCGCGCCGTGGCGGTTATGTAAAGGGGGCTGATCTTTAATTAAAACTCTTTTTGAAAGCGTCGGCGGCCAGCAGGCAGTCTACTTAGTTTCACAACAGATTTCACCAGGCGTGCTCCGCTCTCGCACTCGGCATGAAATTAAGCTACAATTGAATTTAAAAAAAATATTACCAACCTAGTGTCATTCACCGGCAAGGGAATTAGATGCGGCAATCGGACCTATCGATAGTGACTCGATAGTTTGCCGCCCCCTATTGCAAGAAGAAGAACAACGACAGGAGCAACAACATGAATTCTCTGGCCAGGATCGGTGGCTTTGTGTGCCAATCGGTGCAGATAGCCGGCTGCGGAGTAAGTGGATTAACCTAATAAGTTGACAACGGAAGCTAATCCCAAACCAATTGCCCATCCAGCTGCAGCAGGTGCGCACTAAGTATGCCGATTGGAGGATGATCCGCGACGTCAAGCGGCGAAAGTGTGTCAAGGAGCACGCCGTGGAGCGGCTGCGGGTCAACTCGCTGCGCAAAAACGACATCCTGCCTGTCGAGCTGAGAGAGGTAGCGGACGCCGAGATCGCGGCCTTTCCCCGCGACTCATCTTTGGTTCGAGTGCGGGAACGCTGTGCGCTTACGTCACGGCCGCGCGGAGTTGTCCACAAGTATCGGCTCAGCCGAATCGTGTGGCGACACTTGGCTGACTACAACAAACTGTCCGGCGTGCAGCGCGCCATGTGGTAGCGGCTCCTTCTGTTAGCAATCTAAGGAAATAAACCATTCTAGTAGTCCACTTCCCAGATCTTTGTTATCGGTTTTGGTCCCCTCACAGCTGACCAGTCTATCGATAGGCGTGTTATCAGGCTCTGTGGAATAAATAAATAAACCATTTGAAGGGCCGGAGCAAGAATGTCCCGGAAATCAAAGACAGGCGCCGGTGACGAAGGCGGGAAAGGATATGGTCGCCGGTCACAGCTCAACCTGGTCGACTTCAGTTTCCTGGACCGCAAGGCGGAGCTATCAGGGCTGCTACAGGCCAAGAGCCGACAAGTCGGCAGGAGTCTGGTCGAGAACGAATGCGACTTCTGGAAGTTCGTGGGCAAATACGAGGCCATGATGCGCTCCACGGGCCAGCCCGTGCTGCCGCCCCTACTCTGCGAGGAGGAGCTGGTTACTCCTCAGCCGTATCACCGCAGCAAGCACCTTGCTCTGCGCCTGGACGGGGACGAAATGTTCCAGGAGGCACACACGGAGGTGCAGGCGCAGTTCCGTCATCTCCTGCTAGTCTACCTCAATTTTCGTCAGGCGGAGAAGTTCCAGCGCATACGGAAGCTGCGACAGGCGCAGCGCAACCTGCCAATTGCCCGCTTCCGCCAGGATTTACGCGAAGCCCTGGACACGTCCCGTGTGGTCATCGTGGCCGGCGACACGGGCTGTGGAAAGTCCACACAGGTGCCCCAATACCTCTACGATTTTGGTTTTCGCAGCATAGGTGAGTGCTACAAGGATCCACTTAGTGTACCCGCCCTAATCTTTTAATGCCACAGCCTGCACCCAACCACGCCGCTTGGCCTGTGTTTCCCTCTGCAAGCGCGTGGCCCATGAGCTCCTGGACGACTACGGCAGCCGGGTGGCCTTCCAAATCCGGTTCGAGCGCAGCCGGACACAGAGCACTAACATTCTGTTCATCACGGAGGGCCTGTTACTGCGCCAACTGGCCGTGGCCGCCAACCTCGACCAGTACGACGCGCTCATCCTTGACGAGATCCACGAGCGCAACCTGTTCGGGGACTTCTTGCTGGGCGTGACCAAGTGCCTGCTACGAGCGAGGCCGCAGCTGAAGCTGATCCTTATGTCGGCCACTATCAACGTGGAGCTTTTTCACGGCTACTTTCGTGAGGAAGGAGCGCGACTGGTGCAGGTGCCGGGACGCCTGTTCCCCATCAAGCTGCGTTACCTGCCGCCACCAGCACTGGAGCTGAAGGCAGGCCAGGCAACCGCGTCCTCCAAGCGTTCCCAGGGCGCCCGCATTGACCCAGCGCCCTTTGTCCAGGTCCTGAGCCTGATCGACCAGCAGTATCCCAGTAAGTCTGGCCATCCCATCTGACTGAGACTCTATACTAACAATCTAACCCAGCCAGCGAACGAGGCGATGTGCTCATATTCGTGAGTGGCGTTAACGAAATCGAATCGGTAGTGGAGGCTGTTCAGGAGTACGCCACCCAGCAGACCCATTGGCTCGTGCTGCCACTGCACAGTGGACAGGCGATTGCAGAGCAGGGAAAGGTATTCGACTATGCGCCCGAGGGCTGGCGCAAGTGCATTGTGTCCACCAACATTGCCGAAACGTCGCTAACCGTGGACGGCGTGCGGTTCGTGGTCGACTCTGGCAAGGTCAAGGAAATGAGCTACGACGCCACCTGTAAGGGCCAGCGCCTGAAGGAGTTCTGGGTGTCCAAGTCGTCGGCCGAGCAGCGCAAGGGTCGCGCTGGACGCACAGGACCAGGCGTAAGATAATCTGTAATGTTGGGGCCAATGGAGCCTGACCCTTTTATCACATTCCCACTTTCCGATCAAAGGTTTGCTTTCGCCTGTACACCGCGGATCAGTTCAATGCATTTGAGGCCTATCCCACCCCGGAAATCTACCGCGTCCCGCTCGACACGATGCTGCTCCAGATGGTGTCCATGGGATTGCCCGACGTCAGAGTCTTTCCCTTTATTGAGGCGCCGGAAACGGAACGCATCGAGCAGACCATTCTGGCCCTCAAGCAGCACGTAAGACTTTTCACTAATAAATCTATAACAAGGTTATTATAATCCTTAATTGCAGTGTGCCCTCAGCGTGGAGGAGAAGATCACACCACTGGGCAGCTCGCTGGCCAACCTACCTGTGGAGCTATCCATCGGCAAGATGTTGCTCATGGGCTGTGTGTTCCCGGAGGTGGAGCAGCTGTTGACCCTGGCCGCCATGCTCAGCGTGCAGAACCCGCTTACGAATCGTGCCCACACGGACCAGCGTTGTGTGCGAGAGCGTCAGTCGTTGGAGTCTGACCAGGGCGACCTCTTCACCCTGGTGTCCCTGTACCGCGAGTGGCTGCAGCTGAAGATGCGGCGCGAAAGCACTCGCCAGTGGTGCCGACGCCTGGGCATTGAAGAGCAGCGTTTCTACGAGGTGACCAAGCTGCGCCAGCAGTTCCAACGCATCCTCGAGAGCTGCGGGATGGTGGTGGCCAGCAGCTCCGGCTCCCAGCTGACAGGAGCCGAGCGGGCCACTCGGCACGGTGAGCTGCGCCAGCTAAAAGCTCTCAAGCGCCGTCAACGCTTCGAGCAACCACGTCAGCGCAAGTTGCTCAAGCAGCAACACGGGGCGCAGGAGGAGGAGGAGCAGGATGAGGAACAGGGCGACGACATGCGTGACGTGGACTTCCGGCTGCGGTATGACCACCGGCAGCTAGCACTCTTGGAGCGCTCGGCTCGCCTCGACAGGCATCGAGACGTTGTGCTGCTGAAGCTGCTGCTCGGAAGCGGATTTTATCCGCAGCTGGCCGTGGGCGACGAGTTCAACTACTGCAAGGGTGGCGGCCAGCAGTTCTTCCACACGCGCCTCAAGCCGTTCCTACTGCAGCACCCCAACTCCCATTTCGCCAAGCACTACGAGCTGTTGAAACTGGCCGACAGCGACCTGCTGCCGAAGCCAGACTTTTACACGCCAAAGCACCCGTTCAGCGAACGCCACCAGCTGCTTTGCTACCAGTAAGTGAACGAGAGACAATTTCTTGATCCAGTGCTAATCCCACCGATCCGCAGATCGCTGCTGGAGACCGCCAAGCCCTATCTGATAAACTGTATTCGCCTGCCGGCAGCCCAGACTCTGCTGCTCTTCAGCTTCTCCATCGACACGAACGCGGGCATCACTCAGATCGTCTGCGACGGCTGGCTGGGCCTGGATCTGCCGGTCCCGGGCAGTGGCATGGAGCTCCTTAGCCGCGCCATCGAGCTGCGCCGACGGTGGAGTAGTCTGCTTTACGCCAAACTGGAAGGTGAGTGTTTTGTTTTCGTATTATCAGGGATTAATAATTATGACATTTTTAAGCTAAATTTATTGGGGTTTTTTTTCAATCAATTTTAATGTATTAATTAAATTTGTTATTACTTGATTATTTTAACTTTCTAAGCCCGTTTTCTCGTCTAAGTGGACGGTTTAAAGTAGTCATAAACTGTAAACTCAGCAAACGCAGTTAATTTATTAGTTTAAAACCTACTTTTAGCTAAACATCAGAACTATAAATGGAGTTTTAAAGTTTTTGACTTGCCGAAGCTTTGTAATAAAAAATATTTATTTATATAAAGCTAAATTAAGAATTAAAACTAAACGCTAAATAGTACCTAAAGCACTTGGATCTATGGACTTCCGCTCGTCTAATATGACCATCTTAATTTATTTTAAGACAAAAAGAACAATTTGAAATTTGTTGCAGTTATTTATTTATTTCCCGACGGTTTTTAAAACTATGGTAATATAAGTATGCATCATTCGAAGCAAATATATTATGCTAGCGGTAGTTGACATTTTAGTATTATTTGACTTATTTGCAGATCTTAACAATAAGCAGGAATCATCTTCAGGTGTGAGCGATGTGAGTAGCACGCTCTGGCACGAGCTCCTCGACTTCATGGCACTGGACGTGGCGTACGCGATTCGGCGGTTGCTTCCCGCCGATATAAAGAGGCTCTACTCTCGCCAGGAGCCGTCGGCGAAACTTATGGATCTCAAGGAGAACCCCTTTGCCGTCGACTATTCTATGACCGCCAACGAGGAGAAGGGCGGCCTCAACGTATCCGAGCACGTGGTGTACAACTGCTTAGCGGAGCAGCAGTGGACAATGGCCATGGACGCGGCCCTCCGCACAGAGTCATGGCATTGCTCGCGCTGCGACTTCGAGTTGGATGAGTTTGATGTGCTTCAACAACTGGTGCACCGACCACAATGCCCGGGTCGCAAGGCGCAGGGTCGTAAACCTAAACCGGATAGTCTTGTTACCACAACTGATGCCCACCCACCCGCTACACCCAGAAGCTCAAACCCCAACTCATCCGGCGGCTATTACTGTGACACCTGCAAGCGCAAGTTGCAATTGACAAAGATCGACATCCTGCGCCACCAGCAGCAGTGCCGAGATAAAAAGTAATTGACTGAAATAAAGTCCCGAAATGGGTTCTTAAAAGTAAAAGTTACCTACACTTGGAAAACTCGTAATCTTGCATGAATACACCGCTTTTTTATTTTTTATAAAAGTCTGGGTGCCCTTAATTAGAAAAGTCCTTATTTTTCACCCAGTATTTTGGTGACTACCATGCAATTAATGGTCCAATAATGGAATGTTACACCTCGATATGCTAGAAATGAAATTCCAAATCGATTGTCATTTAAATCTGGACATTTTTATTTTTGACCCATATTCGCAAAAAGACATTTTTTTTTAATTTTCGTTTTTTTCATAAGGGGTTACATCATGTTTTTTTGCGAATATGGGTCAAAAATAAAAATGTCCAGATTTGAATGCCATTCGATTTGGAATTTAAATACGAGCTCAGCGAGGTATGACATTCCATTATTGTACCATTATTTTCATTGTTAGGCCCAAAATAGTGAAATTGTTGGTTGAAAAATCATAATTTTTTTCTGGAAAATCAGGACTAGGACTTTTGCCGAAAACACAATTTTTTGTAGCGTTATTTTGTTATAACTTTGCTAAATTCAGCCGCAAAGCTAAAAAACTAAATTTTTTACGCAGCTAAGAATCTAATCTAACAATTCCCATCAAAATCTGACAACATTTTTTTTTTTGAATTTTCGTTTTTTTCATAAGGGGTTACATCATGTTTTTTTGCGAGTATGGGTCAAAAATAAAAATGTCCAGATTTGAATACCATTCGATTTGGAATTTAAATACGAGCTCAGCGAGGTATGACATTCCATTATTGGACCATTATTTTTATTGTTATGGCCAAAATAGTGAAATTTTGGTTGAAAAACCATGATTTTTTTTGTTGAAAATCAGGACTAGGGCTTTTGCCGAAACACGATTTTTTGTAGCGTTAGTTTGTTATAACTTTGCTAAATTTGAACAATCAGACAACAATTTTGTATGGAATTTTCGGTTTTTTTTATAAGGGTTTACATAATTTTTATGACTAAAAAATGAAATTACATCGTGTTTTTTTTTGTACCGTCCTTCCGAAGGGCATTATATTGTTTCGCGAAAATGTTCCTATTCGGGACATTATTTGGCTGCCATCAAAAACATCAGAAACATAAAAGTAGGCAACACTTTTGCAGCAAAAAATATGCATTGAATAACAACTAATGCCTATTTTTAAGATAGGCCTGAGCCAACATTTTAATATTGCCGCTGCCCAAATTAGCAATAAAAAATAATACATTAGTTGTTACTGTCAACCGCAAAACTGTGGCTTTAATAAGTTTGTAGGAAAAAAGTCGTGTACAAATTTTCAATTTACAAGCTGGCTTTAGCGTAAAATTAAGATGAGAAAACGGGCTTCAGAGATTTGTTCTGAATCCTTACATTCTCGCAACAACAACAGTTGCTTAAATCTTAGGACACAACACAATACAAAAAGTTGCACTAGCTTGTGAAAAAGTCTTTGGCTGTCAAGTTGTCCAATTTTTAGATATAGTTGTACACTCTGGATGCCCTCCCTTCTTTACGCTTGCTTCTTCAACTCTGCGCTGTTGTTACTGTCGAGTTTTGTACTTTGCTCTTCTTAGTTCCATGCTCCCTTTTTTCCCAAGATAGAACGCTAGTCGCATATCTGGACTATGGGATACCCGCTACTCACGGCTTTGTTACAAAAGATGTGATTATCAATAAAATTCTTATTAGTCTGTTTGGTTTTTTAACAAATAAATATACATAATCGTAGGTTAAATACCTACTTACTTACTTTAAAATGTTGCTAATCCACTAATCCAATAATCTATTAATATTTCCAATTTTACGGCAAGAAGAGGGCGGTGCCAAATTTTAAATAATTTTACAAGAAAAGGGTATAATAAAAACTTTCGGCAACAAAGTGTTGCCTGCTTCTGGGCATGTGTAGGCAAGCTGCAGCGCGCACACACAAACACATTGACTTGTTCGAAAGTTGATTTCAATATAAGTTTTATGTTGCGTAATATTGAAAAGGGCGACATGCCCTGACGGGCATTAACTTTTAAATTTTCCATCATTATTAAGCACTTCGATTAAGCGAATAGCTGTCGGTCTACACTCCTAAAAATAATTTTATACAATCACCATTGACTGCAATAGAAGTATGTGCAATATCCTTACCATTATTTTAGTTTCAAATAATTAGTGGTCGTCCAGTGTATGTTAAGTAAAAAATTAAGTTGAATTCTTTTTATTTATATTTTATTTCAATATTTTATATGTTAGGCAAATTATGCAAAATTATAAAAAACGTATATATAAGAACCCTTTTATCAATTACAGTTAGATTACAATTTATAATTATAATTGTTTTGATTTTGAGCTAATTTGAACAAATTCTTCGCAATTTTATTTAAAAAGTTTTTTTTTGTCATTTTCGAAAATGTCTATAAAGTATTTTGCATTTTCGAAATATTTTTTTTTACTTATGTTGCGCTTGTCCAAAATTTAAAGATATTACTACAAATAATTATTTTGTAAATAAATCTAGGGACAAAAAAACGAGCACGATTAAAAAACGTAAGGTAACTTATTGTATATGTAATACTTTTGCTTAAACCAAGTATGGGTTGGGTACATTTATTTTGTCGATTCTTCTATTTAATCAGTGCTCCCTAAGTCGAATAACCCTTTTTCTAGGGGCAAGTATGGGGCTTCACTTTACACACCTATGTATTTTTAAAGCACTGGCTTTAAATTCTCAGATCCTTTCTAGGCCCTGCATTAAACAACAAATCATATTTTTTGTTATATTTTTTGCCTATTCTCTGTACTTATTTTCACACGTACAAATAAAGTAGTTTGGCAGTGCCTAAAAAAACATTTTTATTAAATAAAAATGCATCTAGATGTATATCGCCTATATGGTGCAGGAAATTAAAAGTATATTTAATATAAATAATAAAAAAAATGTAGTCTGATTTGGGAAATATCGTACAGTATGGTAAGGTATGTGGGTATGGTAGGTAAGGTATGGGGTGATAAGGTATAGCTGGGGGGTCTGGTCTCAACTGTACTTTGAAGTACTAATTAGCTGCCTAGCTTTCTGAATTATCCAAGGTTCTCATTCTACTTAACGATATATTGTTGTTTTCGTATGTTATGGTCTATATTCGTATTCATGTATGTATAAAGATTGCTGCTAAATGCCTTGTATATGTTTTCATTTAGTTCGTGAATAGTTTGGATATTGAATGCGTCGCGTGAAGGTAATTTCCAAGGCGTAAGGTCAGACTTACATACATATATGCCTATAACTTTTCGTTTCTTCTTTGATGTCGTAATTGGGTGTAGATTTAATGCCTAGAATTACATACGTAAGTCCATGTACATAGAAATTTATTTTATATATTGTTTTATAACTAGTACAATCGTTATTATAGCTGACCTTATTTTGACGCGCCTTCTTTCTAGACTATATGTATACATAGAAGTTTCAATTCATTGTTTTAATTGCGACTGCAAACCCTTTATCCTACCGCTAATGCACTTAACAAACTTACCCGCTATGAATATACTTTTCATATAGTTTAATTTCCAATTCGTGGTGGCTTCCGTAAAACAAAAAAAAAAATTTGTAAGGATACAATTTGTTTGCTTACACTTAGTATATATGTATTCATTAATATATATAGCTTAATATGATTAACTGTATGCATTTTACATTTACAATTTTATAAAATTTGCAAAATTTTGAAAATATGAATTGTTTTTTTTTTCTTTTTTTAGTTTTATTTTTTGCGTTTAAATAAACTGTCGTTGATTTGAAAGTTTTTTCCTATGTTTAATATTTGTTTCATTATAGGATCTGTTTTTTTTAAGGTTTATATACTTTTAAAATTGTGTATATATATATACGAATAATGCGTTTTGTACCAAACTAACTAGTCTACACAAAAAAAGGTGGTATTACAATTGGGTTTTCACGTATTTCCGCATATACGATTTTGGGATTAGATGGTTCTAAAAAGCGATTTCATCCGACGCGTGGATCGCCCTAACGGATTGGGATTGGGACCTCTCTGTCCATCTGGATAGAGTATATATATTTTCTCGTTTTTGTATTCTTGTTTATCGCATGTTCATCGATTTAATTACTAAAACCTACATCAGTCGTTTGGCACACAAGTCACGCAGTGGCGTGAACCACGGAACAGAATCCTTCTGGCGGCTGTTTTTACAAGCCGCAACAGCGGATGTTAATGTAGCTGTTGTCGGTCCTCTGTCCCCTATCCTCCATTCCCTGTCCTCCGTCATCTGGCTGCATCCCATCTTCTCACGCACTAAAGCTGCCAGGGACTCCTCCTCATCGCCTGCTACTCCATCATGTCTCTGCATCTCCATCAGCCGCCGTGTGAGTGCCAAACTAGACTTCGGTGCCATCCTCGCCCTCGTCGTCGAAGAGCTGGCTGGTGCTGCCCTGACCGCTGCGCGTCGTCGTCACGGACATCTTCTTCTTGGGTTTCGGTGGTGGCCGCGGTGGGATCTTGGCGGTCTTCGGTGAGTCGCCGCTGCTGCTGCCGGCGTGGCTGGGGGATACAGCCGACGGCACGGGCGAGAGATACGCGGCGTGCCCCAGGCCGGCCCCACTGATGCTGGATCCGGGCAGTATCGTGATCCCCTGGTGCCGTACCCCGTACAGTGGCTCCATGTCCGAGGAGCCCAGCCGCTGCTGCTGCTGCAGTTGCTGTTGCTGCTGTTGCTGTTGCTGCAGTTGCTGCTGCTGGAGTTGCTGCTGCTGCTGGATCAGCTCATGTATGGGCTCGTAGATCTTGCTGGCATTCGTCGCCGATGACACCGAGGTCAGACTGGGCGTGGCCGGAAGGGGTCGGTCCCGCATCGAGTACTGCTGACCTGGGCCCTGGGTGCCGGCGATCTTGGTCAGGTTGAGGGTGGAGTTGCCGCCGGCCGTGGTGCGTAGCCCCAAATTGTCGTACACGGGCTCCGCCTGCAGTTCCGCTGTGGTGGCGGTGCCCGTCTCGCTGGGATTCGGCGAGGTGGGGCTCTGGAACTCGCTCAGCTGGATGGCACCGTGCCCGCCGGCCGCTCCAGACGTGCTGGGCGCCCAGCTGGGGGTGCGCGGCTTGCGCGGAATGGTCATGTAGCCCTGTTTCATGACCACGGCCGTGGCCGGCGAATAGACGACGGGAGCGGGCAGAAATGGCGAGGTGGCGGCCAGCGGATGCTGCTGCTGCTGCTGGAGATGGTGGTGCTGGTGCTGGTGCTGCCGACTGCTGTTGGCCGTGGCGATCAGGGCCAGGTTGCGTGACTTGGGATGCTGCAGCGTCATGAAGCCGTTGTGCGGAGCCGCCATCGTCTTGGTGCCGTAGATGCCGTGGGGCGTCATGTGCGTGTACACCGGGCTGGTCAGCGAGGGCGGCGAGCGGATGCCGTAGATCACCTGGTCGGGGATGTTCGACTGCGAGGACTGCATCGAGGGCGAGGTGGGCGGCACGCGGGCGGGGAAGGCCAGCAGGTCCGGCGGCAGGCTGTTGGCGTAGGCGTCGTCTACGTAGGTGTGTCGCGACCGGGGCGTGGTCGTCGTGTCCGACAGAGCCACCGAGTGGGCTTCCTCATCCCGCGAGTGGTTGGGCACTGCAAGGAGAGGGAGGTAAGTTTAAGCCAATTTACAATTTTAGAAACGAAGTTACGATTCTTATTTTTGTAGGCCAAATTTTAAATTTACTTTTTGTAGTTTCTTTTTTTAAAGGTATTATATAAAAAGGGTTCTCAAAATGTTTTATAAAAGTTTTATATGCGTAAAAAAAAAAAAAATAAATTTAAAAAATGGTTGTTTTAGAATAGCTAAACCAAAAAAATGTATTTTGTGATTTATATCAATCTCCAAACTGTTATTAACAGTCCTTGATTTTAATAATCTTAACTCCTAAACAACCAGTTCTTACTTTTTAAAGTAACTTTTTTTTTAACCTAGTACTGCTAGTAACCTTTTAAATTAATTTATTAAGCAAAAAAAAAGCAAAATACTTTTAATAAATATGGGTCTAAATAGTTTTCTATATATTCCAAGAAGTATTTCATGTAGCTGGCTCAGGAACAAACTGACAATTTATAGCACTATCGATTATTATATTTTTAATGAATTTATTAAGTGGCAGGGCATAATTAAAGCTGGTCAAAATATTAGTGTGGTAAATACGGCTTTTACTTGTTAACGATTCAATTTTATTGAACAATATCGTACCATTTGGGAACGTCCAGGGCCCCTTGATTTTATAAAATGAAAATAGGTTTACAATTATTTTTGACACTCGCGAGTCAACAATGTTAAATCCATTTTTGATTGACGGACACACCAGTAAACTGTGTCTGTCCAAAATTACAGACAAATTATATGTGCAGCAGTACTTTTTTATTTAAACTCAACATTTTAATAACAAATGTAAAATAAGGCTTTCTTATATGTTTTCATTAAAAATGTTTTTAATTTTAACTAACACTATAAAAAAATATCGTATAAAGCCTTTTTCTTTCCGTTACATACTTTTAAATTATTTCTGTTTAATTTAAGGTCCACCCTTTATCAGTTCAGGGGGTTTTCAGATGTTGAGTGCCGCGTAAAGCCCTCTGCTGTTTAATCCGAAACCGGGGAAAATAGTTTTTAACTGTCGTTTCTTTTGAAAAATAATAATTCTTGGTTAATCCCAATCAGTAGCAGCACAACGCTCTGGCACATGTCAACGCTTGTTTTTCCAATCACTCAATAAGTGACACGAGGGCAGTGCATCAATTGCATTCAATTGTCTTTCCAATTGTCATTGCAATTCAATTGTCAAACCCAATTGGCCATTTATTTATTTATATATCCCAGCGCTACAACAAGACAGGCATTATAACTAGTGTTGTTTTGAAAGAAGGATGCCTTGGTTTTCATTAATATACAAAGGCTTTTTTGCTATAAATTGTTGTAGCAAAGCATTCTTAATATTGGTAAATTAGAGTAGTTAAAAGATATAAATAATTTAATTAAATTATGTTCATTCATCAGCATTCAATATGGACTGCCATATCGCGAAAAGTTTGTTGGTTTTCAAACATAAATGTTTGTTTGCTTCGAACTCCGCTTGATTTTTAGGGCTCCCAATGAAAGTTGATGAGCAATCGGAAATTTAAAACAAACATTTTCCGCCGGCTTGATGAGATCCAAGCTAGTTAGGATCCCTCCCGGGTAAAGGCCATCCCGCGGAAATAGCGAGTGTGTTGACACTGGCGTTAGAATTGGCATTGACTTAGGGTCCGGGCGCACCATTCAGATGGAAACATTGGGTAAATAGAGTCGAGCCTGTGTTGACAGTGGCTCTCGCATCATTTGCTGCTCAACCGCCATGATGACACAAAAAGTCAGTCGAGTCTTTCGTTATTAAATGCAAAAAAGAAGACTCATCGCATCTTTCAGATACGCTATTAAAAGCATTGATTGGTTTGCCTTGCAATATGGCACTTTGTTTATACTTCAGTTTGTATATTTACAAAATATACATTCCTACTTGGGCTAACATTGATGTGTCTTGGATATTTGTTAGTCGTCAATAAAAAAGGATATTTTGCAAAAGAGTATGTAACAGGCAAAAGGAAGCGTGCTGTTCATTGATATTTTCCAAATATATTATAACAATGCTGGACAGTTTATAAAGATAGTCACATTAAATGTAATGTTTTATTTTGTAAAAATCACACAATAATAACAATAATGATTATTTTTGGTTTTTATTACAAAAGTCAGGCGATAATCATTTTGGTTGATTAGCAATTGGCGAACTTAATTTATTCCATGAATTGCATACATTTTATTACCAATTTTTTGCCATTTTACAATGGCATTAAAGGTAAAAATAAAAACCGACCCCATTACTATTAAATACGTAATTTCTTTTTCAAATAATAAACGTGAATGACGAAATAAAATATGCAATTATTGCCCGCATGGCTTATTCAACTTTTTTATCCTGCCAACTATCGCAACAGAGATGCTTTCATTTTTTATTTATCTAGAAATTTAAGGAATTTAAAGGTGTGCAAATACATTTCTTTATTAGAAACCTAACCTGTTGATTGTAATTTTTTGTCAATTAATTTAGTTTAGCTATCTGAGCAAATAGTTAAAGGATAATTAAACGCGGTATATTTAAGCAGAAGAAATTAATATAAAACATGGGAATAATATAAATATATCTTTCTTCAGGAGTTAGGGACGGGAAACTACTGCACTCACCATAAACCGTGTCGTCGAGCAGCGTCTTCTTGATCTCGAGTCCATCGTCGCCTCCATCCACACTCTCGATGTCCGTGCGACGCGGCGGCTTCTCCACGGGATTGACCTCGTTAAGCAGGCTCTTCTGCATCTCCATGATGACAGAGCCCTCGAGCATGGAGCCGTTGTGCGTCTTGTCCATCTTGGAGGAGATCAGCCCGTCGCCGCTCATCATGGTGGTGTCCTTCTGGTAGGTCTTGATGCGGCGGCAGTACCACAACAGCGTCAGCACCACCACGATCAAGAGCAGCAGCAGCGTGGTGGTGATCAGGCAGATGATGAGGAACACGTTCGTCTGCGTATCAATGGCCGGCGCCCCGATGGCGCCCATGCCGCCCAGACCCATGCCGCCCAGGCCGTCGGAGGGGGACATGGCGCCGGTGTAGTCGCCGCTCACGATCAGCTGGAACTCGGCTTCCGCCCGACCACCGCGGTTGTCCGCCACGCAGGTGTAGGCCCCCTTGTCGGAGGCACGGACGCCCACGATTCGCAGCTCCGAGGTGAGCACCTGCGATGCCGGCAGCTGCTCCACGGAGTTGAGGACCCGCACCCGCGGATCGTACGTCTGCAGCGGCCGCTTGTTGTACACCCAGGTGACATTCGGACGCGGACTGCCCACGATGCGACAGGGCAGGGAGATGTTGTCGTGGTTGGCCTCCACGAAGGAGCGCACGGAGCCGAGGATGCGCGGCCGGCAGGCGAAGTTCTCCGAGGGCACCTCGCTCCACAGCTTGCCGCGCAGCTGGGGCGGCTCCTGGCAGTCGGTGGGCGGGGTGTAGAGGCGCTTGTTGATCGCAAAGTCACGGAAGTCCTGCAGCTCGCAGCTGCAGTTCCAGGCGTTGCCCTGGAGCGACAGGTGCATCAGCTTCTGCAGGTCCTTGAACGTCTCCTTGTGCAGGTGGGCCAGTCGGTTCTGCTCCAGCGAGATGGCGCTCAGCGCCACCGTGCCGGCGAAGACGTGCAGCTGCACCTGATGCAGCCGATTGTTCCGGAACTCGATGCGCGACAGGTAGCTCAGATTGACGAACAGGTGGTTGGGCAGCACCTCGATCTCGTTGTTGTTGATGATCACGTTGCGCAGCTTCTCCAGGCCCGCAAAGGTGCCCGGATGCAGTTCCCGTATCCGATTGCCGGACATGTCCAGCTCGATCAGGATGTGCAGACCCTTGAACGCCTCGCGATGCACCTCCTGGATGGTGCAGTTGCGCAGATACACCTTGTGCACATTGGGCAGACCCGCCTGCAGAAACTCCTCGCGCCGCAGCTCGGGGATCTGGTTGTTGGCAAAGTCCAGCACCTGCATCTCGTTGCTCATGTCCAGCGGGATCTTGGTGAGCGCCTTGTTCTTGCAGTCGGCGCTCTTCTTGCCCGAATTCCAGTGGCAGTGGCAGCTGCCGCAGCTCTGCATCCAGTCGGAGGTGCCCGATGCGAGGGGCAGGAGCACTGTCACCGCCATCGCCACCGCCAGGAGCAGGAGCACCGCCGTCCTGGCCATCGCTTGGTCTGTTTTTTTTGCGGTCTCTGCTGCGGTTCTGTGGCCGGATCTCTTTTCCTAATCCGCGACGATGAGCCGCCGTACACGTGCCGACACGGTCCACCAAGTGCCTGCGAACTCTGACCCCCGACCCTGATCCCTGGGGCTGTGTTTACTCGCCTCGCCTCGCCGCTTGCTATGTGCTACGTGCTACGTGCTGCTAACTCCGAACGCCCCGCGATGTCGTCCTTCTTGGCCTAATCCTTTTGACGCACTGTTAATTTGATTCCCGCGCCCTTCGTCGCCGCTCTCCACTCGCCACTCGCCTGCGCCTGCTTGTTTTGCCACTCCTTGATCCTTGCGAATGACAAGGCCGTGATTAATTAATGTCCCGGCGGACGGTGGTGGGCTCTAAGCTCGCAAATAGCCGTGCTCCGTTTCCACCTGAAAGAAATGCGCAGAAATGCAGAGAGTTTGTCAATTAATAAAGTGTTCCGCAAAGTGTGTGCCCGCTGGGTTGGGTCTGCTCCTGACCAAGGGACAAGGACACCTAAGGGTTGCTAACGAGGCGAAAGGTGAGACATTAGCGCAAGGCCAAAGGGATTTGCCTTATTGGCAAAAGTTTGTTGTGTGTCATCAATGGGATTGGGTAATTAGCGCGGAATTGGGTACATGTGCCCACATATAGGATTGCTCTATATGTATAAAAGGGGATTATGTTTGTCACGGCACACAGCGATGGAGCAAATCATATTCAAATTTGATCGATCGGTTCGAGTTCACACATTACATATATGTATTTTATAAGATTTACCAATAGAGAACACTTAAATAGACATTCATATCTCACCCTTTGTGTCAATGCATGCCAGTGCATGATGTGAACGTTTTAAATTAATAAATCAAATAAAAAGAAATCCCACCAACCGCCATTAAATACATTTTCTGCTGGAGGAAGCCACAAAGAAAGAAGGATCCCTGGCAAACATGGCTCTCCACCAAAGGAGATTGACAACGAAACAACAAAGGCAGATGGAAACAAGAATTCGGCTGCTGCGTTTCGAGTCCCCTTAATCTGTTTCGTCCTCTTTGGTCTCCACTCTTCAGGTGGCAGTCGCAGCGGCTTGATTAATGAAAATGTTGTTAAACTGTGACAGTTTGCGGCTTCTAACTGACTTGCGGCATCGCTGCCAAGCTGGCCCGCCCACGTTTTTGCTCCGGTTAAAGCCATCATATTGGATGAATAAGGAGTTTGGGGACTCGGGGACTGGGGACTTTGGACGAGGAGGAGGAGGATCCACATCCACTTTCAGGCAAGTGCAAACAAGACAAAAAATTCGGCGGATGAAGGACCGCCTTTTTAGCATTGAGCTGGGTTTCGCTTTAATTAAGCGCTATTCGTGACGTCAACACTTCTGAAGGCACACAAATACAATTTACCAAAGGAGGCAGCTACACAAAGACAAATATTCAACATTCAACGGTGCACAGCCAAAAGCATTATTAAATAGTGAAACAAGCCCCAACTATTGTATCTGGGCACTTATCACAACAAAATCAATAACAGAAAAAATGGGATTCATAATATAGTCCATAAATATGGCTTTCTCCTTGAATTATTTACATGCAAAAAAACAAAACAATTATTGTTCACTATCATCAAAAAACCAATAAATATTAATTATGGAATTTTAGTTATGATCCATCCTCTAAGTCTTTTTTTTGGATCCTTTTGACAATTGTTTTCTCTTTGAAAATTATTTGACAGTAAAACAAGTTAATTTCCAAAGTTATAATAACAACGAAGCAATACGTACAACAATATGGGAAAAAAACAAATAATACGAATAATGGGAATCCATTTATGATTTATGCTCTAAGTCATTTGCAACTTATTTTAAGTGGCTTTCGCCCTGAACTTAGTTAAATTGTGAAAGAAGCTAATTACTAAAATATTGTGTTTGAAAAGGAACTAATAGCCAATAAATACGAAAAAACTAATTATAATGGTAATAGGTTTTCAGTTACAAGTCTACTTCAACCTAGGTCAACTCCAATAGGTATTTTCAGTAGATTTTTTCTTTAAGTATTTTTACAAATGTAAAAAAAAAAAAATCGAAAAGTGTTTACTATTATCAAAAAACTAATTATAACAATAATGGGATTCCAGTTATGATCCATCTTCTTAGTCAATTGCAATAATTTATTATTATTTGAACTTAATTATAAAGTAAAACAACGAACTTATAGCGTAGCAATACAAAGTGCAAGTCATTGTATTAAAAAACTAATAATGCTACCAACAACAAAAATTTGAGTTATTTTTTAGTCTATTGCAGTCAATTTTCAATCAAATTATCTTTAAATTAGAATACAAATAATTCAGAATAAACAGAAAAACGATTATTTATTTCATATTGGCCTATTCTATTCCATTTGGGTTACATTGTGGACTGATTTCAAGTTCGAATTTAAACCTTCAGTCAAGGCAGGAGGTGGTGATAAATGGGGGCTTAAGGGCCGTTCCATTCGTACATACATATTTCAGTTGGATGGTTATACTTTGAGTATGCCCGTGTGTGTTGTTTGTTTTCCTTTTTCTCCTGCACAATTTTTGTAATTTTTTTTTTGTTTTATTTCTGTTGTTGCCTGTGTCAGCGGTTTTTTGCTTGGATAGAAAAAACCTCAAAACAAATTAAATATGCAAATAAAAGAAAAGCGGTGCAATTTTTCGCTTTGTTAAATATTTTCTCAATGGGTTTTCGTTCGTTGTTGGCCGCTCCGCTCTCTCTTTCTGTTGCTTTGTTTTCAAACGGGGTGTGTGTCCTCAGTTTGTGAGGACGGAATTTTGTGCGGTGAGTTCCAGGCGAAAAACCGCCAAACTTGGATTAATACCTCAAAACTTTTGATTGTGAAATCGTAACCATTTACAACGACCCAAAAAACTTTTGAGTTACGCTTTGTGTAATATGTATATGAAATTTGTTGGAATCTTTGCCATTCTTGTCCACACATTAACATATTTAGTTGGTTTCACCCCGTTACTCGTGGATTAAGAGGGTATATTGTATTTCGGCAAAAGTATATAATAAATAGAAGAACAGATTGGACAATACATACTCTAACTCGGGGACTATATATATATATGTCTAAACATATATTATATTAAGTTCAGAGATTGGATCCAAAATATTGCAGAAATACATCTTATTTGTGATTCCAAAAAAGGATAGCTTAACTTACTTACTTCATTAGTAAGAATTATTTACATTCAGAAACCATAAATAAACATGTCGATGAAAGTGGGTTAGTGTGTGAAATGTAAAATCTCTTTCTACCGCATCCCATCGAATTTAAATCCAACAAGATTCAATTGTTCCTCTTTTAAGCTTATTCAAAAATTATGATTGTAAATTGATGAAAATTCTATCAATAAGCAATACAAATTGATAACTTAAGGCCTTTCCGCACGTTGGCTACGGCATTGGTTTTGGGCTGCAAACTGCCATAGAATTAAGCGTTGTCATTTTATTGGCAATTGCGGTTGTAATTGCTATATGGTGGCACACGCCCCATATTCAAACGATTCAAACCGAACCGAAATGAACCCAACTGAACCCGCCGACAGTCCGGCGCCTGTCCACAAAACCCATGGACAGGCATTGTCTATTGTCAGCTTAAATCGATTTAAACAAATTTAATTGCTTTGGTTTCGGGGTTTCGTTCATTTTATGGCGGCCACCACTTCACTTTTCTCGGTATTTTTTCAGCTTTTTCTGTTTTCCGCTCTGCGTTTTTGGGTTCTCTTTTTGTCGTATGCCAATTGGCAATGGCATTTTAAGTGTGTCTATGAAACAAAAGTTGTTGAACCGTCGAAAGCGGACAAGAATTCATTTTTTTCCAATTCTTTTTTTCTCCTATTTTGTTGTCACAACAATTTGTTGCTAAATGAAGCGAATTTCTTTTTCTTTCATTATTTTTTTTCCTGTTTTTCCGATCATTTTGCGTTACAGCAATAGCAATAGTAATAGCAGTCAGCCAAGCCCCATTGGCCTTTTGTTTACTTTTGTATCAAGATTGTAATAATATTGGTCACAACTTTGTAACGCATTAAAGCAGACAATTTCGTTTCAATGTGGACGAGTATGTGGGCATTTGCGCCCAGGTTAAAAACAAACTTTTTATATCCGGTTTTTGTGTTATTATTTTCTTAAACTCAATTAATTTAAACAATTGACCAATATTTTTATTGACTTAGATGAAAAAAGCAGATCAATATCAGTGAATTTTATTAACGTTTTTATGACGTATGATATATGTATATTTGAAAATATTGTAAAGCTGTTATAGCAAAACTTGGCCATACAAGTAAGTGCTTTAATTGCAAGAGTATTTACACTTCGGATAGTTGGAGTTAGAATGCCCTCTTGTTTGTAATTGCTCTTCGGTACATGATTGTTAATCTAGCCTCTATTCAAAGAGCCCCCCATAAGAGCATGTGGTTCTTTTCCGGGAAAAAGAGCCATTTATGTATTAGCTTTTCGTTGTTTTTTTTTTTTACTACTGATGGCGACGAACGAAGCAAGAACACATGTGTTTTTGTTTTCCTTTGTTGGGCACCGCTGGTCTATATGGTTATTTGTCCCCTTGTAAAGCGCTCTTATTGTGGTCACCGTGGGCCAAAGTGTCACAGTCTTTGAGGCTATATTTACAAAGAATATTGTCTTTAATATGTTTTATTTAGAAGATGAACCATTTAAATTTAGGTAAAATTAAAATAGTAATTTTATCTCGGGAGAAAGTAAGAAGAAAAATGTTTTGTAATGTCACCAAAGCTTTAATACCGATGCAAATTTAAGTACAATTTTTTTAATTTGGTAAGACCGAATTCGAAGTCTTTAATACTGATGCAAATTTTACTTACACAATATTTTCTCAACGAATTGGTTGTTGCTTTGAAATGTGGGTAGATATGAAGCATTGGCACTGTTTATTACCAATGGGTGGACCTATCTACAAGAGTAGGCCCACATAAATATATGCTCTCTTTTTTCTTAAAATATGTGCATCTTTTAGCCCACAGTGCACTTTAAGCCTATTTGCAAATTACTCTGTGTCGAATTTGCGGCCCAAGTGTTGCTCGGTTACCCGCGCTTCAATGGTCATTGCAATCATTTAACTGAATGGAAATAGTGGGGACGAAACAAAAAATTGGATCTTCCCGTTCCCCCTTTTCAGTTGAATGCCTTGCTGAAAAGTGTATATACCAAGTGGAATAAAAGGAATAGAAAGCGGAAAATATTTACAAGATGGGGTCCGATTATAATGCCTTCTATATATATATATATAAAAATATATATATATAAAGGAAGCAAAGGAAGCAATCTATGGTAGGAGTGTCTCGACCAAGAGATCCAATTAAAATATTCACTATGCTTGTGGCA